GTGTGTATATATATATATATATATATATATATATATATATATATATATATATATATATATATATATATCAACACAGTAATATAAGCAAGGGTAGCAAGGATACGCCATTATCCAATTAATCCTTGTCACCCCCCGATTCGTTTTCTCTCTCGTGAGAGATGTCTGCGTTAGACGCGAGAGGTATGACTATAGGAGTTAGAAAGGATGAGTATAAAAGTAGAGAAGGATGTAAGAATGTGGGTATCGTAGCGAGCGCCATGAATAAGACAGAAAAATGAAGGATCGGGTAAAATTGATCCTCAATAATACCTACCGGCGCAGAAGAGAAGTATGAAGAGAGATGAAGGAAAATGAAAAGGTAAAATGAAAGAGGTCGACGTAAAAAAGAATAAAAAGTAAAAGAATACAAGTTTCAGGACAGAGAGTGATACCTCTTTTTCGAGAAAATCCCTCGCTGGTATCACTACTATATAATGCTTGTACAGAGATGAGTAGGGAGATGCACAACGCTACGGTTTTAGCCGATACCAACAGCACGGCGCTAAATCGTAGCGGTGAGTCCGGGATCATGAAAGTGGAACTTGGAACGCAGTGGAGATGTACTAGAGACTATATTCTTTCGACTGGGATAGTCATAGCTAGTACGTGTGGGAGTGACTATCGCAAATATATATTTCGCGAAAGATTATTTTAAGATTAAAGAAATTATAAGCTGTAACGTATCTTTGTTACTCGACGCCGATAGCAAAAAATCCAAGAACTAACCTACGTTACCTTCGCTCATGCAACCGCAAGCCAGGCGGGCGCCAGCCAATTCTTTGTTCACCGAAACCTGACGAGCCGGTATAAACTGGGAGTTGGGGTGGAACAGGCCCAACTCCGCAAAACACGAGAGCTCTGACGGAACCTATCAGACGAGGCGGTAGCTTAACGGATCCTGTAGATTTTTGGGGACGCGTAAAATCGAGAAACGCAACCGCAGGATCTTTGGGGTCGCGTAAAATCAGAAAAAAAAAATTGATGCACGAACGGATGGTTACGGAAATGCACGGCCGCTCGGCTATTATTAGATAATTCACATATACGAGGAGCCTTAAAACAAAATCTGTCCCCGTACGAATTTTCACGTGAAGAACAATCGTTCCAGGCTGCAAATACGAATTTCCCATTGTGCCACATAGGATTTATGCGGATCGGTTGAGAGCGTAGCGCAGATTTGACACGGAGACCCGAGAAATTCCATAACCCAATTGTCGCGAAATTTTCGCGAAACAAATTAAACTTTATCCATACGCAGGATTTATGAATTCGCGCCTAAATTTTTTTTTTATATTTCACATAATTTTTTTGCCTTTTTTATCTTTATACAAATGCGTCTAGAAGCTTCTGAGTTATTTATGGCTGCACTGGCGTGTACCACTGTAGGGACTTGCTGCTGCTCGGCACTCGCTCAACCTCCAGCGTCGCCATGTTCGTCAGGAGCAAAAAGACAAGACCTAGAGAAAATCAAGAGAGACAAAGAGGGAGAGAGAGAGAGAGAGAGAGAGAGAGAGAGAGAGAGAGAGAGAACGGAACCTGGAAGTGTCGTTGGAATTTAGCTTGGAACGTTAATCTGTCGCGTGTACCTTCCTAGTTGAGAAAAAAAAGAGAGAGAAAGAGAGAGAGAGAGAGAGAGAGAGAGAGAGAGAGAGAGAGAGAGAGAACGGAACCTGGAAGTGTCGTTGGAATTTAGCTTGGAACGTTAATCTGTCGCGTGTACCTTCCTAGTTTAAACATTCGCATTCCTCGGCCAACGGAAATCCCTCCGAATGGGTCCTGTAGTTAAGTGTCTCCAAGGACCTTCGGAAGTCCAGGGGGCAATGCGTGAGGCGACCTCACCGAAATGCGAGTCGACGTTACAATAAAGAGATTCGAAACTCTCATGATCATCCTGGACTTCCTTACCGACGGAACACTCATTTTTCACTAGATAAATAATTATCTGACATCGTTCCCCATTCCTAATTCAAATCAACCGCGTATTCTGACATTCTGCATTATCGCTAATGATAAATATTATTATATGCTAAGATATAACTCATTTCTGTTATTATTTGCATTAAAGTCAGCTGTTATTTAATATCTATCGTTAATTCAAGGCTATTGGCTCTAACGAGCATCGTTAAAGTCATGTAATGCAAATCGACATGAAAAATAATTAACGAGTCGTTCGATTGCACGTAAAAAATCGTAATCATTTTTTGGGCCGTTAAATCAATTTTCGAAAATCCCACAAAAAATTTTCATATCCTTGTAAACACACTGTACATGGATATCATACATTACGAAGCTAATGAAAGTCAATGTAATAGGGATAGACTTCTGCTAAAATTACGCTTCCTCGCGGCAAGATCAAAGCCATGACGGAGTAGCTTACTGAAATGACAATCCTGCCAATCGAGGATTCCAATAATTAAATTAGTCCTGTCCCCAATCACCTATGCATGCGCACTTGCGTATATATTATTAAGATCCACTGGTGTTTTAAGGGTACTTGCATATATACATTGTCTACCATTAAAAACCAAGGGGCCATCTTCTTATGACTCTCAGTGTAAAATAGTCCTCTATTTTGATCACGGCGTCGATTCTACGTCGTTACATGAAAGCCGTAAAAGAATTTTGAGCAAGGTATTACGATAGTTATCAGTGGGTAATACAATAGAATAATAAAGTAAAGAATTAGAAGAAAATGTCAATGACGATTATTTTCATAGGAATTATAGGGACGCCGTTCACCGGGATGCCATTCAGAAAATAATCCGAAAACTATTCCATATTCCAACGCTAATTCCTGTCGAACGTAGGACCAATTCGAATTGTCCGATTTTACCAGGTACCCGGAGAATCTCTTCTACACTCGTGGGATGAGCTCGTGAGAACGCAAGAGAATGACGGCGTCGGGACGCTTATCGATGCCTTTAGGATGACACGTAAATCGAGTCTTTCCCGAAACTTCTGTGACAGAACAGGCGGATCTCTTAAAGTGGCTCGCAGGCTAATTTGCTTCTTCCGTATCCTACGAGAATATACGATGTTCTGATTAAGACAGTTGGTAATGTAGAATTTTATTGAATGCTTAACGTTAACTTACCCTACACACAATATACCTATAGTGAATGTAAGACACATAAAAATACTATGATTTAGTTAAACGGTTGATAATAATTATGACGATAACGTGTTTCTCTACGAAGTCAACTGATATTTTGATTTAGATATTTTTTTAGAATGTCAAATTATCAAATATTATTTCAGTGGCTGGATTAAATTTGAATGAGGTATTATTTATTTGAACAAAAAATGTCTATCACGATTCTGTCATTTTATATTCTGATGGAAATAATACTAGACCTTGGATATTGGATATCCAATGATATACACACAGTTTCGAAATAATCCGCCAGGAGGCTTTGAGCGAAATCCTGTCAGACTTATCGTAAGAAAACGATAAACGCAAAGCTTGTCATCTTACTTCAATTTGAATACGATCCAAAGTCTTTTCGAGTTTGGCGCGGGTCACCTGTTTTCTTTGTAAATCGAATCTACCAATTCTTATTCTGCGCGAGAAATAAAGCACTGACTGTGTACGCTTGGGCGCATCGTGTTCGTGTTTACCATATAGAAAGCATGAGTACGGTATATACCTACGTACCGGTGATGCAGACGATTATGTACAGTTTGAAATATCAGTTCTTTTATAAAATTCCTCCCTTTTTCCTCACCTACCACGTTCAATTTTCTCGAATTGCGATTAACGGGCATTGTTGTCGCTTTATGCGGATTTCATAGTTCATTTAATGGTCATGTTCAAGATTAATTGTATCAACGAAAATGACGGCAGTCGACTAACGGGTGATTCATTACGTAAGAGTAAGTAGTTAACTTTTTTAAATTGTGATAAGCTCAACTAAACTTTGTCAAATAAAAATAAAAAGCACTGGAAAGTTTTTCGACAATCTTTGAACACACGTACAAGCATCGCGGGACAACGTATAAGGTTAAAGTAATTTTTGTAAAAGCCAAAAGAATCGTAGCGGACTGCAGTACGAAGTTAGCTCGTGACCCAGCCAATTAATTAAAAACAGAAGTGAAACCAACTCACGTCATCCAACGGCGTCTTCGTTTTTTGAATCCACGGCCACTGGCTTCCATCTCCCTCCTGGAGTCTGTGTTTTATATCCCTTTGGGTAGCTCGGTGCGATCTGCTTGGAATCACTCGGGAGTAGCCTTCGGGTCGCACGCGCGGCACTGAACCAAATTGAGTTTTAATATTTCACTGTTTTCTCGGACTCCCTTATCCCACCGCCAGTACCGTCACACTATATCATATAACTGAATTCCGTGTGATACTATTTGTCACTGTGTTAGATGTCGCTCATAGTGAAACTGAAGGCACGTGTTTTGTTTTTGCACGAGGAATGTCGACTAATCGGATTTCCTATGGTCTGTAACTCGCATAAGAACTATCGAATGAAAAAAAAAAAACTAACAGAAACAGCAGTACCAGACGATGTTAAGCGTGCCAAATGTTCCTTCTCATGGATTTGACTCTTAAGGACTGTAGGAGAATGGTAGGCAGGTCCAGGAGAGAAGATTTATTTTCATGTTGTCCCTGAGCAACGAGGCTCTGCGCTGGACACACGCCCTACGGGAGAATTACTTCGGAAACGACAGTGGCGCTACTGCGGGAATTTGTTGAACTCGAAGAAATTGAATTCGTATGTTAACCAGATGCTTCTGATTTGCACGTATCTGCGTAGGACTTTGTTACAGTTCAAAAAGAAACAAGGCAAACGCCTGAGTGTTTTTCAAAAATGTATATTCAGGATTTCTTAATATTTTGATAATTTATCACCGTGCAGTAACTAATTTATATTACTCTGCTACGGGGGTTATTTTTCAGTCTGTCTAAGTGGTTCCCGTGCGCCATGGACGTGAACGCTCGTGTATCAACTGCTGGAGAGCAATTTAATAAAACTTCGTAATAAAAATGAGATAAAAAGCGAACGACTCGAGACAAGCGTAGAAGTTGTGAATCAGCCGGATCGGACCCAGAGCGACATTAAATGTCCATCCACTGGGATACAATGAAGGAAGCTAAATTGATCAGAAGAAAGTTTTCACGGTAATGATACATCAATTGGACGTTGTACCACAATAATTTTAAATATAATACTGATTAGGTTGGTTATTTTTCTTCTTAAAGTTAATTAAAATATTTGTCTGTGCACGAGAAAAAATATATTTATTTTAATGTACTCACTTCACGCAGACGTACTTTTTAATATTTAATGCTATGAAGAATTTCACTCTGGTTTATCTCTTCTTTCTATCGAACTACGCCATTACCAACCAGGAAATTCAGTTCCTCCAAGATCACGTTCTAGGAATACAATTTCGAGCTCTGAAACGCGGTACCATTAGTGGTTGAGTATTTAGTCGTCAAGGACCGGATTGAAGGAGTAACAAGTATTGTGAATCCAGTATGAATGCATTTTTTATCAAGGACCATACAATTCTATTTTCCATGTACAGAATAATTCGAAACTCTCGTTAAATTGAAATTCCTGGCATCGCTGTCGTATATTTTTCTTTAGCTATTGGAGTAAAAAAATACAAAATCTGCCGACATTGTTAACTAATTTTTATCGCGTAGAATGTCTCTTATTTTTATTTTTATATAGATTCTCGAAATAGTCCGTACTATATTACCTATCATTACGTACAACTAAGCGCGAGACTTCATAAAGTAATGTAAGTAATAAATCAAAATCAGACTTCAATTGACCGAAAGAAACTTCCAACCATTCGTCATATTTAACCTCACGATATTTCCCATGTGCTTCGACTGCAAAATAATAACATACAGTCCACAGCACGCAATACCTTCAGGATATTTAAGCCCCGTTCATTCGTAGTCGAGTCGAGCGTACGCGTTTGAAATACTTCAGCGATTAAATTCCCGCGGGATATACTCGTGCCTGCCTGACAGAGTCAAAATCGACTAAATAAATCTTTCGTAGAACTAATACATGCCGAATATTTCTAATATAAAATATTTCCTCAAATTTCATACTCGTCAACGATGCCATCTTAAAATATAACTGGATCGATGCACCTTCTGGAACATTTCTAGGTCTTTCAAGAGAAACCTACTGCATCCCTGAAAGCATCCTCGTTGGTTTTACTACGTTGTTGAAATCCTAACCTCATAGAAATGAACCAAAGACACGTGCAGTTTTCTGGCTTCAGGGAAGAAGAAATGGAAATACAACGAAAAGGCAAAAAGACTGTCGGCTTCCCGCTTCCTGAATTATTCAAGTCTGGTTGAATTCCTCCAGCCTGCATTTGGATTCTGGAAATGCGTTGTTATCTCAGTTTGGATGCTTCCGGTTAACAAGAGGAAGGTTATGAATTTTCTTTACTATATCCGTTATCACCGAACATGCTTATATGTTTCAGTACAATTATAGCGGTTTTTATTTTTTTTAGTACTACCCAAAAATCAATATCTAACTTTTGATTTATTTTTTATTGAGATCTACGCTTGGAATATATATATATAGGTAAATACTTGTTTTATTAATATTTTTTTCATTTGTTATGTACATCTGTGGGACAATGTTGAGTGATGACGTCGCAAGTGCACGTTAACGCCATATATTATAACAAGACTAGAATGACGTTGCACCTTGTTAGTGCATCGATGCACTGTGACGATAACAGTGTATTATTTGGTAATTCCTCTATGATGCTGCGGGCGTGGATCATGGTGGAAGATGAATGACATTGTTTCATAGAACTAGGCCTGGTTCCCACTCCAGATAGTCACTTGCAATGCATCGTTGAAGTCCTGGTCTAGTGGCAAATCTCTCATGATGCTGATGACGATGATCCTCGAGTTTAATGGAAAATAATTATATGGATACTTCAATATTTCCGTCATATATAACCAGTAGCAAGTACAGGCTACGCGCACAGGACACGGGAAAGGAGTAAAAATGTTAAAAGTTTGACATTTTGAGTAGATAAAAAGTGTAATTAAAAATGTATAGCTTGTCAACGTTAGCATTGAATAACTTTCTTTTTTGGAAAAATATTGTGTAAATATATTGGTTCTGAAATTTTTTCCGAAAGTGTAACGAACGATGTTAAACGGATGATAAAAAGGAAATGCAGGGATCATTGTTTTATTATTAACTGTTGAACTTAATTTTACTTTGTTTCCTGAATTACACTAGTGTAGGGATTTGGGTCGAGTCTAATGCAATTCTTGTTGCAAGTTAAATCGTCTAACGGTCGTTGTCCGACGACGTATAGACTATTTGGATTCCGTGCTCGGATCATAAAGTCTCCTGGAAGCGTTTCTCACAGTGCTTCTCCGCGGATTCGTCCTGTCGTTGACAAACTCGCACCAGGCAAGCTTCCAAGGAATTCGAGTGACACGAAAATGCGAGGGTGGCTGGGTCATGAATCTGAGAAACTTCTAAATAAAATCAGAGTATAAAGTGCACGTGGGGTGAATAATTTAAATTTAATTATTTCGCAGCTCTTTAAATGATTAGTATGCCTAAACCAATTTTCAGAAAATTAACAAAAAATTAGACAATGAATAAATTAAGTCATTAACCTTCAAACTTCAATTCGCGTCTGCTATTTATAATACTTCGATATAATAAAAGTAAGGTTATAAACGAACCAAAGATATTTGGGTAGACTGCTCTTATGGAAAATCCAATTTGCAACCGACTGTTTATGTTATATTCATTATTGGCTGAATATTAGGTTTGTCAAGCAACATTTTTTTTTAAATTTCATTACTTACGTTCTATACTTTTATTTACTCCTACAATATTGAAAAGATTTTACGCCTCTACGGTCTTTCTGTAGCTGCGAGTACACAGATTATAACGTATCTATACGGTGTTTCATGAATAAAGCAAAATGAAGCTTTACGTTAATAGATGTAAAATTTTTTTAAAAGTGCTAATTTTACGTTGAACCAAATTGAATGAATAAAATATCATTTAGCTGGGACAAATTTTAACTTTCATTTATTTTAGAATGTTTGTATCTGTATTAATGGATTGCATAGCTGTGATAGGCTTGAAATTAAATCAAAATTGACGAATTTTTATTGTAAGTAAAATTGAATTTTATTAAAAAATTAAAATGCTTTCAGAATAGTCTTTTGGGAATATCTTCTCTAAATTTCAATCAAAAATATAAAAAGTAGAGCTGCTGATAGCTATTTTCCCGAACGGTGCTTATAAAAACAGCGTTCGCTGTACCAGATATCTCGGGTCCCTTATATATGAAACAAAGCAAAAATTTGTCGATAATCTGTACCGATTAAACGTAACTATAAAAATAATGGAATGTGCCGCTGAACCGCATTGTTGTGTTTTTTAAGAATAATTGCACAATAAAATATCCAAAATTATTGCATCAAACTCCCAAACAGTGTTACGTAATCAGTCTTCCCTTGCACGAATAAATTTAACATTTGATGCGATATCGACATCTACCACAATCTATGCTGTTACAACATTTAATTTATGAAAACGCATTTATGGAATGACCAATAAAATTGAGTACTTTTACGATCACGATATTTTTTTATAACGCACTAGTGTTTGTAGGAGGGTTAAAAATAATTGTAACGAAATTCATAAACTAAATGTTTTATTTGCATTCGAAGCATCAATGTTACATTTTTAATAATGTGGAAACAAAAGTAAAAATATCTACTGCTACATCCGTTACTACTAATTTTGACTACGTTTTCTCAATGTTCGTTTCCCAAGTTAGATTCCACCCCTCAAACGAAGTACCAAGTGAAGGGTTGATTCTTTCTGAATATTATAATCAGAAAGCGTCCTTCCGTCCTCCAGCTGTTTGCCGGCGAAAATTAGACGTTGTTGATCAGGGGGGATGCCTTCTTTGTCCTGAATTTTAGCTTTGACATTTTCAATCGTATCCGAAGCTTCAACTTCCAGAGTGATAGTTTTCCCAGTGAGAGTCTTCACGAAGATCTGCATACCACCACGAAGTCGTAAAACTAAATGAAGCGTTGATTCCTTTTGGATATTGTAGTCTGATAGCGTGCGTCCATCTTCAAGTTGTTTACCAGCGAAGATCAAACGTTGCTGATCTGGAGGAAAGAGTGATAGTTTTCCCAGTGAGAGTCTTCACGAAAATCTGCATGCCTCCACGAAGTCGAAGAACTAAGTGAAGAGTAGATTCCTTTTGGATGTTGTAGTCGGAGAGTGTCCTGCCGTCTTCGAGTTGTTTACCAGCAAAGATCAAACGTTGCTGATCTGGAGGAATGCCTTCTTTGTCTTGAATTTTGGCCTTGACATTTTCAATCGTATCTGAAGCTTCTACTTCTAATGTAATGGTTTTCCCAGTCAGAGTTTTCACGAAGATCTGCATACCTCCACGAAGTCGAAGAACTAAGTGAAGAGTAGATTCCTTTTGGATGTTGTAGTCGGAGAGTGTCCTGCCGTCTTCGAGTTGTTTACCAGCAAAGATCAAACGTTGCTGATCTGGAGGAATGCCTTCTTTATCTTGGATCTTAGCTTTAACATTTTCAATAGTATCTGAAGCTTCGACTTCGAGAGTGATGGTTTTTCCTGTTAAGGTCTTAACAAAAATCTGCATGCCTCCGCGAAGTCTCAAAACCAAATGAAGCGTTGATTCTTTCTGAATATTGTAATCGGAAAGCGTTCTTCCATCTTCCAGCTGCTTGCCAGCAAAGATCAATCGCTGCTGGTCAGGTGGAATGCCTTCTTTGTCCTGGATCTTGGCCTTGACATTTTCAATTGTATCGGAAGCTTCAACCTCGAGGGTGATTGTTTTTCCTGTAAGGGTCTTCACAAAGATCTGCATGATTGATCTGGAAAGAAATAATGAAACCAAATTATTACTTGTCCACCTCATGGAACTCCGCTCTAAACAAAAATTATTTAATAATTGCTTCTTATACAAGCCCGTTATAAAATATTTATTAAAATATACCTAATTACAAACTACAGAAATCTAGATTGACGTTTAAACATAAAATGAAATCCTGTCAGTTATTGATCGTCATACGAAACAAAATGGAGGTGCTGAAGGCGAGGCCCCATACTCAACCAAAAAAGAAAACACTTCTACCATATGAATATTCGCATATTTTACAATTCCTTAATATCCTTACCTGTTATGAAAGCGATAAGAAGCGTTTGAACAGCAATAGAAACCACAATGTTCACAAAGAAAATTGAGAGAAGCTTTAAAGACGATTTGTCCTGTACAGCAACTAAGAGTCACCAAGGAATGCTACGAAATTATAGAAATCGTAGAAGGATAAAGGAATACCCACGCGTGCCAATATACCCCCCTCAAATTCCCTAACTTGCGACACAGCTAGGGAACTTTTTTCACTAACCATTGGTGATAATTTTGAACAAAATTTGTAGAAGCGTCATTGTTGAAACGGCCAGTAGTAAAAATTATCTGAAATGGCCCGCGTTATAAATCGTAATTCTGACAATAAGAATTTGGAAAAATTGGATAACATAAATTTGGAAACTACCCTATACGCATCTATACCACGTATTAGCGAGTTATGTTGCGTCATTTGTCAGATAAATATTCACGAAGTTTATGATTCTTCGGCAAAGTCACATTATCATTGGCAAACAATGAAGTGCAGGTAAAAAATTTGATTCGAATCCCTGGTAACAATGAAATTGTCTACAGTATTATATAATAATGCATTACAATTGCATGTAATGTAAATCCCGATGCTTGCTTTTCAACGTTGTTTTTATTCGAATAATTGATTATGATTTACAGATTAATAATTTATATGATGCCGGAAGTAATCGCGTCACCGTTATACGGCAGTAGAGGCAGCATATGCGTTATAACAACTAATGATTTTTATGAAAGCGAAAGAATGCAGTCCATTCTGAGATCTATGAATATACTTGTACTATAAATTTATTCGTGTTTTATATTAATATTTTATTGTCATATTGGATCACCATGATAAATCATAATAAAATTATATTTTTCAAATGATACAGATAACTGAACTGAAACCAGTTACTGCTGATATCTATAAAGCTGCTCTTCAATGTACGATATTATTCAAAATATCACCAGACTGGAATAAAGTTGATCGTTTTTTATTACACGGACGAGATTTTCTCACGCATACAGAAGGAAGTGACGGGATAAAAATGGATCTCTTCATTAATGGTATTTAAGTGTAAAAACGAAATATAACATAAATAAGAAATTTTTTTCTTTAAATATTATTAATTATTTCAGACCAGGAACTTTGCGTGGAGTTGCGAGCAACACGTATCAAAAAATCACCAGTGATGTTGGAAGATATTTGTTTACCGCAAAATCTTTTAATAGAATTCATGGCAGATCCAGAGGGTTCCATTGATTTAAAACCATTTGGACATCCATGGGTTCACGTATTGCCCAGGTCTCTTTTTTCACGATAATTACAATTACCTGATAAATACAATTTTATTGTAAATTTATATTTTTACAAAAACAGTATGAAGAGAGGTATGGTCATTTCGGTTTCCAAGCAAATACCAAAAGCTTGTCCCTTCAAAAGTTACGACGAGCTACGAAGACATTGGAAAAATATGGTACTGTACATAGTTAACACTAATTATTATTTATATGAATAATATCATTTGCTTGATTGAACTCTTAACTTTATAGCACGGCTATCGATTACCAAAAGTAGAGGAAGGAATCATATATTACGAAATCCACTTCCCAATTGCTCAAAGCAACACTTTCACGTATCCCAATGTTTGTCTGGCAAATTCTTTAAAGATTCTTCGCAATGGGAAACCGGAAATTATCGCCGATCGATTTGCGCAGAATTTTATGAAAAAGATAACAAGTGTGTGTGGAACACGAATATGGATAAATCGTGGTCGCGATTTGTTAAATACTAAGGTGAATAATATTTTTTTACAAATTTTTGTACAGCTTCACTTTTGTCACTACTTTTACAGGAACTGTTCTTAACAACTAATAAAAATATTGCGACTCTGCAATCAGAATCTAATCCAACATGGAATTGTGCGTCGACTTCATCAAATGCTGTAGAATCATCAGTTAATTTAACATTTTCCGACACTTGTGCTAATGAACTGTGCAGAAATATCAGTGGTTTAATGTCACCAACTCAAAGTTTGCGTGGAAGTATAACGCAAGAGGCAATTGATATATTCAAAACTCCATGCCTGATGGATGCAAATTTGGATTCGAAGAAAATTTGGATCAATGATAAATATTTAAATTATCGAAAGAATGAAAGTAATATTGATACTATAAATAACAATAGCTCTAAAGGTAACAAGGATTTGTACTGTCAAAAAGTTCTTCCGATATACGAATGGGAAAGTCAAAAAGTAAATTCTGTGAAAAAATTGGAAATATCATCCGAGACTACAAATCATTCACAAACAGCGAATCAATGTGAATCACAATTACCGAGGAATCGTCAAATTGAGTTAAACGAGCCGATAACAAAACGAATACTGAAACAATCTCAAATTGATTCATCGCAAAATCAAATGAACAATTTAAACACGATAGAAAATAAGCAGTTGATAACATATTTTTTTAAAGAGCAAAAATCGGTTCAACAGACAACCAGTACAAGTAACAAAGTAAATATTTCTACGTACCAATTCGGCTTTAATTTTGGAAATTTGTATTAAAGTAATTTTTTTCTAGAGAGAATTTGAATCATTCAACATGGCCTCACGTGAAAGCAGAGACGATAGTCAGTCGCAGAAACAAAGTCAAGAAATGCTAGTGGTACGTTGAATACGAGAATTAAATTTTAATAGATGTGAAATATTGGAAATACATGTTAATTATTACTAATAGGATAATCAGAGCAAGAAGAGGAGAATGGAAGTGAGTCGAAATATCAGTATAGAAGACTTGGCAAAACAGAATAAACTCGATCAGTTAACTGTACCTGAATTAAGAAACTGGCTGAAGGAACGTTGCATTCCGTTTAAAGGACAAGATCGAAAATCTAGCTTAATTAGGGTAATAATTTCACATGTAAAAAATACGCAACTTCTAACGGAGCGGCTTAAGTTATAAGATAGTCATATATTTAATAATCTGAATATGTTATAGCGACAGTTATTTAAACATTTTGTACAATTTTCTAAAATTTCACTAATATTGAAAAATTTAAAATTATAATTATATATCATCATTGTATAAAAAATAATTTTTCAGTAAGTATAATGAAAAAAATAATAGTCAATCTTAAACACAAATAATTCAACAATATTCATGACATAAAAATAAATATTAAAAAACGTCACAATATTTAAATTGTTCTACTCATAATTATCTGTTATATAATAGTCGTTAATAATTTTAAGCAAGGCTTCGCGGTCTGCCTTATGTTCAATTCCAATTTCCTGTAAGTCATTATCACTGAGAGTCAAAAAAAGTTCAAAATCCACCTGTAAATTAATTAATACGTGTTAGAAGTATAGGATTTTAAAAATATATTTTATAAAATTTATTGTCAGCTTTTTCGTAGAAATAAATCTCACCTCCTCTTTAAGAAATATTGGGACATGATGACTCAGTCCATAACGTCTTAATAAAAGTACCATTTCGGCTTGTTCCGGATTAAAAAGCATCCCACGTGGTGGGGTCGTATAACGTGGTGGAGTAGGAGTATTTTGAGAAAATACAGTATCTTGATCATTAATATCATCAGGCACATTAGGAGAACGAGTTGGACTGAATTCAGGCGTGAAAGTGAGAGTACCATTAAAATCATCACAAGCATCTTGGATTTTTAAATCCGCAGGACGAAGAATTTCAATCCTAAAACAAAAGATAATTAAAGTACAGATACTACGTGGAACGGAAACGTTTATACTTTAAGAGAAAACAGTATTAGACGTACCTTTGCAAAAATGTTGCAAAAGGTGAGGAAACCTTTTTTTGAAATTTGTTATCAGTCTCCATGTGATCATTCAAGTCATGAGTCGCATAAATAATTTTTGGAGAAACATTGCTTTGGTAATAAAAATTATCATTTCCAGAGAAATTGTATTTAGGAGATCGCGGAAATCCAGAATCACAGTTATATGTCAAATTAGGTGATATTTGACTCCTACAATCGAATCCTGAAATCCCTTGTACTGACAGTAAATTTAATTTAAGGGGTGTACAAGACTTTGATGGTTTTTGTATAGTTAACGTGTTGGAAAAGTTACAGTCGTTTTTTTCATCATTACTGTGTGAGATTAATATTTTTGGCGAAGCTGCGTTCTTAATAGAACATTTCTCTGCGTTATTAATATAATTTTTATAATGCGAACTGTACAAATTCGTCAGATTTTTTTGGAGAAATTGATTATTTTCCTTATTAACAACTTCCTCGTCCTCAGCCTCATTCTCATTCTCAAAAACATCAATATTGTCAGACTGATCACTCCAATAATTTTCTATGAAGTCATATTGTATAGCTAATGACGCTATTTCCGGGACTGTAGACTGTCGCATCATCAAATGTGTATATTCATCTGTTTTATGATGTTCAAAAAATTAAATCTTTTTTCAAAATACAAAATACTTAGAATAATCAAACTACCTTACTTGCTTTTTTGGGATCCAGACCTAGGCTTAACAGTTTAAAAAAAAAATGTTTGTCATTTTTCATTGCTGCAATGCACAAGGGGCTTATATCATCATTTGCAGCAATTTGTAATGCAGATGGACAAGCTTTGTATATGATGTCAAACATTTCTTCACTTATGGCAGCTGCCAATCCCAGCACCGACATGCCTGTGAAAATTTGGATGACAATATACTTAATTATATTCACAAAAACCTAATCAGCTTACAACGTGGTCTATATCATAATTATAAGTACCTAGGTATGTAGATTCATTGACATTTGAATTATTTTTCAATAACAACTTTACTGTTTCAACATTTTTGTTACGAATGGCTTGCATCAATGGTGTCCAACCAAATTTGTTTTTCTGATCGATACGACATGGCTTCTTTATAATTTCTTTAATAATTTCATTGCATCCATTCGTAGCACTGGTGTGCAATATATTATTACCGTACGCATTTGTTGCATTTAATGAATAATCTACAGAATGATAGTTTAATATATTTACAATTAGGTATTACGTTTTTAACAAAGTTTAAGCAGTAATAGAATATTATATTCTGTTTACCTTGTTTTTTCAAACTATCAACGACTTTCTCTTCAATGTTCTTCTTCTTGTTGTTTATATTTTCCATAATTTTATATAACTTTATGTATCCAAGATTAAAGAATGATTAGTCACACTTGCTGGAGACTTATCAGAAGACAATTTCTTAAATGAAATAACTAACTTTCGGTATTACCCTGATTAGGCATTGCTCAGCACTAAGCAAATACAATAAAAGTCTTTGGATTAAACTTCACAGTTTCCAATAAGGTCATTATTGATAGACTGTTATGAGTATAGCTGTTTAGATTAGTAAGTTACATTTATCATTTAATGATATTTCATACAATAACTGTTTGAATGATGTTATACTTCATCGAAGCAATAACTGTCGAATGTAATTGAATATATATAAATATTATATCAATATTTAATTAAATAAGATAAACCACAAAATAAGTTCATAATAATTTCATGATATTATGATCTGAATTATTTTATTGGAAAAGTGATGTACATCAACGAATAATTACTTGTATTCTTAAAACACACGCAATATTTACTGCGATAGGCATTTTCGTTACGTTGACAATAAAAGTTATTCGATTCTTGTAACGAAACAAATAACTCTAGTAACGGTACAATAATGAAGGATGTGCATGATTAAATTGCAATCAGTGGACGTAACACATAAATAATTATGTAAATGATTGATAAGTAGTAAAATATCTTAACATAAAAACAAAACTGAGTAAGAGTTTGCAATAACTTAAGAATCTTAAGACAATTTTTCATACGTAAAATGTACTATCGACTAAAGTTATTGATGGCACGAAGTATTTGTTCGAGTTGGAAGACGATGATGAATGTGACGTTTTTTGACTTGACAAAGAGCGAATGAAAAGTAATGGCAGTGTCTTTGTACGATTTATAGCGTCATTGGAACATCTAATCGTTCAATAATTATAATTAAAACATGCGCCAAGGAATAGAACACCGTAATAGGGAGAAATAAGAGCAGTGAAAAAACATCATAAATGCCTTCAAATGTTTGTGCTTCAGCGAAACCTTTAGTATATCAAACATGTCGAAATGACAGATTTCTCAGTTTAATCTCAAAGTTCGTCAGTAAAGCGTTCAATGTCTTGTAAATGATCACCATAGTCAGTAGCTTCACTGCCAACAAAAGCATCATGATGTTCTAAAATTTCTTCAAAGGATAGTCTGTTGTCATGATCATCATCCGATGCAGCAAATAGATGATCCACTTCGTCAGATGCTATATCCCTGTTAACAAATTGAGACACACACGTAAAATACTTTGTATGGATACAAATATTTCTAATATTATTGCAGTTATATAATTGATTCGCACACATGACATGAAAAAAATAAAGTTTGTAAAATACATACTCGTTGCTCGGTACAAGCCAACTGAGGATTTCATCTGCATCCAGTCTACCATCTCCATTTTTGTCATGTTCATGATCAAACTTATCTTTTTCAATTAGAAGCCATTCTTTATCCTCGCCTCTAGCCCTGTCGCCTAAAAATTCTTGGAAGCTCACAGAACCGTCCTTGTCGGTATCCTTATCTTCTAAAGCTTGTTTGAGTAATAGGGGAAACATTCTAGGTGTTTCCTCAGGATGTGTGTAAGCCTTGAACTCTTCAGAATCCAAATATCCATCCTTGTCAAGATCAGCAGCTTCAAACGTTTCCTTGTCATCCTGTATGAGTTTGTCATCTAATGCTATGTCTTCAGGATCGGATCCATAAGTATCTTGAAGAATTTCATCCCAGGTTACTCTTCCATCTTCGTCAGAATCTGCATCATCTAATCGATCTTGAGATTCTTCAGTAGACAACATACTGTTCATAATAAATAATAAATTATACCAAAATATTAATCACACAGTAGCACACATGAGCATCCTTATACCTTACCTAAACGAACGTAAAATCCAAGCTTTTAGTTCATTTCTTTCAATAAATTTGTCATTGTTTAAATCCATTTTAGTTAAAAGTATTTGAAGTCGTCGTTTAGATTCCTCAATAGGAAGTTTGTCAAATTCTTCTGCTTCTTTGACACTTCCTGGAAAGATCAATCAAGTTATAAAATCTTTAGAATGTAAAAAAGTAAAGAGCTATATTTATAATTCTATTTTATAATTATACCAAGAATAGCTTCGTGATCAAATTCCTGACGATGTTCTCCATCTATATAATGATCGCTATCGCGAGGACTGAAGGCACCGTCGACGGTTCTTTCATTTCCTTCTCCTTTGGTATAATGATGAGTGTGAATATGAGCCGATGCAGCATAACATTCCGCAAAAGCTCCAAAAACGAATACAACGACGAACAGCAAGCGATTTTGAGTTAAGGGTTGCATTCTAATTGATCCTTTTAAGTGAACCTTAAAAATGATACAAATTCAAGAATGAAGCGATTTGATTTATAACCTTAAAGCACTGAAAAATTGTCAAACTTCATAGGAAACAAACAGGAAAAAAGCAGACTACGGAAATCGATGAATCGAATGAAAAAGTTTTTTGATAAACTATCAGAAACAAACCAATTTTAGTATCTCGAATTTAATGTAAACCCAGTAGTTACCAATGTTCGAAAACACGGAGAAAAATTAATTACAGTTATTTTGATAATACAAAATTGTCGTTTCTAATAATTATCTCAGATTTACTGTCTTCCGCATTGAGTATACTTGTGTAAAATTAATAATAGTGTTTTATAAATGATATGTAATAAAAATTGTACGACACAGAGGACTCAGAAATATTCCTCTTTCACTGCAAAATATAACTATAATTTGTTGCAAACAACGTAGCAACAGTCACAATTTACCAGAACGACGAACGACACAAGTATGCCGGAACAGAGAGACGGTTTTTTTAATGCTGGCGAAGCGTTTCAAAACTATTTCTAAACGTCAAAGGAAAACGCTGAACGAGCTCTTTAGCCGTGGGACGCATGTGCGGTCATGATTCCACGCCAGGGAAGACACTAAAAATAGATATACACCAATTGGCATTAAAGTTATTTCCACCATAGATGATTGAAGATTTTTTAACGAATTATTTGCAATTTAAAAACGTCATGTCTACGGACATGAGCAAAAACACAGCAAACTCACATAGAAAAAAAGTCAAAATGTATAAATAATCCATTAAATTCACTAAAAATTCAATCATTTTGATGTTTTTTTCGAAATATACAATATTTATCCTTTTCGAGTTACGCTTCAAAAACGAATTTTTGAAGCTGTGAATGTAACAAATAACAACTGAAGTTTTGCATGCGTAATTTTCCCGTTGATTGATATTTTGTTTTATAGTCTGCCTGCATCATCCAACGATACATTTGTAAAGTCGGTATTTCAGTCGGTAATTCGATTTACTGAAGTCAGCGATACTCAGTTTTACATGGCAGCACCAAGCAGTACTAAACCCAGTACTTATCATCAGTCAATAAAGTTTCATAAAAGTAATATTATTAACCGAAGATATTTTCATAAGTTAGAATTACTAGCTTGACGGCAGATGGCGAAATTACTTCCCACTAGAAGCCATCAATTCGTCAAATAAAATGCAATAATTTAAGAAGAAATTATTCAGTGACATTACCTGTTACAATTTGCATCCTGACGCGTTACAAATGGCGCATGTAATTATTTCTCAAATATATACCAAGGGTATTTATCTTTATACCTTTCGTATCTGTCAGTCCCTGCTAATGGAAAGTCCAGCTAAAGATTAATACATAGCTATTAATATTCGTAAGTAACAAACCTTTTATCTGAGTGCCCTTAAAATCAAATTAAAATCACGTAAAGTTACGCACAAAATTTGCAGTTTCAGTACCCAACCTACAAAGACAAACTAATGACAAATATATACCAACACAAGCATATGAATAATGAATAATGTGTAATGAAAATCGGCAGGTGCTTTCAGTTCGTCGTGAACTCGATTTCCAAAATTGTTCTCTTGAATCCAGCTGGCGTGTCGTACCGGCAAAACACGGCGTTGACGAACCTTCGCATCGCGTCGAATAATTTTCTAGAAAGAACATCCGTGGAAAAGAAAGGATACTTATGAAATCAGCGTTACGCTGTAAAATCAGCAGAGCGTGAAGGGGGGTCCCACGACACAGGATGCTCCTACCTTCCGTGTCTACTTGCGCTCTAGACCCTCCTACGAATCCTCATCTGCGGTCGTTAAAAGATTCCAGCAGTCCCGCGCAAAACAATGGAGGTAAGCCACGATTGTATATGTCGTACGTAATTAACGGTTTCGCAGAATAAAGTGAAAAATTCGCTCGCATTAAAAGATCGAGCATATACACATACAGTGCATAAGAATCTACCTTTGCGAAAGCATGATAAATAAATTTCTATTAATAACTCAAAATGGCAGTTAAACAGAGATTAATAGAAATACTAAAAAAAGTAAAGGAAAAACGTCCAAAGGAAACAGACCTGACCTAATGACTTGATAATTAAAATTTACGTACATACAAGCCATTCTAATCACAGTTCAAATTACTTTCCTAGATTCTAAAAAAAAAAAAATGGCTGATGATTTCATTCCATTTAAAAGACTCGCTACAAGAGATGTAATCTACAGATCTGAGATAAGTCTGGACAAAACAAAGAAGTTATTTGGGTAAGTGATGTTTTTATGTCTACTTTTATTTCTTTTTTTGCTTTTTCCTTATCACGCATTCGTTTCAATTTTTACGCTATCCTAGGAGACGTTCTCCTACCCGTTAAAAGCGGAAGGCGGACATTAGTTCCCCCTAAACCGAAAGCGAGAAGCCGCCGAAGCAGAAGCAGGAACCGGCATTATCGCACGGTGATTCGATTCCTGTCGCCGCGGCCGTGTATACCCAGGTAAAAACAGAAGTGGAAAGGAACAATGACTCGGTCGGCGGGTACCAAGCGGACGACACGATGGAGTCGGCGACGGTGAGGGTTGGAGAGGTGAAGAAGACGATGGATAAAGGCCGGGGGAGAGTGCGGGGCCGAGGGGGAGTCTTCATAATTAGTCATAGTGCGATGCGCTAACAGCGGCACTCTGCAAGAGTGCTTCGCTTGTTGTTGCTGCTATTGCTGGTCGAGTACTTGGAATGAACTTTGAAAACGACAGAAACATCATCTACAGGGTGATCTTAATGTTTAGTATGACATATATTGATATTTATAGCAGGATTGAGCATACAGGCAGAATTGAACACCCTGTATATAATGAATTTTTGCAGCAGGTCAAACGGGCTAAAGCAGTTCTGCCAACAGCATACGAATGCACCAGGGCGTATCGTTCCTTTAGGTGCAATCCTTACCAGGGTAAAATCGCAGGAGGGTAATATAAATCTTATTGTTAGCCGATCCTCCTTAGGAGTACAGGATCCTGTATATGCATCGGTATCAAGTTAGGTACGCAGAGGTCATGAGATTCTTGCAGCTCATCTATGAGGTCAAGAGGTGCCGTTTGCACCAGGAGGTCTGACTCCTTGACGGTAGGAGGTCCATCACCGTTGGTAACCAGGAGTAGATAGCTATACCTCGCCAGATCGATCTGACAAGTAGTACAACAAGTTATCCGAACGACCGGGAGTGGATACCATTAAGGAACGGGACGAGGAGCATCAGCCTGCACCAGGTAAGGAAGGATATTCATCAGGATGGAGGTTAAACGGTAGTCAAGATATTCAGACCGTTTGACGATCGTTAACCCTAAACACATTGTCGATAATCATCATGACAAGATAAGAAACTGCCTGATGATCTATTCTCATCAAGCAGCCAATAAACAATTACAAGCGCTCTGTATAAACAGAACCAGGTGACTAAATGAAAAGATGATCAGACCTTTGGATCAATACAAAGTGATTATTTATATAGAGAAAAAAAAAGCCTATTCAGGCTCATTATTTTAATTAAATTTCTTTTCTTCAAATTCAAATTACTGTCCATAGGTAATACAAGTATCAGTGTCAATATGGATTTTTCATGGGAGGCCAAGAACCCGACAAGGACGCTTTCCTCATAATGAAGAGATCCCCAGCGAATTCCATGCTTGGACCCTAACCCGCAGCAACCAAGAATTGCGGAAGATCCATTGGGCTCTCTTCGTAGACGCTCTTTCGCGGACACCCTGTATGAAGAAGACAGTGGAAGACGGAGCGTGGCTTCTGGCGCAGGTAGAGGGGAGACAGGAGGGGTGCAGGGGTGTCGGACTGTCGGTGCGAGAGGGTGAGCAGGAGGATCACGGGGTGCGGGCGCGGGATGAGGGGAGACCCGGTGAGAGGGAGAGGGTACAAGCCACTAGGACGAGGGGGACGGAGGGGAGCCTCGGAAAGCGGCAGAGCGAAGCGACAGGCGGCCAGCCGTGTCTCCGGCGAACTCACCGCTTCCCAATGGCGCGCCACTTCGATTCCTCGGTGTTGGCTTTGACTTCATCTTCCTTTTGCCCTTCGTTCGTTTTCTCTGATTCTCCTCTACCGTAGGACTGGTTAAGCTTTTATACATAAAACACCTTTTGCGCTTATTCAGATCCTTCCGCATCCCGCAAGCCGGAATCGTGCAAGAGGATGACGTGCCATATATGCCAGCGCACCTTTCCTCTTCAGCATCCTCTGCCCCTGGACGCCTGCACCTGTCCTCCTGGGGTTCACCTGCGAAACAGTACGACGCAGCCTTACCGGACCCTCGCGAGCCATCCAACACCTGTTGCCGCGGAACAACTGCGCCTGGTGTATATCTACCTGATCCCTGCAGGACAAACGCATTGGCGTCACGCAGAATGGACGATCAGTGCTGATGAGCATGGTGTTGTATCACCATTACTGGATGCACCGAATGTTTTATACCAGATGACAATGAACGTCATGGTACCAGGATGATTCAGTGACCAGCTGCCTTGCAGCAACCTTCTAGAATCTTCAGCAGATCTGCGTATAACAAATGTGAATTTTCTTTTTTTCTATAATTCTTCTGACCCGCTACGTCGACGACTGCCTTAATGTTTTATATGTTTTATTTTTTCATATCAAACACGACGTGGGAATCAGCCTTATTGTATTCCTGCCGAACAAGATCGGTATTCGAATGTCAGTAAGATCAACATGGTATCAGGTGCCAGGAACTCGTTTGAGAAGATTATACTGGTATGGATGGATGCAATGTGCCTGCAGAGGGATCTCTCGCAGTGGTCAGAACTTTTTAAATGGAAAGTGATAGGAACCAATAGCCGTGGTCCAGACGTTCTTGAGGATGCTGACGTTGCCCGTAAGATTTGATGCTTTTATTTGCGTTCGCACGTCCCGGGCTGACTTCTCGCACGAGCCTCGACATCTGGTTATACCTGGTAAGATCGGTGAACCTGCTGCCAGTCCTGTATATAATATACATCCGTCACCTACCGGCTATCTGTCTACCTGACTCCTGAATCATTGTGAGCAGTAGCCTGCAACTGGCTCCCGGCCATTCCCATCGCACATGCTACTCTGGGCTTGGATCTAGGTCATTTTCAAAATATATCTCAGCCACGCTTGTCCTCTCGCCTACTCACGCGAATTCACATCCCGCTTCTACATTTATAAGCTTGCTTGTCGCCCCCGTATCTCACACGTAAATAAACTAACAAGTCAGCATCTTTGCAGATGGACCGATCCTACGAAGATATAACATTACTGGATAGCTCACAGAAGATCCACCGGACCAATTGCATTGACTGTACCACAGGAATCAAATACATCCGCTGCAACCTTCAGAGGGTAAATAACCAAATATAAATCAACAGACTCACCTGTCATTCGCACACCAGATTTAATCCCTATCAATATTTACCAGGTAGAACGTTCAACCATGCCTTACCTGCACGAAAGATCCACGTTTTTCCTACTAAACGTTCAGAATTCCACGGAAGGCAAGATCGTGGAATTTCTCATAAGTAACCTTGGTACAGCGAATATACATCCTGAAACGATCATACTGGTAGCATCGATAGTTAGCTCGCTGAAAGGCTCAACACGAAGGAGAATAAATCTCCCGTCTCGGTCGTGAGGCACAACTGTGAGTTTAAATATAGACGAGCTATCATCGGACCCGTAGATAATTGATGTCTCGTCAACGGGAATACCCACAATTCCGTTCGCTCGGATGGATGTCCAGGTCTGGTTGGCTCAGGATCAGAGATTTTGTCTCTAGCGAGTATGCCCACTGTACGCAGTAAGAACCACCGCCATATCCTAGTCCACGTTCTGGTCTGCGTCCACATCTACATTTAACTGTTGCGGTTAGATGGGGTAGGGAAGCGAAGCATCTGTTGCTCTCGGCGAAGCGCAAACTCTGCGTCTAAGACCGGCGTTACGGTGCTGGGCTAGATGTCCGGTTAATGCACCTGCAAACTCCCTGATCTGTGAACGTTGGATAGGTAGGTGCCTGGTAAGGTAGGAATACTGCATGCGCTTAGTTGAGTATTAGTAAAGAGGCACTGGTACGTGTAGAAGAGAACCAGATAGGGTTATATGTTTTGGAGTCTGATGATAATCAAATGCCTGATTTTATATTTCTAGAACCTACCTGATGATCTACCTTCGAGTTGACTGCTCAATACCCATCTATGGATTTCCTTGTTTTTTGGATTAAAACCTTCCATGAGTCTCTCCTGCGATTCTCCATGCACCAATTCGTCATTCTTTCCTCGCCCCGTCCCATCCCTCCCTTATCACTTGGTTAGGACGCGCTAAGCGCTCCACTAACTTTACCCTGGAGTCGCTGACCTCGGGATTCAGCCGTGCGCATCAGCATTTCTCCGAGCGCCACGCTTGCTGACTCCCTGATAACCCTTACTGGATGCCAGGAAGATCCTCAGGATTTTTAGGCGTCATCTCCGAGAAGATCCGCTGTAGATTTTTTTATTAACCAACCTTTTTCTAAATTTTTTTTCAGTTCGTACCAAGTTTGTACGGTCCTCAGATTTGACTGGTTCTGTCGATGTTCTTCAGGTTGGTCGGCGTGTGGCGAAAGTGACTGCAGGATTGTTCCAGGGTAGCCTCTTACTTCTGGTTTACAAGGACGTCGCCGGAGTCGATTGTTAGTATGAAGTTAGTAAGTAATCAGGGTAGATGACGATATCAGTACGTTCATTTTCGGCGCTTTTGTACTTTAATGAAAAATTGTTTGAAGAAATGCAGAGAGGTTTAGTGAGAAGGCGGGAAAATTTAAATTTTTTAAACCAGGATATTACGACCACTACCGACGACTGTACAATGATGACAGTCGTCACCGACTAGGAAGATGATGAAAATGATGAAGAAAGGTGATGAAGTTCTTGTTCTCTGTCCGACGATGCGTTTAACGGAATTTCTGCGTGAACTCGTTCCGTTCGATTGAACGAGCGTAGACCGATATCTCGAAAGTTGTCGAGCTATCGATATTTCCGATCGAGGCGAGACGACTCGATGACGACGGAATCCACGATCGTACGATTCCTGGGAGATTTCGATCGAAAAGTTCGAGGAAGCGAAGCGGAATGGACGGGAGGGCTTAGGTGGAAAAAAAGTTCATGCCGGTTTTTCATTAGACAATTTACATTCCTGAACCGAGCGGCACTTTGAGATTCAGGCATTCGAGTCACAAGAATACTTCGATATTTCGGATTTTCGATTGTAACCAGTCGCTGATTTATACCGAGCTATTCAGTTCAGGCGTACCATTAGTATTTGACAGGTTGTCGATGGATTTGGTTCGGCGCCATTTTGTAATTATATTCAAGTAAGACAGGTTATAATTTTTCGATCATATGTCAGTTATATTTTGGTATAAAGTATAGACCTCTTTTTTATACAAAGACCCTGACTTATAATTTTTCTTATTTCTCATACCTCCCGCGAGTGCGAGAGAGACGGACTTATGGGCATTACCATACGTAAGAGAGAGACACGCCGATAACGCAATTTCAGATAGAAAATAGGTATAATTTTTGAAAGTTCCTTTACCGTCTCTTAAAATTTTCCAAAAATACGAAAACAGTATTTCCATCGTTACCAACCGTTTCCCATAAATCGTTCTGAGCGTTCTCTTTATTTTTCTACTCTCCCGAGAAATTAAAGCGAGAAATAAAAATAGGCCGATCCGATAGCTCCGAACGAATCCCATTGAAATAATTTCTCCGACTGTCAGGACACTCGAACTCAAAATAAATCCCAGCAGTAAACCCATTACCCTCGTATCCAAATAGACTTATTTTCAACCCCAATTCCTTATCGCTTAACCCAATAATAAAAACTTTCAATTCACAGCTTGCAGACGATGCACCAACCGGCTGGGACTAAAATAAGCCAAGAACATCGGACCATAGTTTCTCAACCTTCCGTCAATGAGCAGCCATCGTCCAGCCAATCCTCTTAATTCGTACTTGCGGCCCACCGAGTGGTTACCGAGGATCCTCAGTGGTCTTTAAAAGCCCGGAGTACCATAGCCATACGATTTTCAATGGAGGCATCCAGAAATCCATCATCCGTGTAACGGATAGCAAGCGTAAATTGAACTGCGTCGTCAACACGAGATAGGTACCTGTCTTTCATTTTGTTTTTCTCTTCCTTTTATATACTTCACTTTTTTTCTTTATTATTCGTAACCGTCGCATGAGTCCAGGGTCGACGGAGGGAGTCGACGAAGGACAGGAAGAAGTCAGAGGGGGGCCACAACGACGACGGCGGCGAAGCGAAGGGGAACCTCAAAGAGAATTACGAGGACGAGACGGTTGTAGAGGAAGAGGAGGAAGAGGAGGAAGAGGAGGAAGAGGAGGAAGAGGTCCTCTCTCGTAATCCGTGGCGGCCACCGTGGCCGCCATCGTCGTGGCTTGGTTGGCTGAAAGTTCCTCGCTCTCAGGAGCTGCCGGTGTAAATTCTATCAAAGTCTATCTTACTTACGTTACGCTGGGGCACGGTCATACCCGCCCCACTCTATAACCACTCCACGTGAAAAGTCACGCTCTGCTGGACTCAGGTTTAGTTAGACTAATGTATAACGGGTGACGCTATTCGTTTTTATTAAAAAACAAAAAATAGAGTCTCTTGCTATCTTCATACTTTGCAAAGTTACTTGGCGCATTCAACATCGCCACGCTACTTTTGAAAATCGCTTTGCGTCTCTTTTGTCTAATGACAAATTTTGAAAAATAATTTTGAAAAATCTACTTAAATTTTGTACCTATACCTTATGTTTAAGTCATTGTTGACTTGATCTTGTAACTATTTTTTATACAACCTCCGCAATATGGATTGGAGGTTAGGTTACCTCAGCTCGTGCACAAGATAATATTCTTGACAGTAGCATGCACTGTTATCAGGTATCCAATTCACGATCTAGCAGAGCACTGATAACACTTGTATGACAATGATTGTATTATTACATTGTGCAGATATGCCGTGTCTGAAGTGGGAAGCTGGATGGTCGAAGGATCTCAAGATATTTTGGAACACTAAACGGGTCTCCGTGAAATAGATGAGTGTTCTCAAAGCTTGAGGATATATTGTATGCTGTCACACCCGGTATATAGGTATCCCGTATAACATAGCATAGCTTTTGCTATGCTGTTGGTCTATTCGCTCATTCCGAGCTGAGTCACACAGCTCAGGTATCTCGTTCTCTCTCTCATTATTCGCTACCTCTCTCTTTCTCCTTTATAAGTCCCATACTTTTTCCCTTCTCTTTATCCGTGTCTCTTTCTCTCTCTCTCTCTCTACATCACTCTAATACCCATCTCACTCTGTTACAGTCCTCCTCTCTCTCTCTTGCTCTCTGGATCGGTTGACTGGCTGACTCGCAGGTTGGCTGACTAGCTCGCTGTCTCTACGGCTGGCTGGCCACCTTCCTCTCCTGCCGGTGAACGCAGGTTGCCAGCAGAGTTAACCTGGCGTTACCTGGCGGCCTGCAGCTTTAGTTCACTCACGTCACTTCGAGCAACCGGTTCGGCTCGACGCCGATCCCGGAGCCTTGTAACGATCGACCGTCCGTTCGTTCCTCGTTCGTCCAACTTCAATCTTGCTACGCTTCCTTTTTCTTTTTTTTTTTTATCACCACGCCACTCCATCTCACTGTTTACTGATTCGCGTCGTTACGTAACCGCGGGAACAACCCACCCGGGTCCGATTCACAGACTCCAGGATCACGTCGCTCTGCTTTTCCTTATAACCGAAAGATCAAATCTGATCTGCCAGTCGATTTTCACTTGGTCCACCTGGAAAACAAATCGCGGAGACTTCATGGTGCTTAGACCGAAGGTTCATTAGCTTGGGCGGTCCCGGAGAGTTTTTGGAAAGAAAAATTATCTAGCGGCAACAGGTGCCAGGGTAGACTGGAGTGAATTCGACTGTACGTGATGATTCTCGTGGACCGTCGGTTTCACTCGTGTTACTTCGTAAATAGTCAAGATCGGAGGACCCTGGAATGTCCGCGGTTCTTGTCCTAGGTGAATTATGTACCTATCAGCCCTTGCACGAAGGTCGCGCGATCGAGTAAAAGTACTCCCGTGTCTTCTGAGGTCTACGTGAACAGAAATCTGAAGAGGAAGACCCCGCTTTGGATTCTCATCTTGGCAGCTACCTCATGGACACCGCCAGGCCCTTACGGTACCTGCGACTTGTCTACCTGGGTCTGGTGCAGCTGACTACAAGACAATTGGCTCCGTTCGTTCCGGTCCGAGGTACGTGTCAGTTTCAAGAGTGAAATCATAAATTGGACAATTGAAGATTTTTGGGTGATACCTGTCAGACGAACTTTGAGAAGAGTCGAGAGATCTTTGAATACTTTTCAAACTGATGGACAGGGACATATTTTTGAAAACCCATTCAAACACGGATGAACTTTTGGTTGGACTTGAATTTTTTATTTTATTATTATTTTTTTTTTTTTCTTTCTCTTTGTCTCCCTTTACTCTTGTATCTTTTATTTAGCTCGCCCCTCTCTCCCTTCACTACCTCTGGATATCGTTACATCACCCTGCAAAGTTCACTGACTACGGCGAGCGGTACTTTCGAATCTTTGAAATATTACGGCGAAGACTTATGTTTCCTTCCTGGCGCAGTGGATTCGTTAAGAATCGTCAGCACGTAAATAAATACTTGACTAAGGTGTGTATCGTTGATTGAGCAGTTTTAAAGATACGCCAAGAGAATATTCTATTGACGAAGACCGGAAGATTCGTGCTGATAAATGAGTCGAATTGGTGTTTCTGGAAGTAAGTAAGTCGCACGGACTTCGGAGGGCGACGAGGTGTAAGAAAATGAAGTGGACGAAGGAGACGGCGTGGAGGATGAAGATAATTGAGGAGAGAGTGGGCTGAAGGCGTTCACGAAAAGAAGAGTTTAAACGAACGTGCGGAGTATCGTTCTCTCGAAGGAAAGAGAGAAGAGGATAGGGAGAACGAAGAAAAAGAAAAGGAACGGAAGTGGACGGGAGAACGGGCATAAATCGACGACGCACCCAAAGAGGAAGAGAGTTCAAGAAGCGGTGAAAAAGGATCAAGAGGAAGATACCGAGGAACCTGTTCGCAAGACGTTAAGTTACGGGACTGCGGGGAGCCCAATTTGGAGTAAGGCAAATTTACGAAGTGGTCCAAGAAAGACGTAAGAGACGATACGAAGCTTTTGCAGAGTGTTTATTGTTATCGTTAACGTTATCTTTGTTATCGGCCGTAGAACCGGTTGGTTCGATCAAAACAATTAATTAAGCTGTTCATCCTGTCCCGATGCAGTTCAGCGGCCGCTCTAAGATTCCTGCGAAGCGGAACTGTTCTTCACGGTACTTCCTGGGAACCGGAGTAACCTTCAGGAACCTCATGGGAACTGGTACCACTAAGAAGAATCATGCAAGAAGAAGAATCATGGGTACCGGCTCGTACCAGATTTTACAAACAATAGTGAGAACTTCATGGTACCAGGAAGCAATTTGAATTCCACTTCAGTGGGGAAGTTCAAAGTTTTCAGAATTACTCGGTGAAGTTCAGCGGTTGCTGAAGAACCAGCCGGTGGTCGTTGACGATGGTGCAGCGAATCGAAGGGCAATCCTGAATGATGGATTTCATGGAGTCCGATGGGAGGCTGGCAGGACTGACCGTGGGATGGATCGTGGGAATGATCAAAGTTCCGGATGGATTGCGCGGTGAAATTTGAAAGACAGCCGTGGCGAAGAATTGGAGAACCGTGCACCAAGATGGCGGGTGCTCGCTTCCGGGACGAGCCATCGATACGGAACGGAAGAGGAAAAAGAGGAGAGAGGAAGACGCTGAGGCTGTGGGGGAAAGAGAATAGAAAGAAGGTAAAAGATGGAGGGGAAAGGAACTCTCTCTCCCTGCTCCCATTATGTACTGGTTAAGGTACTCCTGCATTCTCTTCATCGTGAGACTTCGTTCCCAACTGTTGACTAGCTCGCATCTGAACTCCACTTCAATTATCACCGGTTCCTCCGTACCTGCGATCGCATAGGATTCAAATATTTTTGTGAACCATGCTCTAAAATATTTTTTTTTAAAATACGTCACACCTCCAACGATGCAACTGCAAGTGTTGAATCTTTGGTCTTCGACCCCAAGGCCATGTGAAGATCTGTGATAGTTTTTACACCAAAATGGTACACCCATTTTCAACCCAAGAGGAAATCACATTGGCTGTCAACGATCTCTTCAAGAACTTCTTATCGTTCAGGCTTGGACTCTGTAAATGGCACTGGAAGAATTCACGGGGGATCATAGCAACGGGCCCGTGGAGCTCCCGTGTCATACACAGCGTCCGGCCTTACTTCTGAAAGTAGAAACAAAAAACATTGAAGCTGCCTCATCGTTAATTTATTTAGCATACGTCCTCGCGACGATAAATCAGCTAATTACGAAATTAATTATTAGCTGTCCAGCACGTAATTACTTGCTACCGGCAAGACCCATGCTGGACGAAGACACAGTGTCCGTCATAAAATACACTTTTCGCGAAATATCAATGAAAATTATTATACCGAAAAATTTTTTTTAACAAATTTTCTGATCCCAATCAAATTCTACAAGGCCCATAAACGCAATTTCATTTCGCAACGATTCACTTTCAAGACCTAAACTGCGGTACACAGTGCCCATTATGAAGATCCTGTTTCGTTATCAAGATCATTTCTTGCAGGACCTCCCAAAGGTCCTTCAACCAGGTATTTAACGACGACTTCGTAAAATTTTTTAACGTTCTTAAAGCTGCGTTCCCACTTCGTTCTGACTTTTCATACTTAACGAGCATTAAATACATATATCAAACCGTACAGACGCATAAGTGATTAAACGATCATTCGTTATGAACGGAGCTTAAGCACAGCCCCGTGGCTAAAGACGTTAAAGCGAATTGCTGCAATTAGCATTATCTTAGAACCGGAAGTGGTTTGCGAGATCCAACCTAAAGCGTCTGTTTCTGCAAATCAAAAGTACATTAATAAGTACCATGCATTATTCTCATGCTTTTGACGCATGTAAAAATCTTCTGCTCTCTAAGGATCCATACAAGTGCGCACTGAAGATACGTTTTACAGATATACTGTATATATATGTAGCATATCTGTACAATAGTGCGTACGAACAGGTCGGTACGTTCAGGCAGTAAAAGTTCACACACGCTTCCCAGAAAGAGAGAACGTTGAACCTTGGAGTAATTCGGTGTGAAACACGTCATAAGATACAGTCTCTACAGTCTATGGGATATATCTCTTTGCGCTCTCTTACTCTCTGGTACGTGTACGGGTACATTGTAATATATATATATATATATATATATATATTACAATGTACCCGTACACGTACCAGAGAGTAAGAGAGCGCAAAGAGATATATCCCATAGACTGTAGAGACTGTATCTTATGACGTGTTTCACACCGAATTACTCCAAGGTTCAACGTTCTCTCTTTCTGGGAAGCGTGTGTGAACTTTTACTGCCTGAACGTACCGACCTGTTCGTACGCACTATTGTACAGATATGCTACATATATATACAGTATATCTGTAAAACGTATCTTCAGTGCGCACTTGTATGGATCCTTAGAGAGCAGAAGATTTTTACATGCGTCAAAAGCATGAGAATAATGCATGGTACTTATTAATGTACTTTTGATTTGCAGAAATTCAATTAATAGTGAGTCATTAAAAAATTTCGAATAATGATCTGTCCGTTTTTTTAAATAATTTTTTGAGTCCTCCGGTTATGAGTTAATGATTTAACGTTAATGAAAAAAAAAGGCTGGTTTCTATAGCCTAAAACTTTTTAAATTTTAATGATTTTCATAAGGACACCTGTTGAGCTGCACAGCCTACGCTCTTGGTGACGTGACGCTTGGTGTCTGATATATATACATACATATATATATACTAGTCCATACAGTGGAGTGTTTATGGAGTTGGCTGTAAAATAAAGAGCAAGGCGAATTTTTTGCAATAATATGAAAATGAATGACGATGGGTTAAGCGTTTCGTTGATTGAAATCATCCACGTGGCGTCCAGGCGTCTAATAGGGAATCAAGGGTGACGTCGCGACGCTATAGATAGTTAATGGCACACCTGTTGCATAAACTCTTACCACATGTTGCTTCGTGAATTTCAGAATTGTACAAGTCGAAGGACCGATACGGATTTTTGGATTTTTAGAAAAAAAAAAAAAACGGAATTTGGGTTTTTCCGAAGACGTATATTTGTCACGCGATCATAAAATGGATAATATTAAATTTTGATTGCCTAATTTATATTTATTCTCTGAATTAATTTAAACGTGTATATTGTAACGTATGTGGAATATCCTTGATTATACATTTCACGTGTCAGCATAGTTCCATGATTCCGTTTCCGGTAGATTCAAGAGCCATACTTCCGGTGCCCCCATGAAACGCAAATCAAAATGATTTTTCCACCAGCCCTTTAAAAAATAATCTTTCCCACGTTGTATCCGACGTTTATTAAATTTATTTCGCGCAGCAGGTGAACGTGGGTATTACATATGTATCCATGTGCTTTTCCCGTACGGGTTTAGCATGCGTGCAAGTAACACGTAACCAGAGCGTGCATGTAAACGCACCCTGCACTCTGTTTGACGATACTGCCGTAACTGTTTGTCGCTCCAGTTGGTATATAAACGGGCCAGATCGATTGGACCCAATATTGTTGTACCGATAATTCCAAGATATGAGAATTATGGGTGTTTAGTTGATGGATTTTTGTTTCTTTATTCAAGATTGAGGTTAGGTATCACTACGTGATATATACATATGTATATGGAAGTACGTGTACAAGATAAGAATACAGACAATTGTTCTCGTTATTTTCTTGGTTACCGTTAGACATCGTGCCTACTCGTACCACTTTTTTTCGAGTTCGAGGAAAAAGACCAGGTCCCTTTAGGGTACGGCCCTGGATTTAACGGGTGGTTAGGAGAGCGTGCCCCGGGCCCCAAGCAGAGTCAAAACTTTCAAGCAGAGCTCGTGCCGTGAATTTCACGTTTCCATTGTTTGTAGCTAGCAGTCCAGAAAGTGGAGCTTCCGGTTTCTGGTCAGATTGAAATAGTTCACAGCCATACAGTTCATCCAACTGGATACAGACACGTCCAACTGGACATTAGCACAGGAGTCACATACGGAGTCGTCGAGAAATGAGAAAAGAGTAACATAACCTTAAAAAAAATCAAAATAAAAACCTTAAATCTTTACATTAATTTCCTGAGGAACCAACGAAGGGACACCCCCAAACAGGAAATCGATAATGGGTTTACGGGGAGTAAAAAAAATATTTCTGATTTGGACCCGTCAGTAAACTGAAAGTCAGGTAGGAACAAACCGGAAGTCCTTAATACACAGTCCGGAAGTGTTACGTGGGAGCGGCGGAAAGCTCAACACGCTCCAAATGAAATTGACGAATTTCGGGGAATCCCCTTTGACAATGTAAATAAATGCATTACGTATATTTCCTCTGTTCTACGTATCTACGTAACGCAGCCATACAAAGAATTCAGGACCGTAACGATTATCGCGTGCGCCCTCGCCCTTTGTGTACCCGTTACAAGAGCACGCGGCTTTATCTTTATAGCAACGTGAATATCGCAGTCCCGTACCAACCTCGGAAACAATGGAGAAAGCCGCGTACTCACGGACTAAGCTGCAGTTTTTGTTACGACCAAAGTTTCATTCCCGTACCGTTCTCCTACCTCTGTTTCTTCTTTCTTTCTCTCCTTTTCTTGTGCCCTCCCAGCCCTCTCTACTTTTTCCCTCGAGCATTCCCTGGATCTCACTGGATAATCGTTGTGCAACGTTGGTTCACGGTAGATTGGATCAAACTCGTGATGGACAGTGTCGGCGTACCACGAGATCATCGCTGCCTTTATTATGCTTCGTATACGATAATCGTGCGGTCAGTAGGTTCTGTTACGATCGTACGCGTATCCACGCTTTACGATTTCTACGTATACGACGCTAGTCAAGGTAATTAAAGCTTTTTATAAGGGATGCTAAGAGCTGTTAGTTACTTCTTTAACCGATCCTAAGTATAACCCGTGGCGCTGCCTACCGTGTCGGTAAGTACAGTTAGTGGCCACTCTTCGAATATAATCTATGGCCAATAGCTACTACGCATGCCATATTTTAATACAGCCACTGGCACATCTCCTCATTGGAGGAGTCAGCCATAAGGAAAGGAAGGAAAGATATTTTAGTACACTCCATAGCCGTCGTAGCGGTACCGTCTCCGTTTCCACATAACCATATATATATTATACTAATTGTTATGCTATGGTAAGTATTTATAATAAGCTCAACACTGACTTCTACTTCCTACATACAGCGTTAATTAGTCCAATCAGTATTACCACGCTACCAGACAGTTACTTTGGATATACAGTGAACCTAACCTGAAAATGCACATGGTAAATTGTACCTAACAATACGAGAGGTTGCTCTTGAAATTCTTTCTGGTATATATATATATATACGTTCTTCATATAGCAGGGAATATGTATACGTACTCTTCTAACAGTCTGTATACCTTTATTGTGTTAATTAGTCCTGCCAGGGTTAAGTCGCATCAAAGATGGCGGCACTTTCCACAGAAATCCCGTGTATGCACAGGAGTATATACGGAGCGTGTGCATAAGACGCGGATGCCACGAGGAGTTTTCAGACGGTCATTCGTCTCGGTTGGACTTTTACTAATGTCTGCACGCGAGCAAAGCGTCGAGCCAGAAAGGATGGAGATGCGTGATTGCCACACTAATAACTGGAATAACGAGGCACTAAGGTAATTATTGTAGGTTAGGAAGAGTTGCGGTCTAGTATACATTGGATATATGCGTACATATATATACGTGGCTAAACTACCAAGGAAGGTAGCACCAAACAAGAAACGAACCCACAACAAATTCATTACGCTGCTAGGAATTTTCAGCGGGACATCGCCACAATTGTTCTTCGTTACCACAGCCATGATTTTTCTTTGTCCACCGTTGCGAGGAATCTGTTTAACGATGGCGGCACAGGCAGCGCAATAATGCGACGCACTTGGGGTTTTATTATGACTTGAGAAATCAAGAGAAACTCTTGTTTGTCAAGCATGAATGTTCGGTAAGTTTGTATTTTGAGCGGAATGTATTTATCTGAGTTTTGAATTTGTTTATGGGTCGGTATACAATTTTTTCGAGGCACTGTACAAGAGGGTTATTATATCATTATTTTTTATTTCGCTTATTATTAATTTCTTTTTTTCTTTAATCAACTCTGTAATTTTCTTGGGTCTATGGAAAAATCTTTACCTTCGCAATCTTTTGCTTGTTGGTTACGTACTATCAATTATAAACGTGCAATCGATTTTGATTATAGCGGACTTTCAATTTTTTTTTTTCTATTAGAAATAATGTAATAATACTGTGCAACCTTGCGGAGGTTATGATTGTGCAAGTTGAGGAGCGTCGATTAATTAATATGTTATTATTCAAACGTTTATTCTTCACTTCGTCATATTCTCTTACGTCGCACTTTGTGCACTTCGCTTTGTCTTACTCGATGTAACGCGTGTACTTAGCGGTATCGATTTTATGTTTTTTTTTTCTTGTGTCATACTATTTTATTATGAAACAAGGCAAGCCGAGCGTAGAAGTGATATACTTTTATTTAATTATTGCGATTTAATTTAATTTAATTTAATTTAATTTTATTTTTTAGCGATATATATGCAAAAAGCGGATACTTACGTAGGTGCTAATCTGTCTTTTAGGAACATCGTGTTGGTCTGTATTATAAATGAAAAGGATGATCTCGTGATGCTCGAACTACACGATCCTCGGAATTGCGCAACTATTCACGGAACACGAAACAATTAAAATTATTATAACACGAAGAGCGCGAAGTGCTAACGTGGAATCGAAGTTGTCATTCTCGTGTTAATGTCTGACCATCACGAGAGGATACTACCCTTTCAACGTTAACGAGCTTGATTAATTTTTCTGTATAAATGCAAAAAAAAATTCTACAGCCCAATCAATATATTTATATACCGTAAGGAGAAATATTTTTTTATTATACATTTGTAGGTATGCTTTTTTTAAATAAAAAATATTATACGTTTCGAAAATTGTCGCAATCCACTGTGGGTGTTCCGGGCTCATTTTCAAGGTTTTTCATTTGTTATGACGCGTGACATCAAATTCTTCGCATATGCGCGTCAGCTGTTCTTCATATTCGAAAGACGCGCCATGTATCTCCACGGAAATAATTAATATGTTTATACGCAAGCCGATGGGAAGCGTCCAAAAATATCAAAGATTGCTAATGACGTTAAGAATAATTTCTACCATTGGTTTAGCTTAGTAAATTTGATAATACGCCAAGTACGGGATTATTTGGCTGATCCGAGAATTAAGGTATTTTCACACCGAATAAAAATTTTGTATTTTTTTTAATTTTCCAAACATTTCCATCTTTACCTTGCACCGTTCATTTTCGTTCTTTCGATTGTCCAAATTTTTAGGTTATTAATTGTTAAGTGACACGTTATAAAATTATAGGTATCTTAATACAGTATTAGAATCGGCAATGGATATTATCAGTGCTTTCTAAGAAGTCTGTGCTTCTTAGCACCATTGCCATTCTACCATTTTTTTATTCGATTAATGAATTGTCAACTGATTAGATATCATTATCGTAGGTTGAGCCTTCTATAAATATTACCATGCTTAGGAAGATTTTCTAGTCCAAGCTAAAGTTTCGCGACAGATCAAATATGTTCAAGTGGATATGTCTGTCCGTGCTGGTGGCAACCATTTCATTTGTCAATGGTAAATTAATATTTAATTTAAAAGAAAATTCTTTTTCGAAAGACATTCGTTTAAATAATTTGAAAATATATAATTTTTTTTAATATCAAACAACCACCTCACATATGGAGTGATAAATATATTTTTGATAAATTCTAACAATAATTACCGAGACAGTCATTGTGCAATGAGGAAACATTGTTGTGATTATATTGTGAAAGTACAGCCAATCGCCTTTTCCATCCGATGAAATAATCGGTGATCAATGATTTCGAGGTTAATCGATTAGTTTCGTACGCTCTGCATAATTCGCCTTCACTCGCGAACACGTTAAACAAAACGTTTAATTATAAAATTAGTAAATTTCCAATACCTTAGATTTTAACAATAATCCTCATTGTTAATCAATATCCGATAAGGTTATGATAACGAGACGCTCCATAAATCTTCAATTATCATTTATCACAAGATCGATGTAAGGTGTCAGAGTCGTTTACATTTGAACGTACTAAATCTTTCGCTGACCGTTTATAATACTATGTATTCATATAACTAAAGGCGCATTCACACTGAATAATTACACTTGGCACTTGACTTTCGCCTCTGTACTTCCCACTCGTTATAATAATCATCCTGGCATTCAGTAACGTGTTCCGACATAATTTACCGACTGAGAAAGGACGCCGAGAGCTTCGACCGAAAATAATCCATAGATCGATCAATCCTATTACGTATTACTTTCAGGTGCCAATCTGGACTTGATCTCCTCGAGGATCGTAGGTGGCGAAGTCGCCAAAACGGGCGAATTTCCATGGCAAGTGTCCTTGAGAAATAACGGCCGACACTTTTGCGGAGGCGGCTTAGTTTCTCTGCAGCACGTGCTCACAGCTGCCCACTGCATGGTCGGCAAGGACACTTCCCTACTTACCGTCATCACTGGATCAAACAGGTTACCAACCGATCGCGTTAACACGTATAATAATAACTACGTTTGCAATAATAACAATTTCAGTAACACTTCAAATCTCAAAACAAAGTTTACTCAAGGACCGGATGATGTCGCACATTTTTATATAGCCGGTACCAATTCACGATCCTTCAAGTCGACGTGTCTAGCTGAGCTATTTCGATGAGTTCTAAACATTTATTCGAGAGCTGTGTTCCGGATTGAAAATATCGGCGGGACATTTGAATTTAGAATTTTAAGACCGTACTAACGTTGAGATTTATAGAGGGCTTCCGAGTCCTTATGACCGGCTAGTGTAAAATGGCTGTGCTCAGCGCCGTAATTAATTTCGCCACAGACTTGGCAAGTACATTGGTCGGACTGCATTGATTCCGGGAAATTGCATTATTTTCAGTTTGGCCAGTGGCGGCGAAACGCATGGAGTACGTAATATATCGATACACAGAAACTACGTAGGCGGTTCCGTAACTTCTTATCGATATGACGTATCGGTCCTTACGGTAATATTATTTTAACGTTAATTAAATAATTTGCAATAATTCTTTTTTTACTCAGTAACCTCTGATCGTCGTAAGACGGGTGACTAATTTTTATTGGAATAATTTTTTTAGTTGGCTGCCGAAATTACGGAATCGTCGGTACAGTATCCTATTGGATTACCGATCGAGAATACCGAAAGTGGCGTCCAGGCTCGTGCATCTGGATGGGGCAGGACTATTCATCCTGGCAGTTCGTTGCCAACGGCCCTGCAGAAACTGAATGTCACGATTTTGAATAATACCGATTGTCAGAGCTACCACAATTTGACTATTTACTACGATCAGATTTGCGCCATGAAGCAGTATGGATCAGGAATGTGCAACGTAAGGATCGTTCGTTGTTAATATTTTTTTTGGACTATGAAAAATGTATTTTCCAAAATTTTCAGGGCGATTCTGGCAGTCCGCTTGTTTCTGATGGCCGCGTGATCGGTATCGTATCTTGGGGCGTCACCTGTGCTCTTGGTTATCCAGACGTCTACACAAGGGTTTACGCGTATCTTTACTGGATCGGCAGCATTATTTATAATACAGAAACGCCTCCATCGCTCAAAATCGACAGACACGTACCTGGAAATTTTAACATCGATTCTAAAAATCTTTTACTACGATGAAAATTTTTTTGAAATTTTTTTTTTTTCCTAACGGATATTTTATTATTTAAACTCTAAACGTTTCTTATCCGGTTTGTACTTTCTTCCCTGTCACTCTCCTCAGTCATCCTCTTTTACTATGTCACTGTTATTTATTGGTCGATCATTTTCGATTTGCCACACTGTACTTTGAATTTCTACGGCGACTCGGCGCTTCCTTTACGCTTGATTTGTATTGCGCGTATGACGTCATTTTTTTCTGGGACGTAAATCGCGGACGATTTATATATAAAATATTTTGAAAACGTCGTTACATTGTTTTTACCCTAATTTGACATTCCGAGACTTCCTCAAGGATTTCTTTATTTCTGACTGCAACGATTCTGCTTCCGCGATTTTTGCATTAGGGATGTCTTACATATGTTTTTAATACAAAAAACATAGATGCGTATGTGTGTGTATTGAAAATTTGGTAAAAGAAATTTAAAAAAGCCAATTGCTAAGATACAAAATTCCGGAAACGAACGAAACAACCATATATGCGTATATCTACAACTTCCGGTTCAGAAATTCGGCAAGATCGAAGTCAATTTTGTTTCTAACGGCGAATGCGTAATATATGTTTTGAACGATGGTGCCTCAAAGCAAACCTATTTTCATTTTTTCCTTCGCCGGATATCTTTTTCTGTCTTTTTATTAAGTTAGGTTAAGTTAATTCTCTCCAGTAGTATTTTCTCGTATTATAAGTCAAAACTCATCAACTACCACACCGATGACAAATGGAAACTATGACTACTAGTATTTATTTAGTTTTCTAAATTTTTTACAAGACAAAGTGTTATTACTGGCACTTATCATGGGATTACTTAAACTGTTACGAAACGCGTTCGACTTTGTACATGAATCAATCCACAATGTCCTAGTATCAGTCACAGAAAAAATCCTATCAAGATACGAAACCAATGACACTTGACAGATATCATTGCCATTAGCTTAGAAGTTATCATGGACAGATAATGAATAGGCATTCCTATCGTAGTTACATGACACCAATAATATTTATTGATTAATCCTTTGTTAAAAAAATTTTCCTCTAAACATTTTTTAAAATTGCTATTGGATAAGAAGAATTTTATACAATTTTTTATCTTTTTCTTAATGCGATCTCACCACTTGATCTCAATTTCAATATAAAAGTGATACCGTCTCACTTAGCGTCAACGCCCACGTTAACGCCAACGCCATAAATTTCCAATGACAAATCACCTACCATAGATATAGTCAGCGTTGACGTTACCTGTCACGAAATATTTATTGACAAAAAATAAAAGATCCTTATCAAAAATTGATTACCCCTTATCACGAATCACTATATGCAATTTTTCGTTTAATTATGGAATAATGATAAATCATCAGAATACTAAAAAAAAAAGAAAAATGAAAATTTAAAAATATTTCTGAAAAACTGATTAACACCAAATTGACACCTATCGCCACGTCGCTATCATTATCATCAACCATAATACAATTATTATCACCGAAGACCATTAAAGTGCTGAAAAGATAATCTTTGAAAAAAAAAAAAACTAATAACGAGAAAATCATGAAGCCGTACAATGATTTATTACCGAACTAAGTTATGAGCACTTTACGAGTTAAATTGTCATCAGTTATATAAACACTTCATGACAGTACCATGAGCCATAAGATCATTAAAGTTCCATCAAGGTAGAATTAATCAGTAAAATCATTGAATGTTCAATGAGTTAATAATAATAATCAATGTCAAAGTTCATAATTTTCCATTGCTTAAGGTTTCTTTGAACCTTTTTTTTACTCCTTTTGGGTTCAGTCTAGGACAAACGAAGTGGCAAGTCTGAGTCCACTAGAAGGACGTGTTCCTTTAATTCGAAAGCTCTTCGCTCTTTTCGTCGATCCAGTCAACGAAAGACGATACCCTGGTGTAAACATCGGGAACACCGACGGCACAGAGTCTGGCCCAAGAAGTGATACCGACGACTGCGCCGTCAACGATCAGGCCACCGCCACTGTCACCCTGTTCATTGACAGGAAGAAATAATGTTAAAAACAAACTCAAGTTTGGCAGCTGTCAATTAGTTCAATGAGATGCCAACAGAGACTTACGCTACAGACGCCTTCGCCGTAAGTGGAAAAAGCACAGATATGGGTATCATGGATAGTCAAGGAGTGATATGCCTGACATTCTTCGTTTGACAGAATTGTCAAGTTGACACTTTGAAGCGCAGTTGGCAGGGAATAACCAGGATGTATAACTCTTCCCCATCCACTCAACGCGGCTGAAGTATTGCCTGTTACGTAATCGACGCCAACGGACGCTGGTGCTTGTCTAGCGGAGACAGGAGCTTCCGTTGACAGCTGTCAAAAAATTTGATGATAAAATTTCGTGTGACCATTCAAAATGATCGTACGACTTTACGCGATTGGATTTTTTTGGTGAATTGAATAAAGGAAAAAAAAAATGGTCAATGTACCTTTACAAGCGCTATGTCATTTTCCCAAGAAGATACGGCACCAGCTGAATAATTAGCGTGATAGATGATATTCTTGACTCCGTGATATTGACCACCTTTCGCCAAACTGTCACTTCCGGTGACAACGTTCACTTCATTGGCGGCGAAGGAGTCGACGCAATGCGCAGCCGTGAGTACCTAACCAAATTTATATTCAAAATGGACTCGTCGGAAATCTTTAATTTGGACTTACGATATCGCTCGATATTAAGGTGCCTCCACAAAAGTGTCTACCCAGATTACGTCTCAGTGACGCCTGCCAAGGGAAATCGGTTATGGCTGCTACCACGCCGTTAACGATTCTGCCGTCGATTGCGGCGCCTGTCGGAGGTTTTATATATTTTTATTGTATTTTAACGTGGATGATGATTTTTTTTATATTATATCGTCGCTTTTATTAATACGCTTTACCGTTTACCAATTCGAGAAATCCAAAAACTGCCAAAAATCCGGGGAGGAACTTCATGGTTGATTCTCAGCTTGCTGCTACGTAGTTAAAGATTTATCGCTAATGATTCTGCTTATATAGACGATTCCGTCTGATTGCCAATCGAATAAGGTTTAGGCTCCGGATTTAATCTTTTTATCGATAACTGATTATCTTATCCGTATTACAGGAGTATGACTTCCATTTTTTCATGGCTGATCGTAAGTCGGCATTTAGTCGACAATAACTTACTACTGCGTTACAAACATCCTGTCGTCTGCTTGGCTTTATTTTAAATTTTTCGAACTATATTTACATCTACTGAAATGCTTCCTACCTTTCTTTTCTCGTAGTAGATACAATTTTCGTGTTATAATTTGATTTTTTTAGCTGACAACAATTTTCAAAAATATTCTGTTTCACCTATAAGCTCCCGGTGGGTCTGAGAATGTTTGATAAGAGTGATAACAATTTTTTTTCACATTCTTCGATATTGCTGTCTATTTAACAGACGTCTCTTCACGTGGATCGCAAGAGGATGGCTCGACGTCGGGCGTCAGTCTGCGTGACGCTCATGAGTCCGTAGCAAATGCATCTGGAGCGCGGCCAAAAATCAAAAATAATTTGAAACTCGTGGAATCGCTTGTGATAGATCGTTCCTTGGCGTCTTCGACCAAAGTCGATTCTCCAAATTCTCCTACGTAAGCATATCATATGTATATATACTATATACATATATATATATATATACACATATATATGGGCGATTTCGTTATTTCTATATACGTGGTTAGCATTTTTTTTGACTCATTGCTATTTTCGATTTTCATATCAGACGTAGGTATCCGGTTTGAGTCGTTTGATCGTCGTGCATCTTTTTCTGTTTTTAATTCTTGTTCCTTACTGAGTATGATTTATCACGGAATATACAGATTAGAAATTATAAAGAGGAATTTTAGGAATCGATGATTTTCATTTACAGATATAAGATTTATTTGTTCGTTATTTTTATTAACTTATGGGTATACAATATTTGATATATCAATAATTGTATGTATGTATATTGCATTAGATGGTAATAATTACAATGGGATTTCGATAATTAGAATCTCAAGGGAATCGAAATAAGCTTCGAGTTATCGTAGTTTCGACCTATGAGGGTTTTTAAGTTAAAGAGGTGAAAAATTAAAAAATTCGAAGATCAATACGCTTATAGAGAGTCCCACTGTATATAATACAGATTATTGATGTGTAAATAAAAAATATCGTTTTTAATTAACAACTTTTTTATTGCTTATCTGAAAATTGGTAAAAATATAAATTCTACGTGATTCCGAGATATTTCAAGTCAATTGTTTCGTTCGCATCGATTTATGGCTGCATCAAATTAATCAAATAAAAATATAGCAAGGAGCGAATAAATGATGAAACTCCAAAGTCAGTGTGTGGTAAAATTTATGAATGTAAATCGTGACAACATATATATATATATATATATATATATATATATATTTAATCTTCATACTTCCATCTGGAAGTGGTCCAGAATGTATCAATTTTTAAATTAAAAAAACGACGATCAATGATATAAAAAAATTGATGAACAAAGGGGACTTAAAAGTGTTAAAAAAAAAAATTTCACCCGACGCGAGAAGAGCAAAAATCTGTACGAGTTTCCGGCATCGGTTGAAATATCGTGACAATCGTCGATTAACTATTTTAACGGAGAAGTTATTTAAAAAATGGGATTAACGAAAAAAAAAATTATAAATCGACAAGATATAGCCGCGCGTTAATACAGAAGACACTCGTGAGACGCGCTCACGCGAATAAAAAAAAATAGAAAGACTAAATAGAGAACGTGAATAAGCATGGGTAGGGTGAATAATTTAAAAAAAAAAAATCATAACTGAAATTTCAAGAAATCTGTCATATCCGGTGACTCCCTATATGCGAACACTGTACAGAATTTGCAACTCAATAAAATGACAATACAACGTTGATAAAATACATCGAATAGCATGATGCATAAAAATGATTTGAAAAAATTCAAAATAGACACCCTCATATACGGACAGTAAGAAATTTTCAAAAATTCTTCTTAGCTTCAATAAAATTACCATTGTCACTGTTAAATTTAATTTACTGCTCGATATCAATTATTTTCAAAATCATCGAAAAATTTAAAGCTCAAAGATGTCAAATAAATCGGCAATAAATCGTTTGGGCCAGATGAGGATCCGTTCGGCAAAGGATCTACGAGCGAATAAAAGGTACCGAGAGACAGTAAATCAGAAAAAGAGAATTAGAGAGTAAAAGAGAGAGAGAGAGTAAAATGGTCGATGAATGTACGTGTGCGTACACAGACATCCCCTGGTCCGTAGAAGTGTACGTGAGCAAGAGAGTGAGGAAGAGAGAGTTATTTGAGATCTCTCGGCGATCAGTCCAGTTCTGTAGTGCTTGGCGTCTGAACCTTAGAAAGTTGGTAGACCGTGTGTTCGGGGACCGCGCAGTTACTTACGGTGACATACGGGTGCGTACACAGCGAAAAATTCTCGTTAACGTCCACTGGCGTCCACCAATAAGAAGCACGAGACCTGCGGGAGCCCTAAATAAATAAAAGCCACGTTGGAATCAGCCTAGAACATCATTTACGTAGAAAGCCGTGCCGAATGATATTGACAATAGTGAAATCGTCGCGAACCTAACCTAAAAGCTAAGACTCGTAATTGTAAAAAAAAATTACATTAAAACCAAGACTTTTATATAAACAATAGTAAAGCATCTAACCGCACTAGTTCGATTTCCAAGAATATTCAAGATCAACAACAGCTGCATCCAGTTTAAACTTTCTCTTACAAGAAATCGACGTTGCACTGTAAGGTCGGGTAGCCACTTGACGAGCAGGTATAACAAAGTGGCAGTAGAAGCCAGGAGGACGGCCGTGCCGTTGACATCGTAAATAGACGCAGACGTCTCTCTCTTGAATCATTGGTATATCCGTTAACGTGTTTAACGGCCAACAGTGACAGTACGTAAGATCGAAGGAAGAAGCTAAAGGAGAGAAAAAAGTCCCGAGAGACACGAAGTAGTCAGTGATGAAATATCGAAGAAAATAGATAAATCGCAAAGGCGTGACTGTAGGCGGTTGTCGACAAGGCTTTAGGGTACAACGTTAGTCGTCGCTACGTTGTGAATCCGCACGATTTTGACGAGCGTCGATGAGTCGTCGTGTGCGAGAAAAGTGTCGTCAGGATTACGTGACAACGGTTACGGATAATAACCTCTGAAAATTCACAAGACAAAAGGACGCCAAGTTTAACCGTCAAAACGGGACGTTTAAACTACGTGCAAGCTGTAAGTACGTGTCCCGTCGCTCTAATAATATCTTGACAAGGATCGTTGAACCTGCTGCAACTATCTTGACCTTTAAGATTGTGGGATTTAGTCCTCGAGCCAAGCAGGAATAAGTTTGCAGTTTTAGTTAATATAAATTACGTGAGAGTATGTCAGGGGACACGAGTTCGGACGAAGACGGATCGCAGGACGACGTGCCACGATACGAAATCGATGATCTGGAGATCATTAAGACGATCGGTGAGTGATATTTTTTGAGAAAATAATAATTTCGCTTTTTCTTAAGCGTACACTAACACTCGACATTTTATTGTCAATCTTTTTTGTCATTCGATACATTTTTTTTTTAATTCTCTACTGTGAGTGTACGCGTCTCGAAAGCGTCTTGACGCCTGAGGAAAGTCAGATACATGAGGTTTGCTAAGTGAGCAAGTGGGCCACTGGAGAGTCAGTCGGATCGTTGGGTATATTTAACTCTTAAAGCCAGTATCACGTAGGAAAAATCTTGCGCGAATGGATGACTATGATGATTCAGCAGAGTCTCTTTTACACGAGAGTCATTGCGCGAATTATTATGATCACGATCGTTTCCGCGTCTGCAAGATCGTCACGTGTTTCATGGGGGCGTCGGATATTTTGTGATATGTATATGTATATATATATATATATACACACGAATGGTTCTACAAAAACGTCGTGACATTATAACGAACCTCTGTCACGTTTCGTGTATTGTTCATCATAGCCCCTACATAAGTTTTCTCAACACCGTTATCGCTGCAAACTCCTTCTTTATTGTTACTCCAAAAAACTCCATATCCTTATACATCTTTTCCCTTACTTACTATCTTCGAAATCATAAAAAGCAAACGCCCCTTAATTAATCGGTAGTGTGGATTTTGCACGAGCTACGCGTCCTACACTATATACTTATTATACACTCAAACATTGATTTTCGTTTTATATATGGAAATCCACCAATTATCCCTTCAGGACCCCATGAAGAAATTGCTGAACGTTACAGATCTTTTTGGAGGCGAATCGCAGCGTCACGACGTCTTTTGATCGTTAAACAAAAGTCCTATGACGTCATTATTTTGTTCTAGAATCATTAATCGATTAATCGTACAAAGAATATTTTACGTCTGTCACTTTGATATTATTATAACAAAGAATACGGTACGCTGCAGCAATTACGTAATACAAAAATAATAATAATAACTGCATTCTGGCAATTATAATTACACGCTTGTACGCCATCTTTGACAAATGAAAATTCAAGTCTGACGTTACGACCACTCGTCGCTAACACCTGTCGTTCCGTTAGCAAGGGACAGCGGTAAGAAGTTCCGCCATTAACTAGACAAAACATAGCTCGTCTTTGGCTGCTGCCAATTTCAGTATTTATAGACAAAAGAAATGCGTCTGTATCATAGGATTCTTGTCCGTCTCTCGTAAATACAAATTTTTACAACATAACCTATTACGCGTAATAACCCAGCATTTTGTTCCCACACGTAGGTTATAAAGAGAAAAGACGATATAATATTACGAAGAAAAAAAAGTAACAGACGCGTAATGGCAAAAACACAGCATATGTCCTGTACGCATAAAGATCCAAACACGTGTTATTTAGAGATGAAAGCAACTGAAGAATAAAAGTTAATATATATATATAGTTATACTAATTTTTAATTGAACAGCAGCCAATTTCGGTCAGGCTTCGATTGGCCAGACACTAATTAGATACGGTTCGTTAGACGGTCTATCTTCAGGACAATTAGGAGCTTACAAGCTTAGAATAGAATACGAGCTTTGATATTTTAAACGCGGTCAGCCTCTCTAATCGTTGGGTCACTAACGCATGGGTATCTACAGTTATCGACGTAGGGTCTTGTACGGTCGGTATGGTAGATTCTAATGTTAATATTACCTACAGAGCACTAACCGAAACTACTCGAAAGTTATTATATTTTTTTCAATGATATTTATCGTAATGATCAAACTATTTTAAGGTACGGGTACATTCGGTAGAGTCGTCCTCTGCAGGCACCAAGAGAGACCATTGGCACTGAAAGTCTTATCTATGGTTGATGTCATCAGACTTAAGCAAGTCGAGCATGTGCGCAACGAGATATCCGTCTTGAAGGAAGTCAATCATCCTTTCATCGTTAACATGTGAGGAAACCATCGGCAATCATTCATTCTTAACGTAAATACACGTTGTACGGTACATTGTTGCTATCCATCAAGCTGACTTTGTGTACCAGAATATTATTTGGCATTGAAGTCGTCATGCGGAAGTCATTGGACAATGACGTGTTCAGTTATACTTGTACAACGATATTAAATCTCTTAAGTATACACTCTGTAGGTGATATGCTAATTTTGAAATGACTTTTTGAACTTTTTTAGGTTATGGAGCAGCAGGGACGAAGCCAGGGTTTATATGTTGATGGAATTCGTCCCAGGTGGTGAACTGTTTTCTTATCTGAGGGCAGCGGGACGATTTACGGGACCCACCAGTTGTTTTTATGCGGCTGAAATTGTCTGCGCTTTGGAATATCTGCACAGCAGGCACATTGTCTACAGGGATTTGAAACCTGAGAATCTTCTGCTGGACACACAGGGTCATCTTAAGATCACGGATTTTGGTTTCTCTAAAAAGCTTACTGACAGGTTTGTATAGCAAAAGCTACATATATAACTTAATGGTATAAGAAAATATGTCTATTTTGTAGATATAATATCTTAGTAAAGATTTTTACAGGTTTATTCAAAATGGCAGATCCACTACAAGGATTTATTATTTGTATACTTAATTCAATTTTATTTTCAAAGTACAGGTTAATTTGATATTATTAGTAATATCATGATTCCTGACGAATCTTAATTGATCTCATTGTTTGCACTGTACTTTTTGAAAATCCATTCGTTATCGTATGATATTTTTGGATTCTCTGTTTACATTCTGAAAATTACTGTTTGATCTAAAAACTCTGTCTCGTGATTCGAAATGATTTTTTGATTATGAAACGATAATAAATAATAACGAATCTCACGTGGGAGCATGAATCAAATTTTATATATCTTCAAAATCGAAGATCGGTTTTACTTCTTATATTTTTAGTACGGCCGAGACTGTATGCGGATCATATAGTCATCGGCTTTAGTTTTTCTTTTGATCGCTAATTCCTCGCGTTTCTTGCTTTTATATTTTACATACATATTATATTCTATAAATGTATAGTTGGGAGAAATATAATTTTTCAAAATGTTTATTCTCATTGCAGAACGTGGACGTTGTGTGGTACCCCTGAATATTTGGCGCCAGAAATAATTCAAAGTAAAGGTCACAACAAGGCTGTTGATTGGTGGGCTCTTGGCGTCTTGATATACGAAATGCTATCCGGATTCCCACCTTTTTTCGATGACAATCCGTTTGGCATCTACGAGAAGATCCTTGGTGGAAGGATAGAATGGCCTAAGCATATAGATCCGATTGCCAAGGATCTTGTTAAGAAGTTACTCGTCGCCGACAGAACAAAGAGGCTTGGAAACATGAGACAAGGGGCTGAGGACGTAAAGAGACACCGTTGGTTTAAATTAGTCGATTGGCCACTGGTAATTATTTACTTATTTATTTATTTCTTGATTATGAACATTGATAAAAAATAGTTTATATTTATTGTGAAATTAAGGAAATAATCTATATAAATAATACAGTACGTCCTATCCTTGATAAATATAAGGTTGACACGAACGATTGCATTTATATATGTGTAAATTATTTATTTTATTATTATAAACTGCAGTTCGATATGTTATCTATGGAAAGTTGTAATTATACACATTCGTGATTGACCCTTGATATTATCTATGTTTCATTAAGTATTTTTATTTCAATTTTTAGTACTGTTTTATGATTTAGAATTTTCTACAGATACTTTATGATTGATTTTTTGCAGGTACCACAAAGGGCATTGACTCCTCCCATAAGGCCCAGACTTAAGGCCCCAGGTGACCCCAGCTGCTTCGACGATTATCCAGAAACTGATTGGCGATCGCAGCCACCAGTTCCTCCCGATCAATTAGCGCTGTTTCAAGATTTTTGACAAGAAATTTAATTTCTCCCCACAAAGTTCACAAGGACGCGTGACACTGATTTTTATGCTTAATGCACACGAGTACAATCGCGGCCGTATACGAATAATAATTATTTATTAATAGCTTTACGTAATTTATAATTATAAACTGACGATCTGAAAGTCTGTATGCTTTGGTGAAAGCAATTCGATCTTTTTTTCATTAATTTGTTGTCGATCGACAGTAGTATTTTGCTCTATCTGAATTCGTTATTGTTTCATTGATAATGTTACGAATTGCTTACACAAAAAAATGTCGAACAATATAAAAAATGTCTTATCACGCCTATAGACTTTTGATCTGTCAGTATAGAATTGTTCCAAGCTGATTGGCTAGTTTTTACGTTTTCTTATTGTTTTGTAAATAAGCGCCTGGAGTTGCTCTTATTATACATTATTTATTTTTACACCAAGTACTACTCAATGTATACAGTAGTATTGTACATAAAAAGTCGCCATAACGGGTCTTTGTGAATTGATCTATAGGTAAAAGAATTAGGTGAAACATATAGATTTATTCACAAAGAACTGAAAAGAAATGGACTGCTTAATGAAGAAAAAAAAACGTCAAAATCTATTGTGATGCAAAAATTATAATGCTTTATAGTCAAAGAGATAATATTGCTTTTATTTTTTACTTTCCTATGTCATACCAAAATTAAATGCACGATTTACGATTGTATGCATTTGATATCGTAAGTGAAGGCCGTATGAAACCTTGATTGTCAATACAGACAATACGTCGATTAAAGTGATATGAAATTATGCCAGAGAGCTAAAAGGCAGTCAGTACTTGTACTGAGTTTGTGCGAGCAATGCAATCGACAAACTGGGCGACTGTCCCTCGAATTTGATTAGGTTCAAAAAGTAGATACAAAAAGACCCCTCAATACACGTTTATCGAATACACTCAAGTAATATAAGAAAAAAAATCAGTGATCTGGCGAGAAGTATTACTATACACGGTTTGAAATATTTAAACGGATCCACGTGCAAAATTGACAAAATACACACATTTCTAGCAATGTCTATGATGATTTCTGTCTTTGCAAGTAAGTTCATACTGTTTTCCTTGTAATTGTCCGAAGACATAACAATGACATTCTATGGCCCCCACATTAGCTTGTTTCCTACTGTTGTACCAAATTTGGGTAAAACACTGTCAGAATGATATGCAAACAATTGTATTGGAGAGTTCAGAGTATAGAAATGATTTTCCAAGTGTCACCTTTTGTCCACAAAGACCAATGACGGAGGAAAGGATTAACAAAATTTTACAAAGGATGATCTTGCCTACTGGTCTGCGAGCATCAAAATTTAGACACAATATAAGGTACAAATATATTATTGTACTGAATACATACTTTTTTTTTATATACAATAGAAGAAGTCGATAAGGTATATTTTTGATTGTTTCCTTTTTTTAGGCATTACCATGAGTTCCTAGCTCACACAAAAATAGACAACGCAACCATATTTGAGATGATCAATATATTGAAAATTAACAACATGACGATGAATGATTTGATAAATGATCTTATTGATCCCTGTGAGAGCTTTTTACATTCCTGCTATTTCGACGAGAGGAAAATCTCGTGTAGTCATTATTTCAAAAAAATAATGGCTGCACGTAGATATTGTTGTACTTTCAATAATCGTTTTTATTCTGACAAGAACGAGAACACGTATCGTCCCAAGACAAAGTCTGTGAAGTATAGTCCATATTCCGGCTTGGTTCTTCGTTTCAATGAAAATCGATTTGGGAGTAACACAATCGATAATAATGAAACGAAAAGTAGTGTTTCTAATGAAAATAAAATCTGGGTATGTAGACAACAAAAATAGTCTGATGAACGAATTAGACTAAGTTACGTAAAGACAATCGAATATTATTTTGATAATTTTTTTGTATTTACTCACAGATATGTGTACTCAATTCTTATGAGAGTCTATCCGGTACACTCATCAACTATGCGATACAACCTGGTAAAGAATTACACGTAAGATGTCACTGATGATTAGTTTTCTTGTTGCCATGTTGTTAAGTCACTGAGACTGGTCATTCGTAGATCCAAGTGGAGGTGTCGGTGAAATACGCGGGAAATGATTTACACAATGATTGCGTTGATGGTGACGTTGAGGAACGACCGTATGTTCCATTTTACTCCGTTTCCAATTGCAAATTGAGCAGCAAAATTCAAAAAGCCTATCAGCATTGTAACTGCATTCCTTACTTTTACGCCTATGGACTTGTCAATCATTCGAAGGAAGTACGTTACGCAACTTGATACTATTTTTGTAATATACACAAGTCGAATACGGATTGTTAAACAATTTCACTTCGTGTTTCCCTTATACTCGTTCTTTAACATTTTAGATATGTGATATCGAAAAGACAATTTGTTTAAACGATAATCACAACGATATATGGCGAGATAAGCAGAATTCAAAATATTACTATGAATCGCTGTGTCCATCCACGTGTAAAATATTTAACTTGCGGAAAACAACTACCGATATACCCATAAATGGAGGAGATTTCGCGTGTTCTCGGATATAGTGGGTAACTTTAATGAATCTTTCGCAACTTTACCAAATTTCATGTTTTATTCACTAACTGAACATATTCGATATCATATCAGTGAAAACATAACGAATTGTGGTGCCATCTTGAGAGTTTATTTAAAAACGGAAATTTCGAACTTATTTAAGCAAGAGGACGTAAAAAACGAATTTAACTATTTTGGTAAGTGATTTTAAATATTTATAATTACGTTCTAGTTGCTCGTGACTTTTTAAATTACATGTTGCTCCTTTTCTTCATAGCATATTTAAGCTACATTTTCAGTTTCTACTTGTGCTCCAGGATCATCAGTATTTTTAAAATTCTTTGTTTTATTGATTTACTCATTACATTCTTTTTATTAATCGCACTTTTCACTAGAAACAATTATCAGTAAATCACGTGCTTTGGAAAAGTAGAAAGATTTTTGAAATCCGGATATGAGTATATATTGATTAGCAACAATCAATTGGAACAGTTAGAGCAACGTACATAGTAAAGTTACAAAGTATATATTGTATGTACGCGTCAAGATGTTGTAGTTTTATTTTGAAAATATATATCATATTGATTTTTATTGCCAATAAATTTTATTAAAAATAAATTATATCTAGTGATGAAAACCTTGTTCTAAATATAAATATTATTGTTGTGTGCTCAACGTTTTCCATATTGAGCGCTATGCTGGAACTTTAATTAACAAAGACATGTATGACTGCCGGTAGAATTACAATAATTAAATACATGGAATAATTACATTCATTATCGAGAATGCGAATTTTAATAAAATATTGAGAGCATGCAAGTCGAATAATTTTTTTTTTTTCGATATTCGGATTAGATTTGGACAAATTTGACTCAATAGGCATAGCATAATCGTGAATCACAAATATTTGTGAATAGACCAATTCCCAGACTATACATTGTGATCGAACAAAAATATAACATAAAAAATATTGTTATCAGATTTAAATCAAACAAAATACTATAGTCAACAAATTATATTATCCACGTAAGGGAACCGAATATTGTCCTTTTTCGTGAACGTAATATTTTTTTGATTTGCTCTATTAAAAATCGTATAACATACTTCTCTGACATCTATTCCTAGGAACTAGAACCTCTTCCTACATGGCAGCTTCACGAATAACGTGGAGACGTGTCACTTCGTTGTTTTTGTTTGAGCCATTGTGACCAACCCTAATCATGACAAGAAACAAGATACCCAACAAACTATTTGTATAGGAGGAAAATATAAAATAATTAATCCCCCCCAATAACTTCCACCAATTAGCACGAATTTCCAAATCTAAATTCCCCGTGCCGAGACAATAAACAAACGTATTGGTGTTTTGCCAAAAAAATTCAATCAGTCATTATATCCATTGACAGTACGGTCCCCTTGTCACTGTCATTGATCACAATAGTTCAACTTACCTTCATACCGTAAAACCAGAAGCCAAAAAGACGCCCATAAGATTTCGTTATAAATAAACAAAAAGAACACAAAATCTAGACGAATTCTTCTCTAGTCCCGCTCTAAAAGCTGTGACTGCCGGTAAACTTGTACGAGTTTTATTTTTGGAACAGCCTCCAAAAATATCAGGTTAAGTTATCTATAGTAAGCCAGCCGTGAGCTGGAAGGACCAGCTATTTTCAACTGGCCGCCTACACTACAGAAACAAACCCGGCCCGGTTTTCTGGTTTCCAGTAATTCCCAGCTGTTCCACAATGAAAGTAGCAATATGAGGAATAGTAACAAATTTTTGTACACGATACCGAAGAAGCTTCTCTTCGTTTCAACAATTTGCACCGTTGATACAATGCGATGCACATAGCAGGACAAACATTTTGTTCACGGGATCATTCAACAATTGTGTCAGAGGCCACGTTAACAAACAAAATATTCTTTAATGGAGTCTTGTTTCTTTTTTCTTGTTCTCAACAAGACTTTGTCGTCGCGCTAAAAGCGTTTGATCTTCTTGGTCTGTGACCTAAATGTTAACACTGTACATGTATAGTTTAATTAATTATCATATTGATTACAAAAGATTGACTCCCGGCCGCGGGTGGATGACCGATGACGATGATTGGCTGGGGTTGTTCTTCCCGATGATTAACGATTTATTAGTTGCTATTGGATGAGGTTAAAGTTGATTTGCATTAAGATACGTCGCGATGATCGACGACGATCTGTGGCATCGTCTGCTGAGAATCCCATGACTTCAGCCGGTGACTTTCCGTTCTTCCATTCTCAGCCCTGAGAAAACAAATAGCTTTTTTGAGCAAATACAAAAACAACAATATTTTTACCCTCAAAAATATTCTTTATACATTTTCTTCATATCCAATATCCAGGGCATAACGGGTGACAATAATTTATCAATGCAACTTGCAACTGTTAACCTGTATTACAGAAACGAAGTTGTACGACACAAAAGCACATTCTGTTTATCGGATTGCACAACAGTTACTGTCACTGAGCATTTAAATACAGAGACTTCAACGCCCGACTAGGTGACAAGAAGATCACATACAATATCCTGATTTTCTTGAGAAACCACTAAAGAAAGATCTAATGTATAATATTTTCAAAGAAAGTTTTTAATGTAAACCGAACAAAAATTCTTGTGACAAACTAAAACTCTGTGTATCATATATTACAAAAAGTTGTGTTAAAAAAATAATATAAAAGTCAAAAAATATTGAATGCAATAAGAACAGTGACTGTGTCATTATGAACTATCGTCACTACGTTTATCCCATTGACAAATCATCACCACTCACCATCACGAGGAATGTGTTGCATTTTAGAAAATCCCGGCGTACAAGATCCAAAGGGAGATCAATAGTAAGATGAGAATAAGGTAAGTGGTTAAGATATTGGTCGTTTCGCTTGGCTGCGGCATCTTCTTCCTCTCCTATGGTATCTCTAGGTACAAGATACAAAGTAAGTACAGTCTGGTCTACGAGGTACGTGAATACTCGTGAAACTATGAAGAGACCTGAGTCTACCTCGGAATCGGAGCACTTGTTTGCGCCTTAGGCTTTTGACGTTGACTGGATGAAGAGCAGCCAAGGATTTCTTAGCGTTCCCGAATATTCCTCCAGGAGCACGAATTACCACGAATGGTGGGAGGTGGTGTCCCACCTATCACGCCAATCGGCCAACTTGCCACCTCCTACGCGATCACCTCCACCGTCCTGTTGAGTTACTGATTTTTTCTAAAAAAAAAAAAAAAAAATTAGAAAAAGACAGAGCTTGAGCTTTTCCTAGAGAAAGTCATATCAGGTATTTTTTTATATCGGGACCCCGTTTCGTATTTTGACTCTTTAATTAGCTGCTAGATTTATTTTTATTTTCGTTTCTAATCATTTGACGTGTGGTTTCGTTGGATTTTTTTTAATGGTTGGCTATCTTTTTTGTCTGGTTTACTTTGGTTTTTATAATTTTTCAATTATTTACTGGCGCATTTATCGCTGTAGCTCGTTGTATAACGTGCTTGACTAGAAATAGAAATGCACGATAAAGCAATGGCTACACACGAGTCGATACTAAATTCAGATCGATTTAAAGGAACCAAACGCTTTCAAGCTCGATGCCAAAGTTGAACAGTGCGCTTTTATCTAATCGAAGTAGTATTTCGAGTGAAATCAACATTATTTAAGAATTAATGGGGGATCGAAATATTCATAAATTTTTATCAACACTAACGACAGTACATATATACGTATAAGTATATTAACCAATTGGTTGAGGAAGACTAAGAAAAAAAATTTTGAAAAAGTTTTTCAATCCATCTAATGATTATTATTGCGAAAGAGCATTCTAAAAATATAAAAATTATCTTCCCTAACTCGTAAACGTACCTGTCAAAAAAAAATCAAGAACTTTGATCAAACAACCCATCAACCGTAAATGACATGTTTGACATTTCAAATTTTGGCGCTACCGGAAATACGAAAATGCATACGTACGTTCCAGGAATTGACGATTGGGTATAACGTGTAGCAATAGTAAGGCCTAGTTTCCATTTCGACCGCTGATTATAATTTATCTGACGGCAATAAAATTCGCGGTCGGGAACTGCGGAAAACGAAAGCGGACCCTTTTATTTTTAGACGTCGGTTTTACCACACCCACGGCGCCACATTAAAGAATTTCGAGCTTACGTTTGCCATCTTTTTTTTAATTTATATATATATATATATATATATATATATATATATATATATATATATATATTACCTCAATATGTTTGGATGACTCAGCTTGTTCATAAGTTGAACTTCCTTGAGCATGTTCGGTCTGTTCGCCGCAAGCTGGTTTTTTTTTTTATATATATATATATATATATATATATATATATATATATATATATATTCTCATCTAGTTTATTAAAAAAAAAATTCTCGCCGTTTGCACACTCGAAATTCTGCGGAAATCCGCCAACAGCAATCAGGTGACCCCCAAATGGCACATGGCTAAAAATGTATCGACCCGACGTTACCGAATGATTCAACGACAACTATTTTCACTGACACTTTGCACTTCCGATAATGTTAAAAATAAAAGGTAGATATGTGAAATCCTTAAGAATTGAAAATATCCATTTATTATCTTCGTAACTATAGCAACCTGAAGAATATCGTCTGGGGAGACGAATTCAATGGTCCAAGTAAATTGGCCGAGGCTGTGAAAATAAATTTGACAGCCTGATTATTTCTTTAAGACTTATCATTGTTAAAGAGAAATAAACTGAACATACGGTTCAAGGTATCCACCAGTCATTATGATCGTCGAAATAATTCAGAACGGAAACAAGCGAAATTGCATATACTGCAACTGTTAGAACTTACAACGTTCTTCCTATTCTCAGTAAAATGACAGTGACAAACAATAACAAATTTTTGTACGTCAAAATTGTATTATAAATATAAATTGTGTGAACCAATGACGTGATTTAAGCACCAACGGCTAAAAGCTCTTTGGACTGACGTACATATGACATACTGTGAGATGACTGACACATAGAGAGAGTGAAAAACAAAGAGAGAAATATTGACAGCCGGACGGCTGGACAGATGGTAGAATCTAGGTTGACTACGGTGGTTAAACATTCGATTGACGCCACGTTGTCAAAGACATTACGGAACATACGTAAATTTTCTAAATTTACTCGAGGACAGAGTCGTCGCCCTAAACAAAGAGTGAAAAATAAAAAAAGATGAAAAAGAATACACAATGTTCGAGCCCCCAGGCTTGTAAGCATCCATATGTCATCTACTCGTCAGGGTGAAGAATGGCCATTACGTAAATACTTGTTGTTCCTTTTTAACTTCGTAAACAAAATTACCCACTATACACAACCCGGTTGGTATATATTCCGAGAGTTTACTCGTGACCGTCGGTAACACGTGTTGTCGATCGGCGGCCATCTTGACACTGTGATCAATGGAGCAATTAGATTTGAAATTGTAATATTTTGTAACGGCTATTAGAAACGTACTAATTTATTATTATCAAGCTTTAAGAATTTGAGGCTTTGTATAGATTTTTCATTTCACTCATAAATACAATTCTTTAGCTTAGGACGTTTGGCGAGAATATTTGGAACGAGCCCCGAACATGGCGGGGGATAAACTTGACTTTGGTTGTCATTGGAAGAGAACGCGACATTATCGAGACTGTTCTACTTTTTAAACGCGGATTCTATATTTAAGGCATAGCTAATAATATATATGTCTATATTCGGTGCCGGTCAAGATACAGCTTTCGTTGTTACACGTATTTGCAATGATAACTGACACGGTGTTCCTTGATGATGAATAATTGTATTGACAGAAGTGTTGTTGGGAGTGACACTGTTATTGTTTACAGTGACAGGAGTCGATCGAAGTGTTTATGAATATAAGTCGGATTGTATCGATTAAAATGTTATAGTCACTGTTGTATATTCCGATGGTACTTTACTGAATTAAGATAAATTCGTAGAAATGCAATTTTTAAGTGAAAAGTCGTTGATTTCCGCTTGGAAATAATTGCAAGAAAATAGAAACTTATATAAAATGGTATTTGAGAGCGTCCGACGATTATTTTTAAATCGGAGCTTTTTGACGAAAGCGCTTTTCTAACAGCCAAACTGTAAAGCATATGCGAATGATCAAGGTAGGACAGTTTATTTTTCTGTTTAGTCATAAGTTTTGAAATTTGCCATATTTTTGAAATTTAGTCCTTGACTATCAGGCTGGTTACAACGTCAAAAAATTATGACTCATTTTTTTCGCAGAAACAATGACTTTTCGATTCTTTGAAAAAATTGTTATCCCTTGTACAAGCTCGAATTTGTTCGATTTCGAAATGAATAATTTTAATAGTCTAGTACAGCCTGAGGAGAGGGAATAATCATTTTTCAAAAACCGATACGTGCAGATACTTTGTGTAATGAAAGAAAGGATAATAAAAATAGGAATATACTGAAAGCGATCAACCACATACACTTACGCAAGGCAACAGCTGAGGTCACGATCTTCAAATATAATTTTATTAATACGCATCTTCACACTGAAAAAGAAAAGATTGCACAGGCAGTCCCACAAACAAGTACGAAGTGCATAGGTATTATTACGTATGTACAGTCTTTTCGTTATTGCAAAAATTCCTTAAGACCTCTGTCGGACGGAAAGATCAAAAAAGAATATTGGCGTCAGTCCCATATTATCTTTAAACCTGGAACTGCCATATTTCTTATATTCTTTTTTTTCCTCATTCCGCCTCTTTAACGATCAGTCGTGAATTTCGAGGTGGAAAAATATTGTTCTTGTTTGTACAACTGTAATACAATTTTAAAATGGAATTTCTAATTTTATGGACACATGTATTATTATGGGAATCATTGACTTCGTGAATTATCATACGACTGGGGTCAAAAGTCTTGATTAAAATTTCCAAATTAAAAGTTTGTGTTAATGTTTTTTTTTTATTAATAAACGTAACAAAAATATTTATTTTTTACACTTCCGCTTACAATGCAGATAAGTAGCTGGTATACAAATTATCTTTACGTAACACTCAATACAAAATGTTGATTGCTTAATCTCATAAGAGATAGAGACATCTAAAAAAATAGTTGAAAAATTGTCAATCCAAAAAAAACGTTCGTTATCTAAAACATTTTAAAACCTCTTGGCTACTCACGACTTTCATAGCGTCGTGTGAATAGTCAAATTATAAATATTCTGATATTGTTCGCAAAAATAAATAATAAAATATAAAAATTACACTGTTAGGTCTATATGTTACATAAAAATGACTTAATGTTACAAATTAACACCTTGAACCGTTAATTGACAAACTTATCATCCACTCCTTTATCTGACATGAGTCAGAGTAAGAAACCGCATGGATGTTTTGAAAAGCTTATCCGTTTTGGCACACCCGGTATAAATTAATTATCATACGCTCTTATCCCTAGATTCTTGGCACACATTCAGAATAGAATTGAAGCTCAGTAATATGGTAAAATAAAAATAGCGCCGTTTGTCTCATGTTGTGGAATGCTTCCAGGTACAAACACTAAGTACGATCTGTTTTTTAAAAGAATTCTATGTAAAAATAATTAACAATAAAGACTAAAAAAAACTAAGCGAACTAGAATCGAATATCAAATTGATTCAACTAAAACCTGAGTAGCTAATAACGAGGAATGTACGTTATAATGAACTCATTACAGTTTTAAAAAAACGTCGTTAAGTACGTAGACAAAAATGATTACGCCAATGAAAATCCTAATACATCCTCTAGTGAGTAATCGAATAACCTCAAATCCAAACGATACAAATCTGTCAGTTTTTGAAGTTGCTTCAGACTGAGGGAAGAGTAATATCTATCTAATTTCTTCGAAGTTGATTCCCTGCTTTGTGGTTTCGTGGGAAATCTAGAAAATGATAATAAATCGTATTCAATAGTGCGATGCACTTTTTCCTTAATTCATAGAAAATTACTGACTCACCTCACCCAACCAGCACCTAATCTTTCTAATATTTCGGTGGCGTCTTCTGTCAGACTTTCGTATTTACTCACAAGATTATAATTGACTATGCAAGGATGGCATAATTCGTAAATCGATCGCCAGTGTTCATTATGAGTTTCATTTTCTGCACCACCCGTAACAAAATCGACGAATTCCGAAAAAGTAACGTCATCGCCTTTGAGTAAGGATTCTTTAGTAGCATTTTTTCTATATTTCTATAAAAAAAATATAAATTTCTTTAAAATCGTATTTAAACAGTATGCAACGCGAAGACAATAAATATTAATATTATATTGGTATCAAAATAATTTTTTTTTCTTACCTTCACTATTTTCTTTCCAAAACGCGTCTGAAAGTATATTGAGCTTGTCTCTTGTTTCGTTTCAAATTTATTCCTATAAGCAGAAAGTAACCTTTCCAAAGGATGTCTCACGACAATAAATTTATTATAAGTAGCAAGTTTCTCCTCGATTTCCGGCATCGAGTAGTTACTGAGCCTTTCCAAATTTCCCGCTGCATGAGCTTGATTAGCTGGTATTTCCAGAGGATCATTTCCCTCCCATTTACCCGTCACGATCATGAAGACGCGTTTCCAATTGGTACAAGCGACCTGTAACCAAATGATAGTTACTCAAAATAGCCATAACAAAAATTTTACAAACAAAATGAAACAACAAAAACCCTCAACGTTCATTAGACTTTCATATGACGTAAATAAAGAAAAGAAAACTTTGTACTCTTACCTTTGGTACATAACAGTACAATAATTTGTGCTTTTCATCAACTAAAATATGATGAAACATTTCCGGAAGTACGTCACGCTTGTGTATTTCTTCGTCCGGAATTTCCTCGCAATGTTGCTGCAATTTCTCTTGGCGTTCGACCAGACCTGATCTGGCAAGTGCATTGGGTCCGGCCAAGGAATAAATGGTCATTGCACTCGAAAAATTTGAATTTTGAAAATCAAGATCGAGTACACGTTCCTCCTTCGAAGAAGCAAAAGCCTGACTTCTGCTCGCCACGAAAATCAGGCTGTACATCTCGAAAGTAGTCAAGACTCGTGCGACGCTCCATCTTGTCATCTTATCATAAATATCAGGAACATTGAGTTCCGTTTACTTATCAGTGTCCTTAATTTTATGAAATTATTTGATAAAATCTGTAACAAAAAAAATCACACTGTATATCCATCATCTACCTTCAATTTGAGAGGTGGAATCTATGATTATCCCCATTGGTAAAAATTCTGAAAAAAAAACAACTGTTATCAGATAAAGCCAATACCAGATAAAAAATGTTAGTGTCCAACATCGTATTCGGTTCACGCTCATAAGACATCGGCATTGGGAATCCTTTAATTAGAGAATGGGAATTTGTAATTTATGTAGATATAATACAAAAATGTCAGAGAATTTTTTTTCAGATATTAATAAAATACGTTGCGTCGTTAAAACGCCATTTTATTTCCACAGATAAAAAAAAAGTATAGTTTTTTTAACTCTTGTCACATTTTTTTTAACGGATTCTAATTACGTCATACGTTACGTTTATGTTATAAAATGTTTATCCAATTTTTTATTCTTACTTCCCAATGCAATGGACACCTCGATTGTTAAATGAAAATTAATTCTATGTTGTTATATATATTACTTTTTGACTACCAGAATTAACATTTTACGAATCGCTACTATATTTTTAAGTTGCCTGAATCGCACAGATATTTGCACGCGTTTCGCGATGTGATAATTATAAAGAAAAATTTATGCAAACGTACATTGACATTCTTTAAACGCATTGCGACTACTTTGTAATGTGGACGCGATACGATCTACGGTTAATGAATGTAAAGTTAGACGTGATTACAATAGGAACGCGGAATGTGAATTTCTTACAACGCAGAACATATGCAAAGCAAGGGAATTTGAATAAGCAGTCTCTAAAATATTAAGTATCGTTCGTAAACCTTTTTTCTTTACAACAAAATTTGTTGCCTGGAAGCTCAAAATTATTTTCGTTACCCAATCTCGACGAGTTCATTCGATAGATCTTGTTTTTTTATTAAACTCGTTTTGATTTCGAATTCGCGCGAGCACGTGCAGCTGCACGTGTTGCCTCAGCACCATAGAAAAAAAAAAGTACACGAGTTGAATACGATCTAAGAAATTAGTTCAAGCCTACATATAAGCTACACGAGCAAAGGCGATTTAATTGGCGTAAAAACTGGTTTGAAAGTGTCACTCGTATACATAAGTATAATACATATATGTATATGTATAAACTGAAACATCAAACGTATTTAGGTTAAATGAACGTCGGTTGGCCTCTGACGTCTCGACGTTTTAGCAACAAAAAAATGTCGGCTCGACACAGCACAGTCAGGAAGATAGAGCTCGTCATTAAACGACTTCGTAATTCATAATTAATATCAACAACAATTGATAGTCCAAAAAAGTGACGTCTAACGTTGACAATTTTTAATCTAATCTGTATAAAATAATCAACACGATTAAGCACCACTCACAGTCACTGCACAGATCAGCTGTCATGGAAAATCTTGCCACGTAAGTTTCGAGGTTAAATTATGAATTTACGTGAATCGTAACGATTGTATATTAGTTAGGATGAATTCCAATAAGATGAGTTACCTTGTTGTAACTCAGATCGATGGACCAGGCTTTAGTGAGTTGGAAAAGGCTGCGTTTAATTGCTGTGGAATTATGAGGTTCCGGAATATGGTGGTTATGAACTTTAAGACATCCTAGAAATTCACTGTCACTATGACTCTTGGTACTTGATCCTAATTACGTAATTTGATCGGTTGAAGAATTTAACGGAAAACTACCTACGGTTTTTATCACTGGACACCACTGACTTGCTTTAGACCGTCTTCAGTTGAGTCTAAAGGCTAACGGACGTCCATGAATTGTTCGCGCTTGTGAAAGGAAACTGGAGAGGAATCGACGAATCGCAAACGTCCTATAGGTACTCTTTCGCTCAAAGCTCTTCTCCTACCCGACCAGCCACATTCTACGGCTTGTTTGTTCGTCCCTACCGGGAGTTTATGCAATCTTCAATACAGTAATAATTCCTTAGAGGTAATATAGATGAGATGCGTATGACAAGTACAAACTTTCTTGGTAAAACGAATCTCGTTAGCCGAATTTATATAAGTATTCAAAAGTCACGATTTATTATTTTTTATTTCGAATACACCTGGATTTTTCGATTTGAGTATTTTAACTTTACAGTCCGGATACATTTTTTTAACAAATTTGCAGCTTTCACTATACACTTTCTTCGTTCGGCTGAAGCATGACACGAGTCGTCACCGTAGTGGCCAGATTTTAAAGGTTACCGATACTCGACCATTATTATGTTGCGACGTAAGTTATATAGATAAATGCCAAGTAAGGCATTTAATGATATACAAAACATGATAATTTTTCAAGCATTTTTGTAAAATTTAATATCTTTGAAATTCAACGTGCGCAAGTTTTAACCATTTCAGACTGATCTTTACGCACAAAGCAAAGGCTGTTTTATGAGTCGAGCAACGAGTTCAAGGATATTTGAAAGAGTCCGATTTTTCTAAATAATTGCGCTGTCAAATTTTCTCTTACTTAACGTGCAGCCTTATAACGGGTCACAACAAAAAAATAATAGAGGCACTTGTTTCGCAAAATTCATAATGGCTAACTCCGTAAGCAATCTATATTTATATCAAGTGCGAAAGCAGAGTTCAAGTTAAAAATAATTAGATAGCAATAAGACGAAAAACAAAGCTGTAACATTTGTTTTCATGACAGCCTTCTATCCAGTCATTTATTATGTTTTGCTAATCGAAATAATCATATGTAATCATTAACGTCACTGAATCCATATATAGGTTAAAGTTTCAATATGATATCTTATCACGTACAGTCATTCCTACTTGAATACAGCATTCCTTACCTCGAATGAGTCGCGGACGATGCTTTTCTCTCAAGAGTCACAAATCACAATAGAATAATTTTACACGTGGAGCATACAAACATACGTAAATGGAACCATCATAGATCTGTATAAATCCCCAGCCATAATTACAATAATGTACATGTATATGAAAAATTATCATAGCTACGTTTATGACTTCCTGAATCCTTGAAATTTTTCCCTTTTTATTTTTAATATTACACGATATGGCTTGCACCGCCAAATTTTTTTTTAAACGCATACAATAAAAGACACTGTCAGCATACTAAATATTATATCCACAAGGTATTTCTAGAATAGTACAAGAACGCATTGATATATATATATATATATATATATATATATATATCATTTCCTCAGAAAATACATTTATTGTCTTAATTACTGGTAATGACATGAAAAATTGAGTAAATCTATAATTGAAACAGCTTTTCAATAAAATTTTTATAATTATGTTATTCAACACGCGATCTGATACTTGCACTTAAATTAAACGAGTTAACTTAAAAAAAATTTACAATGTAATAAACGCAACATAATACAATCGATAAAAAAAATTTCAAATCATTTTTATATTCGATTTGGATAATTTATTTAGTCTTGGCAATGCAACTGGCCAAGATTGCAGCATTAATCGACGTAATGGGATAGTCGACATCGATAAAGTATTTCGATAAATAATTAGACGATTATCGATTATCGCGATTCAGCACTTGAAAAACAATTCGAAATTTGAATAATATTACTCATAATAAAAAAGTGGTATTATTATTATTGTAAAATTAATTGTATCAATTATGCTCGATAATTTTTTACATAAAAATTACAACGTATTCATAAGTCAACGAGTCTTTCGATTGCGTTATAATTTTTTTTCGATTTGAAAAATATTTTTTTTCAGTTCTCGCAATGAATTGTAATAACATACGACATCAAAGTCTCTTTAAATCGCTCATAGCCGTTGACTCCTGAATATACCGGCTAGAGTGAAAGTGCCTTGGCTATCAGTGAGTTTTATACAGTCACTTGCCTCGCGCCACTTTAGTCTCTGGGCAGCCTTCCTTTATGTTCTGTCAGACGGCCGAAAACTCGAAGAAGAAAAATAATTGTGAAAGAGCGAAGAAGAGGGTAGATAATAACCAAGGGAATAAAAAGAGAGTGAAACAGGCAGTAAGAAATTGAAGATTTTACGAAATGGCATAATTAGCGTGATCGAGGGAAAGTTCCTTAAATTTGTATACTCAAGAACGTAAAGCTTACAGTCGCAGTGAGTAACCAATGAAAATTTTCAATAACATCGATTAGCTGTCGACCATATAAAAATATTAACAAAAGAAAATTTGAGTAGTAAATGTCAATTCTTAGTATTATATAATTTTTTAATTAAAACAAAAAAGTGTTTCTTTCTCTATGTGCGATAAGACAGTGAATTATTTTTATTTCAAGGAAAAATGTTACTCAACATTGGACTTTGGTTGCTGATCGGCCTTGTCGTACTTTGGGCCTTATTGGATCCAGTCAGCAGACTCGTTAAAGTACTTTGGGAAATTCTCTTACCTATCGTTAATTCGACGTCCGTTGACGTGAAATCAAAGTTCGGTGAATGGGCAGGTAACGAATCAACGGGTGTCAATTATATACACACTTGTGATAGAAGGAACGTGAAAGTAATCGAGTATAACGACAACGATGATTTTCAATAACGTGCACGCGATTCAATTCCCTTCAATCCAACGTTGTGAAATTCTCGAGTATTTATTTTCAATTACAGAAATCCGTTACTTCATACCGTAAACAATTTTTATTGGCACGTGAAACGTCAGTGACAACTCTGTAAATTTAAAAATGGGACGTTCCGTATATTACATATACACATAATTGCCCTTACGTAATTACGTATAAACAATCACGAGAAATATTCATAAATGCGTTTACACGAAGAAAATAATTATTTGTAATTAGAAACTGATTTCGTGTATCTGATATGGAAGTAATTCACCGTACAATTACTATTTCTTTTGATAAACCGCGAAAGTCTCGCAGCATTCACTCTGCAACGATGTCGAAGATGCTATAACGTTGGTACCAGGCTTAGGTACTGTTGTAATTGTGTTTACCACATATAAAGCGAACCCGTCGATGATTTCTAATTAGTAATTGGATATTAGTAACGATTTTACATTCAACTGCTTTATCAATCCTCATGGTGGCTCAAGGTGGAGATGTGAAAGAGTGAAAGTTATTCTTGAGTAATGGCATTCTTGAGTAAAGACATTCGCCGATTCACATTGTTTGGGCGTTGCTATGTGGTCGAGTGATGTGCGCATGCGCGACATTCGAACAGACTTTGAATTCTGAATACAAGTTTTATAAGCGCCTTGAACTTAGTCAACGACCGTACATGTATTACTAATCGCATTTACTGAGAATTATGTTTTAAATTGTAGACAATAGCCCGTATTCACAGCTCGCTCTTAAAGTCACTAACAAAGTCGCTTGTAATTAAAAGTCACTAAGAAAACAATTTTAAAGCGCGCTATTAGCACTAAAAACGAGTTCTGAATACGGGCTAATATCTACAGAGTCATAGATAATAATCTGACTGATTTTAGATAATTTTCTTCGTGATTCGTTATTTGGGGTTAGGCGACGATTAGTTGGGTTGAGAATTTTCATTCGATCTATTGAAATTAATTATTTTATTGATCAAGAGATACTTGCGTCGGCTAAGATATATATTGCGTTTACTCGTGTGTGTTATTGAGAATGCAGTTATACAGGAACTTTCTGTTTACTCTCGGTGATTATGAAATATTCAGTGACAAATATTTAACAGAAAGTAGAAACGAGATAGTCATAACAATGTTAAGATTTTATGCTTCTTAGAAAAATTTACGGAAGAATATTTAAAAATTGTGAAATTCAATTGCTTATCAGTCACATGAGTGAACGTGCCAGAGTCCATATTTTAATCGAGCAAGTCTGATTGAGAATTTATGTAGTCACGCATTCTAGTGGTCACTGGGTCAACTGACGGAATCGGGAAAGCGTACGCCAAGGAATTAGCGTCCAGAGGTTTGAATCTTGTGCTGATAAGCAGAACTTTGGAGAGGCTGGAGAAGACGAAAGATGAAATTCTAAAAAGTCATCCTGACATCGAGGTTAAAATTATCGTGGCAGATTTCAGCAAAGGGAGAGAAGTATTTGAAAAAATCGAGACTGAACTCAAAGATATTCCCATAGGAATACTCGGTGAGTAATTTTAATTGACAGCTGCACATCGATAATGGGAAAAAGAAAAGAATAAAGCTGAAAATTATTTTTCCAGTAAATAATGTTGGCGCACAATACAGCTATCCTATGTACCTTGGAGAGGTTCCTGAGAATGAACTCTGGGATATCATAAACGTAAACGTGGGTGCCACCACTCTGATGACCAGATTGGTGATTGGTCAGATGCAAAAACGTAGAAAGGGTGCGATAGTCAATATTTCATCAGGTTCTGAAATCCAGCCATTGCCGTTAATGACAGTCTACGCCGCGACGAAGGTCTACGTCAAAAGTTTTTCAGAAGCACTGCGCGCCGAGTACACTAAATTTGGTATAACCGTTCAGCAATTGGCACCACTGTTCGTCAATACGAAAATGAATGCGTTCAGTCAACGCTTGCAGGTAATACAAACTGATTGATATCTTGGACTTACCTTTTTAACAATTTATCTTAGAATATTGGCATCTTATAATGATTTAATGATTCTAGGTTTCTAGTCTGTTTGTACCGGACGCTACGACCTATGCAAGAAACGCTATAGTCACTCTTGGTAAAGTTGACTCCAGCACCGGTTACTGGGCACACGGCATACAATATTTCTTCGCCCTCATACCACCTGTCTGGATAAGAACGAAAATTGGACAATTTTTAAATGAATCATTAAGAGAAGATTATTTCAAGCAGAAGACCACGTAGATCCAGCGATTGTTTTTAATGATTCTCGTAAATGGTTAATAAAATATCGTGTTACCAGCGTCAAAGATATTTCAATTGATTTTTAACAAAGGCCAAATAGACACTTGCTATTTCTGAATTACACAATTTTTGGCAAAGATCCTTCGGTTGTCAAAAAAAATTAAAATCAAAGAAATAATCACCGCATAACCAAATTACTCAAAACGAAATGCACTAGTGAATAAAATCCTAATCAACCTGAATGTTGAAACTGATATAACTATTACTCTCATCCGTTAATAGAACTACTAGAATCCTCAGAGATGGGAAAAAAGACCACACAGGTAAGTCTATCTTTAGTAGCTACTACACCGAATTCGTTTAGGATTGCAAAAGAGAAGTGAAAACTATTATAAGATTTTATCCGCAAATTTTAAACAAAAAGTTGGACAAGAATATTGCAATCTCGTTACAAGTTTGTACATTTATTTTTTAAAACATTGCTTCTCATAATACTAACATAATGATGATAATAATAATAATGAACCTTAAAAACCAGAAATAACCATCGTTTTTTGTACGCTAATATATATATATACAGTGAATTTTTAATTAATTTAAATTAGTACCAATGTGCCTACTTTTTAATTATTGCAGGAACTCTTCGTCGCAAAAGAAATAACGAAAATTATATAGTAATTCAATTACTGCCTTTTACCAATGTCACGCAATCACATCGTTTCCGTTTTACTTGCGCGCTTTTTTGGCCACGAACGAATATTCTCTCGTTCTTTACCTTTTTCTTTTACACTCACACACATCTCTTAAATTGCGTTTTCACTTATCATGAATCTTGATTTGCTTCTATCATGATTCGGATATAAATGCTAATGTAATTACATTTCGGCACAGATTTGGGGATTATAAATGTCACTAGATCATTACTAAAATAGAAAAACGAAAGTCCCGTATGATACACGCAGAGGATACCATTTTGTGCTTCGTTCTTTATTATGCGGCAGTTAAAAAAAAAAGTAAAGAAAAAGACAAATTTATCTTCTGCTTTTATTAACAATTTTCTTTTTCATTGCCTTCCCTCTCTTTGTCTCTCTAGTCTTATCAACGAAAAATATTTTAAATAATTTACAAATTATAAAATACGCCAATTATTAAAGACATCATGGGATCGGAGACTTGGATTTAGGTATGACGTCTGCTGAAGTCAGTTGATATTTTTTTCCGAAAAGGGCGCTTGTCACCAAAATATTGTTTGCACGTAATTCCGTTCGTTTATTTAAAAAAAAAAGAAAACTTAACAATATTCATCAAACGTACCCTGTAGCCGTGTAAATAGGTTCTTTTCCTTTGATTTTACAACTTAACGAAGAGAATCAATGCTCTCTTTAGATAATTTTTGTATTGTTATCTGACGGTGGACTTACGCCCTTTTCGAGAATAACAACACCAACATTCTTGTCAACACACTTGTGCGCCCACACGCATCATACAAGCATACGTATACGACATGCATAATATGGATCCCAGATTTCACGTATATATATATATATGTACACAGTATGGTTCAACGAAATGATACATTAAATTCTCTGCTGATTAGCCAGAAAATGGATTCAAAAAATATTTAATACATACAATTTAAAAGTGAGCCTATGACAATATGCATTCCAATGTACATACTTACAGAATTTAGTGAATTAAATTTAACTAATCTAATTTACAACTGAGTAATATAGTCCATAAGGTCTCCTTTGAACTGTACGATTGTCGATTAACTATTGCAACAAACAATTTCATTGAACCAGCTTGTGGGCATAAAATTGAAAACATTATTTTGAGCTGCAGAAGGAAAGGCTCTACGATGGACATATTCATAGTTGAAGTTACAGTATTCAATTTCCAATTACGTTCAATAATTATAAAGGTCAGAAATAATGTGACCTCACGACGACATACACACAACAGTATTTCACTTTAGAATTTGACGAAAAATACAAATATATTTATCTAGGATAGCAATCATGATGATTTATTATCTAATCATTTCATATAGTTGCCTTTAGTTCCGCATTTGGTCTACAGAGCACATTTCGCAAATTAACAATTGGGACGTAAAACATAGAACCCTAAAATAATTCACAATTGAGTGGAGAAGTAAGATTATTAGTAACTTTTCGGATGTTCCGGTTGCTCTGCACCTTTTATTACTTCAGTAAATTTCACCTTCGCATTCGTTTATCGAGCATAAGACCATTTAATAGGTTAATCAACTTCAAAATGGCTTGCCGAAGTGTTACGCAGAGCATCGATAGAGAAAGTAACGTCGAAGATCATTGAGGAAGACAAAACAAGATTTCAATAGCTGACCACCATTTTGAAAGGAAGAAAAACTAGGAACAGTTGTCATATTCTATATCGAAATCATAACGTGATATTTCAATTTTTTCTTCTGATACTTTTTCCCTTATCTTTGCGCCAAGACACTCCTGATAATATAATTTATAGGTAGTCACACGAGGCCACCTTAACTGAAGAATAATTAACAACATTTTGACTCGATTTTGGAAGACCACTAGAATGGAAAAATCAATAACTTTATCTACACAATATATAATATATTCTTTTCTCTTTTTCTGTTAACCCTTAAGTTATACCAGGAGCGTCATTGTTAATCTTATATTGTTTCTGCGTACAGGAGTCGAGCTTGCTCGAGCAACCGTGGAATTAAATTAATGATAATTTAAGAGTGACAACGACAACGACGAGGACGACAATGAAATCTAGAACAATATCTATAACGTGGAGCTCGCGGAAAGTAAATTATTTATACAAAAATTAAACCTATCATCGATAACATTGATGATACGTACCGCGAACTCATGAATTATTCATTTTCTTCACACGATTGCCGTGATTTACACATCAACTGGGTCTCATTATACATACGAACTGAGGGTGATGATTGTGGTGATGATATATAATAGTAGTGGTATCGATGATGATTTGCTGCGGAAGGGTGGTAGTTAATCGGGCTTCAATCCACACTTATTATTTGCACTTGTCGCACCGTTTTACGCTACATCACGAAGCGTACATTCGGCTTATCTCATGCTGATAACGGTCTTGTACTGCCTTCCTCTTTAGTTTGAATGCCGCAGTGACAAGACCCATGTCTGGCGACCATTGTTCTGGACATAGTTTTACAGCGCCAGGGATTTCAAACCTTTGGAGTTTACCTGAGCAATCAAAGCAAAGAGTTAAGATCGCTGAACGACACTTATTTTTAATGTTAAATAACAATGACAGGTATAAAAACATACATTTCTTTGCTTGTTCGACAAGCTCCTGTAAAACAGCTTTTTCAATCCTCGGATTGTTGCACAATTCCTCCAGAGAAGTGGCCGTAATTCCAAGATTGGCTGCAATCTCTTCGAGATTTCGATGACTTGGTACTACTAGCGCCACGGTGTAGGCTTTATTAGAGTCACCGTAGACACAAATATTCTCTACAACCGGACAGGTCTTCAATTCAGCTTCGACCTTACCTAAAGAGACGTATTCACCTAGTTGAAGCTTGACCAGGTCCTTCTTTCGATCTGCGATAAATGATTTTGTGAGTTTTTCATTGTTCGATTATTTTGCACAGAGCATAACTGATAAGAGACCAATAAGTATAATTAGTATTCTAACCTATAATCTGCATTGATCCATCTGGATGCATTTCGCCAATATCGCCCGTTCTGAACCATTGCCTATCATTTTCTTGGAAGAAATCTTCCTTTGTTTTTTCCAGAAGTTTGTAATAACCGGATGACACGTTGTCACCACCAATCAAAATTTCGCCTCTGGGATAAGGCTTATCGGTCACCCTGTATCCAGCTTCTTCCCAATTTTCCAATCTGATATCGCACACAGTTGTTGGTGCACCAACTCTTCCAGTACTTCCATCGTAAGCTATTAACAAAATATAATATAAATTTCATAATATTTATCAACATAGAAAAGTGTTTATCATTCTTTCTGGATGTTATTTTAGAAACCTTATTATATTTAATTTTAGTAACATCACTTTCTCATTGCACTTCGATCCTTGTACTTGTCAAAGTTTTATTTACATGGATCAATAACGCACACTTGTCTAAACTGTGGTTATATTTCATTCAAAGCTGTAGTAACAGAATTAAAAAAAAAACTTACTGTCCATAACTGTTGCGCAAGATGAAGTCTCTGTTAGACCATATCCTTGAGTAACAGTCACACAGAGACAGAGTTTAACTTGACTATGAGTATCAGGACTCAGAGGAGCACCACCACAGAGGACGAGTCTGACTCGACCTCCCAAGACCTGCTTGGCAGCTCCAAATATGAATTTATCAAAGATTGGAGTCTCGTATCCTCGCTTGGTCCACTTGAGTTTGTATTCATATGCAAAATGGAATATCGCTTGTCTGAAGGGTCCAGATCTCTTAACCTTTTCGTTTATACCTTTTGAAATACGATCTAGAATAAGCTGAAAGAAACAAACAAAATCATTTGTCATCATGATACTTGGTTAAACTAAGCCTAAACTATCTGCCCTCCATTTCATTAATTTTCTGTCGTACTATTATTTAATCTCCAAATATTCACTTCCTTCGATATCATTATAGTATCATGATAACTCAACTAATGACTTACCGGTACTGAAGTTATGCATGTTGGATGTAGTACCGAAGCATCACCTTTGGAACCTCTCTGAATTTTACTACTTGAATCTATCATAGTTAACGGTGAGCTATAGCCAATAGGTACACCAGATAGTAGACAGACAGTTTCAGCAAGTAATTCCAAAACGTGCGCAAGTGGCAAGTATCCAAGAAAAACATCATCATCTTTAAGTTCCACGGCATTACAGTAACTCTTTATAGTAGCCATGATATTGCGGTGTGACAATATCACTCCTTTAGGTACACCGGTGGATCCTGAAGTATACATGATGATCGCTGTGTCATTAGCCTTTGGTGGATTCAGTTCCACATCAGATGTGTTGCCCTTTTTAATGACATCGGAGAAAGGTATCAAGTTGACTCCCTCCTGAAAGATGAATTTGATAAAAATATATTAATCACTAGAATCACAAGTAAAGTCAAGGTTCATGCTTGTAACGCAGTACCTTATATCCTTTGGTATCGGTGAACTTAAGTTGATCTTCCATGTAAATAACAGTCTTAACCACAGGTGTCATTTCAAGAAGTCTCTTAAATTTAGGCAGTAATTCATGACTGGTAATGACAGTATCGACCTCGGTCTCATTAATACCATGAGCAATGGCGTCATCTCCCAAGGTCGCATAAATTGTCACCACAGCAAGATTCTGCTTGAAGCAAGCATGCGCAGCAATCATCCATTCGGCTCTAGTCTCGGCGAAGATCACTACGTTCTTCCGGGTAGTGAGACCAAGTTCTTTCAGGCCTCTGGCAAACGACAAGACCAGCCTGTCCACGTCAGAATAAGTTTTCCACTTGTAATCTCCCATTTTGTACTAAAAGCAAAAAACAGTTAACACTCTTCTTGCTAACCTCTATAAATAAAATACTCCAACACAAAAAAACTTATAAAACTTCTATTTCCCAAAGGATATACATTGCAATTTACCTTCTTGAAGACTCTGCCATTGGGTTGCAGCTCGTCTTCTTCAGCAAGTATCTGCCTGGTTCCCAGGCAACGCTTACCAGAATGGATATTTGCCACCCACCTCAACATACCGTCCAGGGTTTCTACCTTGTTACGTTCAATAGCAATATACATGGCACCCGGGGAATCGACACTCCTATATGTGATTGAATTCTCAGTTTTATCTATGGGTCTGGCCTTGATTCTTCTTGACAATTTCCTCTTTTCCCAAGGCCGTTGTAGTATCAGGTATACCGGGAAGGTCAGCAGGTCGTAGACGTAGGATAGAGCTTTGATCGCATGGATCGCTCCTTTGATCCAAAATCCGTCCATCTCCCTGTTGGATCATTCAAAGTAGGTATTCTTAAAACTTTCTAAGATGCCCAAGCGACATTAGTTACGTCGACTACCCGTCATTGGATTCTGCTTCCATTATGAGCACTGCTCTGTGTTTGCTTTGTGCTTAATTTCATACGCAATTATTATTGCCATTTCTATCGAACCAATTGAACTTTATCGATTTTCCAGGTGCCACCTGTACCAAGATAAGGTAAAGTGCCGGTTTGCAATACTTCCTTATTGCTTCGTGTGATTTATCAGACATTTAGTGCCGAATGATTGTACCATAATAATAATGACCAAAGTTACAACGTTCATAAGTTCATGCGCTAAATACAGAGGCAGTCCATTATTTTATTCAGCAGAATCCAATGTAACTCTTTTAATATACATGGTCGGTCCATTCAGGCATTTCGTTCTAATAATTTTCATTTTGAAAAAACCATTTGCTATTATTTTGATTAGCGTTGTACGTCTGTCGTTATAAAATTTAAATTAAATGCCTGAATGCTTAACGTAGTACATTTTTAAGTACTGTACGGCAATGAAAATCGTCATGCTATGACAGTCACGTGACAATTTCTAAATTAACATGGGAAAATGGATGCCTAAGAAAGGAAGCAGGCAATAAGCAGCAGTTACAAAGTGCGTTAAAAAAAAAAAGTTACTTCGAAGCTGTGCAGAGCGTACAGGAAAAGAAAAAGAAAGGCGAAAATAAATTGTAAAGCCAGAATTCGTAAACGAGTGTATCCTCATGTACGTTCAAGGCGGCAAAGGCGGCAGATTTTTAGCGAACCACAAGCGAATTTTGAGTCAGCGCTTTGTTGAAAACGGTATGGTAAAAGAAGCAGTTGAAATTTAGATAGAAGTGGGAAGACTGTAAAAAAGGAAAACAAAAATAGTAAGCAATAAGAGGTAGATATGAGAATTAAAAAAAAAAAATTATGAATTTACGTCCAACCCAAAAATGGGATTCAGAAAAAAATTTAGTTTTCTTGTTTTAATTCATCCTTTTGATTTTGCGCTGCGGCACTTTTGTTCATTACTAATGAAATTTTCTAAATTATTATTTGCACGCGTATTAATTCTCCGCGAATTTTGAAATCAGAAATGTTTATTTGCACGACCTATGACTGTGTATATAGTTTTTATAGAATCGAGGGTTGAATTGTGTCAATTGTTATTGAATTTGGAAATTTGAAACCATGCCAAAACAATTGACAACCAATGGTACTGTGAGCAGATGATTCATCAGATCGAAATAATAAAATTTTTAATTGAACTTTGGAACTTGAACGTTTCCCGTGGTGCAACTGTTCGACTGTTTAGTTTGGAATTTCGAATTTGGTCGAAATACAAAAATTTAAGTTAATCCTTTGTTATTCTTGGCATTGTGAATAATAAGGTAAACAAATGGCTCTTTCGTGACCCCTTTCGAAATTGTAATAAGTAACGTATTTTAACGAATCAAAAAATTGACTGTGCTTGAATAAATGTTAATCAAGAGTCAATAAATTTTTTTAATTTAACCAAATTATCTTTCTAAGCATCTGAACGAAGATCGATAAATATTTAATTAAGCGATAACGATAATTTTTAAAATATTTTCCACGAGAAATATAATTCCTCCTTAAGCTACTAATTACGAATTTCAAAATCACTGTATAAATAGGGACAAAAAATTGAATAAATTAGGTATCAAAGCCACCCATGCATGTACGATTTTATGGTAATTAGATCGAACAAATTATAAACTAACGGCGGCTTCACAAATTGAATAAATCGCCATTTAATTGAACAACGATAAATACTTACAGAATGAAGGACAGGATGTTTTTTCGAAAAATCGAAATTAACAATAAAACGATGCCAAGAAATTCAATCATTAGGTGCAACGAGTTTATACCATTGATTTTTAAACGAACAATTTGACCCGGACTTTAAGGTCCGCTCACACCGACAACGTTTTACCGACTGCCAAGAAATACAAATGAAAATCGAAACCGCCCCACAAGCAATGATAATCTCATTGGACTCTGATCGGACTAAGATACGCTTCTGTTGCTCGAAGTTGCCGCAACTTGGTTGTAGCGACACAATCGTATCTCTGTCAGAACGAAATATGAATCGTCCAGTTGATATCGGTACAAGTATTATTATAATTATAGATAATCACCTTGCTCACGATTAACTTTACCAACAATTACGAATGAAGTGGATACAAAAATTTATTTGCAAAAAATTTCAAAATTTCAACAGTAAATGTATATATATATTGTTACAACATACATACATTCAATTCATACAACGTACATACAATTCATACATATATTGTCGAACAATATATATATAGTTCTAATGAATGATACACGATCTGAAAACTTGAAGATTTTTAACCTTTCTGACACCCAAAACAAATATCTCTTTATACGTAGAGAGCAACGACCGATAATTATTCTCTTTTTCTTACATCCTGTGTCGCTTTTTATCTCAAATCGACGTAAAGTGTATCTCTCCTAGTACTCAGGATGAAGCCAGATTATTACGTGAGACTTTGAACTTTGGGTTATAGTTCGATGTATCGAAACGTCTTATCATTATAATATGTGCCCAAAGTGCATGTGGCTTTATCTGATGATACGATAAGGAGGAATATTATCGGTAAAATATATTTCTTGAAACCGTATTTTTTTTTTCTGTTCGTTCAATTTATTAATCGGAACACTTATCGATCATAACGAATGGACATAATCAAACTTTACAATTGATCATCAAATCCAAAACTAAAATCGACCGATAAAAAATTGAATAACCAAAAAAATTTTTGAAAATTATTGATTTCCTGTATCGTTACGTAACATTCCATTTATCGTATGTATACAATAGTCATGAAATTATCATTGCGTGAATTGATTAACACGAGCATATGTGATGTCAGCACTCGATACACCCATAACCCTAATATACACGGTGTTCAAAATTCACGAAGCACCCTTAAATTCATAAAGACAAGTAAACGATAAATATGTCACGAGCCATATATAAAATATTTTGCAGATAACCAAAAAAAAAATTGCACTAGATAATTACAAACGCCTCGGTAGATAATTAATTTATAAAAATATACAAAATTATTTTAAGCCACTATCGTTTCTACTGGTCGTTACGTAATACCAAAAAAAAAAAAAATTTACCGCTACGATTATCATTCGTACAAGCACAAAAACGTAATTTTACATTAATTTAAAGTGACCCGAGGGCGAAAAAAAAATGTCCAACCGACTCATTAAACGCGTCATAAAGTCCCAAGCTGTAATTAACGCTTCTGACAAATAAACGTGACCGACGTCACTACGTCGAATCGCAATACACCGGGCTCGATAAGATCCAAAAATGAAAAAAAAAATCCAAAGTCCTGTGATCGACAATTACTCATCAGCCAATCACAAAACGGCACGTGACATGGGTTACCATAAAAAATTTAATTTTCAAATTTCCCTCCGTATACCGAAAAAATTTAATTTCCTTAAAAAATAAAAAATAAATCATCGCTAAGTGCGTCCGCTTGTTATCCGATCGGCGACAATTTCTTAAAGCAGCAAAGATCTTCGCGACGGATCTTAAAGAGTCAGGAAACCCAACGACTGCCAAAGCCTAAAGGGTCCGGAATCTCCGACGCGAGCGACAACGACGTATTTAAGCGAGATCGTAATACCGTTTGACATCGAAGAAAAGTGGACACCCGGTACGACGATTATTTTGAATCCGCGAACAATGCCGCCGTATTATGTAACCCGAGGCGGCGTTATTCCAGAAATTGCAACGTTGCAGCCAATCGAGCAACTGGCACGGAGCAGTGGTGCCCGTCTTCAAAATATTGACAGCGGCGGCCATTTTTATTTGTTTTTATTTTCAACGCACAGTTACGTGCCGTAACGCATACTTTATCAGTGCGACGTGCAGCGACGCCCACGAGTCGTGATAACGACTGGGCATAAATTACGAGAAAGAAAAAAAAAAAAAAAGTGCGATGCGTATAGAATTGCCTGAAAACTATTGTTAGGCAAGTTACGTATTACGTGTCGGTAGATGCATGCAGCGTGCCAAGGTGAGAGAGAGTGAAGTTGCGTGATAAGAGGAAAGAAAATAAGAAAAAGAAAAGTATCGACACAGTCGAGTTAATAATGAAAAAAATATTATAAACGTAAAAGCCTACAGGCATGCCTGCGTGACGCTGTTTGTAATATAAATGAGTGTAAGGAAAGAATAACAGTAGCGACGGTCCAAGTAGTAATAATGATAACAACAAGAATAATAATATTAATAAAATCCTCTACACAAACGCATCAGCAACTCACAGCTTGTCCTCCACGATCATGGTGGCGCTTTGTGCTTCGCGTTCCTCGCAAAGTACAATCCGTGATGCTCTTTGTGCTTTTCTTTTTCTTTCTTTAACTGTCGAACTCCAGTACTCGAGGTGTCCCTCTCTTTCTCTTTTGTATGCTTGGTCGGGTTGACAAAAAACAAAAGCAAACTTTGCGGATACTTGGGATTTTCAGTGGTTATTAATGACACTGCAAGAAAAAAACACAACAGCGCACTCAACGTTAGACGGGGAATTAAGGTACTGGTAAAAGTGGAGCTTTAAAAAAATTTGAAAAAAAATTTGAAAATTGAAAAAACACGTCACGGTATTTTAAATCAGCGTATCGCTCATACGATCAAAACGTATGTATAGATTTTTATTGGGGGTCGAAGTAGAAGGGGAGAGGGAAATTTCATGTATGCCCCCCCCCCCCTTCGGGCATACATGAAATTTAATACCAATAATAAACACCTTACGCGACAAAATGATTTGTCACGAGACATAATGAACGTGGTCAATTATGTCAATTATATAAATAATTCGTGCACGGATTGCAGAGACACATTGATCAATTTTAAAATAGAATTTAAATCAGCTGCGTATTTATGTTATTGTATAATCCTAAACGTATGGGTTATTATTGATAATAAAAAAATTTACGTTCAAATATTTATATTTTTTTTATTCGCTGATATAAGCCTCGGTATGTGTACATACGCTCGGCGCCATCTTGGCTGTATCAAGTAGTCGCATAGTACTATGATATACGTCACGTGACACGTAGGAAGGGCCCTGAACAATATGTAAATGATGTCAATACAATTTCAAGTAGTGGATATCATTTGTCGCGCATTCAATGCTTAGCGTATACGTAAGTAGCCGCGTACATGTGTACCAAGCTTAAGGCGTCGCCTTGCACCAGGAGAAGCGCAACGGTTCCGAGCGAGCGGCAAACTGTCAGCGTGGAGGGTCAAGTGGCCTAAGTGCATTGACGATCTAAACGAATGCATCTTGAAGTTGCGATACGACGGGGAACAAGGCAGAATTTTCATGGTATTTCTAAAGTATATTATTATTATTCTCATCGTCGACAGCGACCTCGCGTAACTAACGAGACGATAGATATATGTATACAGAGTACTACAGTACGTCGTGTAAAAATGTTCTTTAATGAAATTGGCATAGTTCCCCAAAACCAAAGTCGTGCCCACACCACGTCAGCATGCATACCTCTAAATAGAATCCGTGTAAGCCGAGATTTTTTGATAATAGGTTAGGGTTAGGCTAGGGTTAGGTTAGGTCTTCCTGGGTGCACATCAACTCGTTGCGAGGAAATTGATATTTTTGAGGTGTCGTTGACAACTTCCGGGTTAGTTAGAGTTCTTTCTAGAATCCGGTCGGGCAGGCGTGAGATCGTCTTCTGGTATAATTTTTTTTAGCCTTTCGGTGCTAACTGACGGTCTGATGAAAAAAAAAATAAGGAATTTTTTGTTTTTGAGTAAACGATCTCAGGATCCTGTCGACCTCAGAGAAACACGGTCCAGTACGTTACTCGCATTTAAACACGCTGACTAACCGTATCATCGCCGAAGCCAGCTGCGTGATTTTTCTGGACTCGTCTCTCTCTACCGGCGATGACCATGATGACGTCATGGCTAGAACAAAGTGAGGTCAATGATTACAGCTTTCGCGAGTCATCGGATTTGTGGACTGGTCTTATCGAAATTGACTTGTTTTCTTGGGTCGCTGTCGCTTTTTCGAATAATTACATTTTGGAACGTTTTTTTTTTTCAAGCTAATTTTTCACAACGTCATTTCCCCGAACCGTCGTATTCTCGAGGAATCGGCGCTCCGAATTGGGACATCCTCCGGAACGCCTGTGAAGTTAGTCACGCGGTAAGGCGAACGTTCGGAAAAAAAATCCAGAAGGAAAATAACGCTGCGTGAAGTTAGTCATTCGTGAATGTTCGAGAAAACGACAATTCGGGAATATAATGATTAAGTAAAACAATGAAGACCCATTATGTATTCGATAATTGCAAAACAATCGTCTCGACGTCCATTGCTGTTAAATAAATGAATTTTCTTAGTATGAACTTAATCTAAGATTTATTTCCGTTCCAATAAATCTCGTCGCGAACCGTAACTCCGGTTCGACTAACCTAACCCAACCTGAATCGTTTATTTCGTCTCGAGCACTTCTTTGCCTAGACGCTCAACCAGACGTATCCGGGTATACAACATAACCTAACCTAACAATCTAATTGCCGGTAATATTCAAGAAGACAGTCCGTCCGCCAGTATCTATCGTAGTTACTCAACTATACAACATACCAAAGTAAGCGTACCAACATTCAACTATCAAAAGGAGAAACAGCTGTCAATTCCATTAGCATTTATCAAACTAGGAATCCTGCTAGCCTCATTTCCAACTTGAAAACGTGACTTGCACAGATGCGCTGCGACTAACGTAAGACAAGTCGAGACCTTCGTGACCGCGTCGCCATTTTAGCAAAACTATCGAAGGCAGACAGCAACGTTTCATTTCGGATAGAATATTTGCAGTGGAGGCAACCGTTCGGGATTACAGTCTGAAGGAGGTTCCGTCGGCGGTTGACTACCTGAGTGGCACATCGTGCCGGGTTCAGGCCAGCTGCGTCGCTGTGGGAGAGAGAAGGAAAAAAAAGGAAAAAACGCGAATGAAAAGGTACGAGGCCTGAAGGGCAGGTAGCGCCACCGTCGAACAACTTGGCTGTTATACGAAAAGCTGAACGATCGGGTAACCTTGAACGGTTGACTATTCAAGGATTCTGGAAGGTTCAACGTTTAGGATATCCGAACGTTATTACGTTCCTTTATCAGTGAGATTATGGTGTAGGAGTTATAATCGTGAGCACGTTGTTCAAATTATTCAAGCAAAATGATTTCCTTACGTAACGTTTGCGACATAAACGCTACTAGCGTGAACCCTGCACCCGCTGTCCCTGCGCTGACTTTAAAATAGATAATTGGGAGACCGTGTTCTATTGCGGTATCAGGGACACCGTTGAAAAACTGAACTATCATTGGTGGACGAGTCATTAGTGAATTTTGAAAATTATTTATGAAGTCCTTCGGCACGAAAATTGTAAGGTGAGTTTTAGATTTTTTTTACATCGTATCTTGAGTTGTTACTGACATTACGTATTTGAGTATTGTTTTTTGGAGAAGTGTCTTCGCAGACGTCCTTGCCCAGAATTCGTGAATGCTTTTCCAGTTTGTTGGGTAATCGGTCGATAATCTAATGTCAGACTGGCAAAATAACAATTACGTCCGCCTATATGTATGAATAATGAGTCCCTTTCAGGGTTCGACCTTTTATGAGTGTTTCAGGACTATCGATTGGTCACACAGGGTAGGATAGGTTCGATCAATCTGGCAAATACGTAAATGATCGATCCACTGAATTTTAAAGGTCGTAGACAATTTTTCAAGAAATATTTAACGCGTGACAGTTCACAAAATTATAAACAAATTGGACAAGTTTTAATATTTAAACTAATTGACGTACGAGAAATTTGTTTATTCGGTTAGACCTACCCTCTGTACCATACAAAAATTTTAATCACGCATCAATGTATCGGCTATTGCATGGATCAAAAATCAAGTTCGTTACGACTGTGCCAAATTAGAAGTCTAACGAAGTCGTTATTCACTTCGAAAAAAGCAGTCTGCTTGATCCGTGCGAAAGAAAAAAAAATACAAAAATTATTATCATTCTACCATGATAAATACGAAATAGCTCAAACCGACGAATAAATATCTCGAACTAACTGCACAACTTGACGCTGGAAATTTGAACGAGTCCAGCGATATGAGGATGTTTCAGCATGCAAAAAGTCGTATAAACAAGTAAACAACGTTATGGAACCCAGAGGAAATATTATCCGACGTAGAAATCTTAGAAGTGGCAACGATCTTGCCTTGAATCTGTCATGACAAATAACGACACCAGACGACGAATTAACTGCAATACCGACCGTAGGAAATCTCATAATTTTCATTGCACAGCCTCGTGGGACGTGAATTCACATTGTGTCTCATTGTCCAAGAGTAAGTATAGCACAAAGAAAAAACCTGCCAAGTTGCATTCTGAGAAGATCGTGTAAAAAAAAAGTCCTAACTTGATTCCAATAAAAAATCTACATACAAAAATTAAATCTGTCGCAAAAAAAAATTCAAATCTTTCGTCATCAAAATTAACTACTAAACCCATCATTAAATCGATGGTGAGCGAAACTGTGAAAAGACAAACAATTTCTGTATAAAAAATCAGCAAGAATTTGCCTTTCGAACATACAAAACAATTACGAGCAGTACAACAAAGCTGAGCGTCTGAGACACGTGATTCCGGTTACGCGTTTAAAATTATAGGTTATATAACGTCGACAATAAATTAACATAACTGAAAGATACAAGCATTAATCTCTCATCGAGTCATTGGAAAGAGATAGACATAAGAAACATAATAAATTAATTAATTGCTTCGGATAATCACAAAACTATTTGCAACTCAGACGCTATTCGACATAACCACTGTGCTTATACACTTATCAAACGTACTTTGAACCGTTGAACCTTCAGATTGGTACAATTTATGAAGAGTGAGTGAATTTTTTGAACAACAGCTAGACATACTAAATATAGTTGTCAGTTGAAAAAATGAATTAAATAGATATGAACTGCAGCCGATCGAAATGCCCATAGAAATAAAAAGAATTTTAGACGCGGCAACTTTTAAGTCTCGTTCACAATGCTGTAATAGTCTCCGTACAGTATGTGAAGCGTTTCTGTCGAGATAAAGAATTTTATGGCACAGGACCTTGGATCTTGTAACCAACGTTCTGCAGTTAAGTTGTGGCCAAGGTGAACGTCAATAGTGATACGTGGAATATCCGAGTTGGCGATCGGAATAAATTGCGCTCGTCGGGAATATAATAAGTTTGAGGGGAAAACAAAAAATTCTTGGCAAAAACAAAAAGATAAAAATATTTGTAAAAATAGGTCAAACACTTGTTACGTCGTTTTCATTGAGTGGATCTGTTTCTGGCTTGTGATGATTATATTTAAGTTACGTTCACGTAATAGTACGAGACTCAGCTACTCTCGAATTAAATGTTCACCGGTCGACTTTGTATCCTGGGCTGAGGCTCCGTGCTGGGTCAGTCTGCTGGGTACAGTAGAGTTAAAAAGTTTCAAATGATCTTCGTTGATGTGAAATTTGTACTTTGCTGTGTAATGAAAATCTAAGAAACCGACTATACGTTTTTCTTCGTTAATTCATCTGCTAGTTATTTCATTACTGTAATTACGGATGACCTTGGAAAATAGAGACTTCAATCTTTAAAGGTTGATAGGTGAACACGTAATTTATACGCACTCGACAGACTGATTATACGACTTTGTGGAACCTAGTAAATTTATTTTTCTCAGCGAGCGGAATAGTCTGAGAGACGACAGAAGTGTTAATGGTGGGATTTACTTTGAATGCGTAAAGTCCAAAATTTCTAGGATTTTAAGTAAATTCCGTGTAACCGAAAGTTGGATTCGTTAAGTGACTGGCAAATGAAAAGGATAAATATTTAATTAATAATTAGAAAAATCAGTTAGGACTGGAAAAACGGTATCTTGAATGAGATGTTGGTAGATGATAAAAATATTAATAATAAACATAATAAAATTACAATAAATTGTACGAAGAGAAAGTATAAAAAAAAATATTTAATTTATACCACGACCAAAAAATATCTCAAAAAAGTCTCAAGATTCTATTACTCGAAGTTACAAATATTTATTTTCACTAAGTCCAAACTGATCCAAGGATCTTCATAATACAATGTACAAACATTCATAAATTACATTGCGCGCCATTGGGCTACTCGTATGTAATAACAGACTCGTTCGAAAGCAATTTAAAAATAAAGCCCCGCATGTATTTCGTATGTCCCGAGTAGCCAAGAGTAAATCAAGCATGTAAACAAATGAGATTCACATATTTGCATGATAATTCATTAGCCCATTGATCGATTGACTAATTCATATAAGAATTAATTAAAATTCATTCGATCGATCAATTAATTTGTGTTCGTCGTTACGAAGTCGCTTTGTAACGGGTCAGTGAATTTCTGTCGTCCCTCTTTTCCCCAAGAAAGTCCATTGAAAATATTTCAGATAAAGTCAGCCAAGAGCGGAAGTAAATGAAGTGTGACGTATCTTCCGTTAACCGTACGTACAAGAGAACCGGAAGCGAACAGAGTCGAAGCTGACTCTGCATGGGGAGAATTCCGGACACCAGGGACATTACTTAATAATCGCCCGTATAAAGTGGCAAACCGGCATTACTTACTATGGCATACGTATATATGCGTACACACGGTACATTCAGATAAATTATAGTCACCCTCGTGGGAATATTATATTCATATACGGAGACGTGGGTCGAGGTATCAGATAAAAAGGAATAACGTTGCAGCGCGTGATATTTATTTTGAGAACACCAGATATAACGCACTGCGCAGTAGATAAATATCCATCATTTTTTTTTATCAACCTCCTAATAAAGAATCAAAAGGTAATCTAAGTCATCCAAGGCCGCTCCCATCACCGACGTCAATTCTTTTCATTCGTATCACCAGGTATCTGGTGTAAAATTGGATGCAAGTTTCCGTAACGTGCTTCGATGCGAGACAGAGGTGCACTGTGTTCTGAAGACGTTGAAGAAAGTCTTTTCAGCGTACATTTGATGCACTATGGAAACTCGCATCCGCCAAGTGTTCCAATGCCAGTACAGTGGCGCACTCTAGGTTAACAGGATAGTGCGGTGGTGCGATTAAAAGAAAATTGTACACCCGTTATAAGTGACTGGAATGAACAGCCACGGGGAGAAGAGAAATACACGTGGTCGATGCAACGTGGCTTCATCAGCGAATAATCCTGACCTCCGACACTGTGGTTTACAATTTAACGCCATTAGCTGATTTGCGTGAAGATGACCTTCTTATCGACGCGTAACACGCATAACAATGCTCGTTCATTGATGAATATTCGATTTGAGGATGGATGACCCTAAGAATAAGAAACTTTTATGATTACAATTCTACATATATATGCGTATAAATCAGTCACGCTCGCTAGTAGATTACAAGTACATTTCCACTTTAATCGTACTCGACGTCGTACCTCCTGATAGAATTACCACAAGCATGAAAATGAGGTGCGTGCAGACAGCACGCGATACACCTCTGGAATATTAGACGCCTGATAACATTCAGTCAAAGTACTTTCTGATAAGAAAATTAAACTTCTGTATGATAACGTAGGAACTTTTATCTCAGTGTAGGTTTTTAAATGTTAGAACGCGCACTCACGTGGTAGTCTTACGTGGTAATTCTATACGATGTGCTAGTTTTCGGAGTATTTCGATACACGGGGTAAAATAAGTTACAGGGCCGGCACTGGCACAAGGATCACGAGGCACATGGGCATACCTGAACCTGAGAACACTCAATAACTCAAGGACAAAAATTCCGAACCCCCTATAAAAATAATCTAACAGTACAAAGGAACTCACCTCAAATTTTTCAATATATTCTTATTGACGAACTCAGCCACTTCACACTTCAGGAAGTGTATAAACGTTTTACACTGAGGTAGATACTTCTCGATGTAATTTTTTTTTCACCTTCGTGTGAATTCACCGCTGCGTAGCTCAGGACAGTCGAGCAGCGACTGAACTCCTATCTCACCGATACGCCGGCCACGTTGTTACGTTGTACGTTATAAGGATCGCGAGGCTTTCCAACGAGCTTTGATCTTTGAACCTGAACCCCAATTTTACGATTGCTCGTGGGAGTCAACTGGCCAGAAAGGAGAAGATAACAATCAGACACAATCAGTATCCTGGCAGTGGTCTCAGATATCCTGCACAGTAATGATATTCGGTAGCACTCAAAGATCTTTTACGCAATCTTTATAGATTGTGATCCATATAGTATATATATATGTATATAAATGTACTATACACTCACTGTCGAAGCTTCGAAAAAAAACCACGAGGATATCTCTTATGATTTTCCAAGGAACTGGGGGGAATCAGATTTCTTACTGCTAAGGCAGAATCATTTAACACGAACGAGTCGCGGGATATCGATTTACTGAGATCATTAACTGATCTGCACCACGTGCTCTTGCGACCGATTTAGTTTCGTTTGCGGCCTCGGTATTTCTAGACCAGGATGCCACCCGAGATTCCCGCCTTGGAAATCACCAGAGCGTCTGCACGGTCATTGGCTTGTCACGCAGCACGTTACGTCGCGAGAAATTCTTCTTCACGATTCTAACCTCCTCCTGTTATTCCCTGCGTTTTCTATTCTCGCCGATTCCACGACCGAACCAACAGTCAGACGACCGACGTGCCGGAGACGCGTACTGAACGCGAACATTCGGGTGCGGGACACATTCGCCGCCGTCGACGCCGTTGCCGCCGCCGCCGTCGCTCTCCGTATTCATCGCTGCGTCAAGGCCTTCTAGTTTGGAACGTGGCTTGCCGGCCTCGAATTATGGGGTCTTGGTATAGATGGCGCTGATTCAGTTTGTTTTAAATTACAAACTACCTTTTAGGGTTAAAGGAGGGTGTGTTATTGTGAATAGAACCAATGTAAGAATAACTTAATACCATTAGATTCTTTAATTGATTATTCATTTAAAAACAAAAAGATAATCCTAGAAGTTTCACGGCTAACGGTTTTTTGGTAGTTTAGGTATAATTTTTTGTGCAAATTGTTTTTAAAGTCTCAGATATATGTATTTTTTGGCGACTTTATTATGTTAGTGTAGTTAGAATATCGAAGGATATCGATATCTTTTTTATTACTTATCTCATTTAATTATCTTACTCAGTAAACATTCCGTGTAACGTTGACTCAGTCGCGTGAGACGAGTACGTGGAATTGTAGATAATTATAAATTTAAAAAAATTATAAAGTTTACTTACGTGAACCTAAGACGAAGTACTTACTTAGTAAATAGTATTATCGTTAACGGTGTAGTCGAGTTTTTGCATCATGCAGAAATTTCAGACTCTGTAATGTAGACGGCCTCGACACGCTATAGATAGTTTTGCACATGGACCAATAGGATCACATGATTTGGTGGGCGGGGATGTGGCGTGATCCTTAGTGACGTCACGCACCCTTGCAATCAATAACGACTTATCCGAATTTCAAAGATTTTGCTGGACCACGAATTATACGTGAATAATTAATTGTTAAATTTAGATTGACGACTTTATACTGAAACTTGGTTTTCCCGATACCAAATGTCAAGATAGTCGCTCAAATTTTCACGACAATTTTGGCAGTATAGATCTGCTCTCGCAATTGTTGTTTGTACCCTTTTCAGCACGATCTCTTCTTTACCGACGCGTACAAACTGTGCTGGTGCACAATAGTTTTTATATAGAAAGATATATCTTTTGTCTATGTTTACAAGTTATAAATTACTATTGATACTACAAGAATATTTTTATATACATTTTATACCACACAAAGCTTATAAATTTTCTCATATAATTCTTAACCAACGTGCTTCAGTGCACAGATATTACCTTCACGACAGAACCTCCTCTCAACTGCGTAGAATCATTAAAACACGTTTCATACTCGCTCCAAATGAGTCATTAACATAAATTATTCAGTTAGACTCTTGTACAACAGTTTTTATCGTGGGTAGATTAATATCATATTATGTACTTTACACATTATTCAACTAGTAAATATTAAACTGCATTTACCTATCGTCACAGTAGAACGTCAGTAAATAATAAAATTGATTCAATTGTTTTACCATAAAACGAAAAATGCTTAATATTATCATATAAACGACGGAAAACTTTTTATCGACATAGACACAATTACTCTCTGTATTTAAATATAACTTTGTATTATCTACTTTTCGCAATTGTACAAATTGATACGATCAAAGTTTCACAATTGATACAAGCAATTGTCATTGAAACATTATCTCCAGATATATTAATGTAGATTTAATTTTTTTCTGTTTAACAGATGTGCGCGAGGACCCCTGGATTAATGCAGCCGTTCCTGATAGTTTTGTATTTCATATAACAGTACCTTCTTGTGTTCCGCATGATCGATGACTAAACCCAACTAAACCTGATGCGCCTCATGGTTCAGTGTCGCGTCGGTTGTTTCTGTTTCGGTGTGGTTATTGTCATTGCGTTAATTCATAGTACAATTACGTGCACAGTTGGAAATGCAAAACGAGAAGGTTAAACACTTATGGAACATCACACGATTTCTGGCTGATATCAACGGCCCTGAAGCTAATGGACTACGAACTCATTATGTGTAAGATTATTCGAGAGTTCAGTGTATACGTTTTGTTCGATTGAATATCGCTGGATATAACGTAATCGACTAACCTCTGCCTTTTTTTATTTTGAACCTTTATTGTTTGTCATATTTTAACAAAGTGTTATGAATTTATTTCTTTAGATATCGTTGCAAGTTCGAGTTCAATTACTGTGTGATAATAAGTCGTACGATGGTTTATCGTAATTTTATGTATTTTCATTGGTGAACTGAATTAAATTTTGATATTCGTATTACAGCGAATTGATAATAATTAATAATACAAAGAACATTTTTTTCTTAATAATTATTGATTGCTCCTCACGTGTTCTTGATTGATATTATTGTTAATGACTGCATTCTTTTTTTGAGTGTACGTTTTTGAAGTTTTGAAAGCTACGTAATTATGTACTGCTTTATCTGATTTAACCCCTAGCAGAGCTATGTAATACTTAAAGTATTAGCATTTATCCGAGTATGCTAGGGGTAACGGTCAAGGGGGTTAAATATAATTTGTTACCGATAGGACGTATAAGTAGGCAAGGAAATTAATGTTTTTGAATATTACCGAAATAACAGTTAACATATATAATTGATTTTTCGACAAAAATATGAATAATTTTGATTAATATTACTTACAGTCGCAGCTGCAAGGCAGTGGGAAAAGAAGTCGAATTACCTAAGAATTGTTTTGGACCGTCGAAGATTTGTTACTATTGCGATTCGCTTTGGACAAATGTAGATAATAGGATTCGAATAGTACCCGGCAAAAAACCGTCATATTCGATCCGGAAACTTTTGCGCAACGCTGAAAATCGCGTTGGACGTTTACCAAAAGTTCGTGCAACACTTTTGAAAAAGTGCAGCAAGAAACCAGAAAACAAGATGATTATTCAATGCTCGGTCTGTTTAATGAAGACGAAAATTCCTTTTAAGAAACCCGAAAGAACAAAACCGCCCGCGCCGAAAATTGTGGAAGCCAAAGTTTCTAAGGGTAAAAAGAAGAAAAAGCCAAAGGACAAAACGGCTGGTTTAAAAATACCTCAAAAAATTAGGACACCGTTGAATGTTGAAAGTGATGAAACCGAAGACGCTCCTGCTTTAGTTTTAACTACGACTGGATTTAAGCGCGTGGCGGATAAAACTACGTCAACTCATAGAAAAATGTTAAAAATAAGTTCAAAGCCTTCGGTCTCCGTGTCAAAATTAAAGAAGTCAAACATCGCAAAACTCAAAAATGCGCTGACTAAGAGTACTGTACCTTCGAAAAAGAGTAGCTTACACAGTTTTTTGAAAGAGCTTTGTTAACATTTTCTGTTTCATTTTAAATAACAAAATACTAAAAGTTCTGTTATTCCTGTTTCATCTCAAAAATGCATATGTAATATATTTTATGGGTTTTTGGTAAGATAAGTTTGTAAGACTGTGACGCATTAAAGATATACATATGTTTATATCCCTCGTTGATTCTTTCTTAAAATATGTTCTCTATATAATATTTTATAAATAAAATAAATAGATCATAAAGCCACACACGTTTTAAGTCTTCTCAAATATCGAAATTATCTTCGAAAATATTTAATTCCAACCTTATTCCAGAGGGATCTGCTTTCGCACTACCTGTAAGCATATAAAGACATTTTTTTTTTCAAACATACTATACACAAAATACTTATACTATTCCATGCTCAAATAATGAATCCCATTCCCTTCCAAGGTATAAATCTATTTTGTTTCTATGCATGCGATTTTATTAGTCGTTCAAAACTGCACAGTTAGTCACCTGAATGCACGCCTTGAGGTAATCCTGCTCGGACATTTCCTGACCCTTAGCAGGTGGGACTTTTCCCCGGCGGCGCAATTCTTGCTTCGCGTCGTTCAAATCAAAGATGGCCACGGGGTCCAGCTTGGCCTTAAGTACGAGGCCCGCCAAGTACTCAATGTAGTGCTGCCTGCGGGGAAAAGTGCCCATTTTAATCTCCCCCTAATTTTCATTTACCTCGGCCATATCTGCTCTGTAGTGTTCCGGATCCCGACCGTACCAGTTTGGTGGTAATTTCAAACCGGCACGTTTTACGCAAGTCTCTAGATCGTCTACGTTCATCAGATCAAGTGGCTCCAGTTTGTTAGAACGAATCTTTCGCACTAGATACTCCACGTAATGGATCCTGTACAGTGCCGACAATATATACACGATACTTGAACAAACCTAACAGTTTTGCAAATTCTGTACACCGACTTCTTCACTGTCAATGACGTCAGTGAATTTGACTCCACAAAAAGGACAAAAAATATTCGAACAATAAACTTTGACGTTTCAAACTAAGTAAGTTACCGATCGAGGGCTATATTAAGAGCCTCATATTTTACCTGCATAATCCAGCATGACCTTCTATGACGTCGGAATTACAAACTGCATCAACAACGCCACCTGGCGTCTCTTTCTGCAACTGTACTTTGCATTTACGTTCACCGACTGGGCCTTCTACGTCATACTCGATTTTGTTATCTTTCAGCAGTTGCTGCAGCTGTGCCGGTTCTTTGTCCCGTAGATAAAACAGGCAGTTTCGTGGATGATGGGCATGAAGACCCAATTTTGCACAGTACGCACTTATATTGCATTTTGCACCCATCATAAATGCTTTTCCACAGCCGCAACAAAACTCGTACTTGCACTGACTGCAAGTAAAGTGCATACAGCCTGGAAGGAAGTTCAGTTCAATTTTTAAAAATATATCCTTGATTCCCATGACTTTACCAATAATTATCAACTGTTGAGAAAGTCGATATAAAAAGAAAATGTCTTACCACCACGAGACAAGGAATATCGAAATTTGCATTTTGGACAATCAATACCATTGTCTGCCATGTGTTTAGCCAATCCGGCTGCTTGATTGTCAGGATCATTTTCTTCCTTCCAAGCAGCAAACTGTTCACAGGTTATTCCCTCGTGTTGTTTTTCCCACTGGAAATAATTCACTCGGTATTTCTATTCTCTGTATGCTAATTTATTTAAATACGTACAGGCTGACGGCAGAAAGCACACGTGACAGATCGACAGTCTGGACAGATCAGACGCTTCTGATGTGGATCTGCATAAAATCCACTGGAGCACTGTTACCGAGCGAGAACAAAAGTACGTGTCAAAAGCCATACAAATAGATGTAATAACACAACGGACGCCTTGTTTTACCTGAACGCACCACTTGAAGTGGGGATCCTGCATTAATGTCCTGTCTCTTAATTTCCTTTGAAAGAGTTCATGAATCGGCGGGTCCAGGAGAGACTTCAATTGGATATCCAGAATGCTGAAATACTCCAGGACGTCGTCCTCACTGGCGTCTCTGAGGTCTGGTTCCTTGCAGTACGGACAGACGGCGTCCGTGATGCTGCGGTCGCTTATTTGAATCGTGAAATAATTTTTGGCGCAATCGTTGCAGCAACGGTGGACGCATCTGAGCATGGATATCATCTAATGATGAAATTAAAAATTATATTTATTAATTGTGTTAATCAGATGAAGGTTAGTTTTTTTATTTTTTTTTATTTACCTGACTCATGGCAAAACGGCCCGTGCAGAGCTCGCACTCTTGCTGTAGAAAGGCTAAAGCCGCCTCCACACTGGAACATTCCTTCGCGGCGTGCAATGCTTCTTCGTCTTCAAACTTCAGAGCCAAGAGACTCGCTGCAACTTCAGCTTCGTCGTAGTTCGAGACGCGACCTTCGGCCAACAAGCGACGTGCGGTTCTCTGAACAAAGAACAAATGATTGTATTAACGAATGAAGTCATTGTGACTATCTTGTTTTGCTCGATGGTAAATATTGACGTGAAGTTTATTAGCCGTCGTGCTAGACGAGTTAATTATTTAATTGGAAACTTCACTGTTCTTGGTTCCTGAAATTTTGATAAGATGTCAATTCAACGTTTACGAAAGAGAAATGAAAGGAAAAATAAAGACACCAACGTCTAGAAACGAGCTCTCGATAACACAGAACGATTTGTCCTGGATCGATCGTTAATGATTATCAGTGTAATGATTTTCTGCAAGTGGCCTTTTTTGATACTGAAGTAAAGGTTTAGAAAAATATTTTTGAAAAAAATATTACTGCTTTCGCTACTTCTGTGATCAATAAAGGCTCTGGTAATCTGTATAAATACCTACGTGCATGAAATAGAAAATAATGGAAATGAAGATTAAAAATTGAAAGTGGAACTCAAAATGTGTTAGTCACTCAAAAAAAATTATACTCACCGTACATAACGATTTTGTATATCGTAATGAATATACTTAAGTCTAGTATTAACAGGCACAGCAAGAAGGATCCAAGATACGTTTCGAGCTCTCGCTATCGATTTTTGAAAATTCTCGTTATTATTATTTTTATTTTTGATTTCGAGCGCTCGCTTATTTTTGAGCTGTTTGTAGACATTGGCTTGTCAATGCTGGGACAGTTGACAGTTGGCAGACAATTTGGGGGATGAGGATGACTTTTTTTCACGCGTCTACTGACCTCCCTCTCGTTTTTGGGAGATTCCTCCCGTTTTTTATGGTTGTCATCCTTCTCAACGCAATCCTTGACATTTTTGCGTTTTGCGGCCGGGACTTCGCCCTCGAATTGTTCGATGCAACTGGCCACCAACGAGAAACGCTTTTTTGGTTTTTCCTTCTGATCGCTTGTAGACGGTAATGTGTTTCGTCGTTTTGATTTTTCTGTTTCGTCGCTGATAATGGCGGTTGATTTTGGGTTTGATTTTCCGGTCGAGGATTTCGACTTTTTGGAGGTTCTAGCTTTATTTTCGAGATTCGCTCGAATTTCGAGGACTTTCGAATTTTGAGGAAAGTTTGAAAGACTTTTTATGTTTTTTTCGGTATTTTTAACGGGAATATTTTTTTGAACAATATTTATGTTTTTGGATTTTTGGTCTTTTGATTTTGCTACGGGCTCTTCTTCGGAAGATTCTCTTTCTAAATTTTCATTTTCACTGCTGTTTTGTTCTGTTACTGGAGCCGGCAAATTTGTTTCTTCGGTATTCTGTGCAGGCGCTTCTGGTATTTCTGTTTTTGGTTCTAAAGGCTCTTCTGCGTGATTAGTTTCTAAATTGTCTTCACTCTTTATTTCTGAAACACTTTCTGTATCTTCCGAATCGTAATCCGAAATTTCGGCTTTTATTTTATCCAAAGTTTTTTGAAGCTGATACTCGGCGTCTGTTAAGTCAGTTACTTTTGAGTTGTCATCCGAATCGGATTCGACACTTTGCGATATATCATCACCAATTTTTGAAATTTCGGAGCTGGTATTATCCTCTTCTACATTTTCAGAATTCTCTTGATCGTCCTCTTCAGAATATACTTCTGACTCTGTAGCATTTGAATTTTCTAAAATTTCTTCCGAAATTTCGTTTTCGGTCCCTTCCGATTCCTCGTCTTCCGAACTACTTTTGGATTCATCTAATACAATTTTTGATAGTTCGACTTCTGAAGCCTTCTTTATTTCCTTGTTTTCCGTATCTGGCTTCTTGTTGCTTTTATCCAAATTTTGAGTTTGTATTGTATTTTTTTCTGTTTCGCTACTTAAGCTCTTGTTTGCGTCAGTCAATACAGATTCTTTCGTTTCTGTTGGTTCTTTAATTACAACATTTTTGGTTTCAATTTTGTGTAATTCCAATTGTGATTTTGGAGCATTGCTCTCTGGTGTTTTTAATTTTTTTAGCATTGTTACCGATGTGATGTTTTTCGAAATTTCAGATCTTGACTTTTGTAGTGCTTTAGGAAATGCATAAATTGGCCTGGAAGTGCCCACGTCTGTTTTTCGATGAATCGCGACAGAAATCGTTTGTGACGGAATTTGCTTTTTACCTTTAAATATTGTGATTCTTGAGGTAATTGGAATTTTCAATTTTTGTGGAGGAATTGTTGATGCTTCATTTTGCATATGCGATTTTTTAACGGTGTTGTCGCTATTTTTTATTACATTTTTTGCGGATATAACAGCTATACTAGATTTTAATTTTTCTTGTGTTGGACCTCGAATAATTTCAGAAATTTGTTCAGTTTTTGATTTCTGTGGAGGTACATTTTGATTTTTATCTGTAGATTCATTTTGAACAGTTTTCTTTTGTTCGGATTTTTTTAAAACTACAGGCTTATCAATTCTGACATCCTTGTCTATAATTTTTACAGTTTTTATCTCATTTTTATTTTTTGTATCTATCGATTTTACTTCGTCACGAGCATTTTTCGACGTTACCGATTTGCTTGCAATTAATTGAGTGATTTCATTGCTTTTTGAAAAAGTCCCGCTTTTAGGTGCGCTATTAATTTTCGTACTTTTCAATTTTGACGTAAATTTTTTAACAATTTTAACCGGTGACCTTCGTCTTGTAATTTTTTTCACTGGAGAATTCGACCTGAACTTGACACGCGTTTTCGGAATTATTTTATTGCTTTTACTAAGAAATGTTTTTTTGACTTGTGCTAAATCTGCATTAACCGAACCTGTAGAAGTCGACGCGACATTTTCAGAAGTAACTACAATTTTTGGTACTTCATCAAATACATTTTTCATATTGGAACTATCATCCTGACTGATACTATCAATATCTATTGCCTTAGCGATTTCCAATAATGGCGCAGAACCATTGACAGCAATCATGGGCGATTCCGAAATTTTAATTTCAAACGTACCAGACGCTTCACTAGTAATTTCAACAATATCCGTAGTTACATTTTCAAAATTAGAACTTGCGATTTGTGCATCAATTTCTTTTTTTACCGAACCCAAATTTGCTTCCGAATCATTCAAATCATTAATATTCACGCTAATAATTTTCGAATCTCTTGCTTCGCTGGCCGTCGTCTGATTAATACTTTCATTAGGCGAACTGGATGCACCGGAAGTGACAACAATTTTTTCCGAAATTTTACCAATCACTTCCTTACTGTTTTCTGGAATTGATTCGAATGAATCATACGACGACACAGTACTCACTGAATCCGCAACATCAATCTCTTTTATTGATTCTGCCAACAACGGAACTTCGCCTGATTGATTATCGGAAATCGAAGAAACAATTGCCTCATTCTGATTAGAAGTTTCAGGCTGACTCAAAGAAGTAGAATTTTGTTCTGAACCAGATTCAGTAATTGTCAAAGACTTCTTCGTTACCGACGAAGTCAAAGTATCTGTAAAGGAAATATTATCGACAGTTAATTCTAACGATTCTATTTTAGATCGTTCCAATGATTTCGCGTCAATCGATTTCGATTCTCGATCTGAACTTGTTGTAGTATCAGAAGCCATTTCAACAGTTAAATTTTTATTGCCCTCAGAATCCACAATATTTTCAACTATTGTTGTTGTATCGAGACTATCCGGTTTTACAGTATCAACATTTAGTATGACAGAAGAAATCAACATTTTTGGTTCATATTCATTAAGGAGAGACGCGATTGTCTCGGAAGAATTTGCAGCCGTAGATTCAGTATCTACAGAAGCTTCGACGACCTGTGTTAATTTGTCAGAATCATTTAATGACTCCGTATTATTAACTGTTGACGTATCTCCAACAGCGACAGTCTTTCTTGGATTTTTATCTGTGGAGAGAGATGATGATTCTTGGGCAATCTCAACTGACGATTTAGATTCATTAACCGAATGATCTATAATACTAGATTTAGTATCAGCGGATGCATGATGATTAGTTGATGAAGCATGAGATTCTACGTTTTGAACAGAAGTTGATGATTTTATGTTAGGCAAACTCGAATCTATCGTGGGGACTTCCGTAATAGCTGATTTTTCAATCGCATGCATTTCATGAAGAATTAATGATTTTTCTACAGTTGCATTTTGTTCTACATTCGTATTTTGTAGTGTTCTTGATGTTGTTGTTGGTGAAACTTTGTTCGTGGATGTTGAATTTTTGTCTGAAGTTTCAACCGTGGAATTGTTAATGACTTGAATCGTGTTATCAACCTTCGAACTTACTTCAGACGACTCGAGAATCTGTGAAGCTGTGACGTTAACGGATTTAATTTCTACGTGTTCAGTTTTCAAGGGTTCCATCTGTGTTGTTGTTTCTGTTGTAGCATTAACATCAGCTGAACTCAACCTCCCATGAAGTTCCAAACTCTTGGATACAAAGTTATCCACAGCTTCGTTGTTCAACTTGTCAACGTTCACTCGTGTCGTTGCATTTCCGGGTTGTTCAGAATTCACTTGACTATAATCATTTGTCGATTCTAATTTTGCTGATTGTTCAGTGAAAGTGGCTGTCGCGTTATCAGTGGCCGTTTCTGTTTTTGTTGTGTTGACGGTATTTAAAGATACCTCAACATTTTGTTGTCTGATGTTCACATTATCAATTGTAGTTGTGGATGATTTCTGTGAATCAACTTCAACATTTACAGATGTAGATTCAACGACATCAGAATTTTGAACGTCTACTGATGAACTTTTTGAAGCTGTGACTGGATTGGTGTCAGGTGTCGTGACTGGATTGGTGTCTGGTGTTGTGATTTGATCGGTATCAGGCTCTGTGACCGGATTGGTGTCATCGGTTGTGACTGAATTGGTGTTGGATGTTCTGATTGAATTGGTATCAGGTGCTGTGATTGGATTGGTGTCAGGTGTTGTGATTGGATTGAGGTGACTCTCTGTCGTATGAGACTCTACCGTGCTAGCTTCTACAGTGCTTCTACGTACCGGCTCTACAGGTCGTTTCAGTATCATAGAAACAGAATCAACAGTTGATGATTTCTCAACAGTAGTAGAGCCTGAAGTTGTCTGATGCAATTCCACAGTTGAACTGAGTGCCGGGTTGATGGCCACTTTCTCATCAGCTGATTTAACAATAGATTCTTCAACAATGACCTCGTTCGAAGTTGCAACGTTCTTTACCTTAGTCATTTCATTTTCATTTATAATATCGGATACAGTCTCAGTCCTAAATTCTGTCGGTGATTGATTGACTTTGCTTAACGATGATGTACTTTTTATAGTCACATTCTCAACTCCTGATTCTCCACTATTTTTTGCAACTGATTCTTTGTCTTTATTCGAAGTTGAAATTGTACTTGATTCTGAAACTTTTTCATTTATTATTGTTTGCTCTCCTTGTTGTACAACTTTGTCTATTTGTTCTGACAAAGATTTGATTCCCGGAGTCTTTTTAGGGGACAGCATCTGAAGTGCCGCTGCCAATGGACCGAGTAATTGTTCCGGTAGTGATTTAACTGCTGACAACAGTTGTTCTACAGCCTCCGATCGAGGTGAATCAACTGATTCTGATAATGGCAGCGGTGTTTTTGGTTTTTCAGAAGTTGAGTTATTGTTTGATATATTTGATTGTTCATTGGACTTCAGTTGAAGTGGAACAACTTCAATACCGCTTAAAGTTTTAGCTTCTGTGCGAACTTCTTCAGATTTTGGTTCAATAACTTTTTTCGAATTTTTCAAAATCGTTTCGATCGTTTCTGGGCTTTTTTCTCCTGCTGATTCTGGTATCAATTCAGGACCAGCTGTCATTGCTTGTGTAGTTGAATTTGAAGTTGTTGATTCTAAACTACTACCTGCACTTTCCTTGGCAATTTCTTTCGGCTCGGAAAAGTTGATGTTTTCAACAGCAAAATTATTTTCGGGTATTTCTTTTTGAACTTCAATTGCCCCGGATGCAGTTGATACCTCAGGAATTTGACTTTTATTCTTATCAATATTTAAGAGCTGTCCAGTTATCACGGGTTCTGCTGTCGCTTCAATATTATCAACACTTGGTCCAGAAACGGTGATTTCATTTTCGAATAAATTTTCTTTTAACGGCGTTTCCGGCTGAAAACCAATTTTGTCTTTCTCCTTGTTTACTTCAGTTTTCGCGAATGTTTCGGCAATAGCATCTTTTAATTTAATTCCATCATTTACAGGTATAAACACTTTTGAATCATCAACTTGCTCATCTACACTTTTTTCAATCAGCACTCGATCACTCATTGGTTCTTTAGCAGCCTTAACTTTTTCATTTTTCTTATCTTCAGCTCTTATCACTTCATCAGAATCTCCAACCGGTTCTTGCTCATTAATCATTGCTCCCTCATTATCAGTTTTTATTTTTTCCGCCAAATCCAACGTCTCTTTATCATTTTCAACCGATGACTCAATACGCGAATCATTATTCGAAGAGTCTGACGTTACATTTTTTATCAACGTAGAATCAACTTTCTTCGTTCTCGCTGGTGACTCAAGTACCCGAGCTGATTCTAGTGTGTATTTCTCGTCTTGTCTCGATTCATGATTCTGTCTTTCCTGGGTTTTGACAGTGACTGTACCTTTCTCAATTTCAAAATCCTGAAAGGTCCTCGGTACCATCCGTTTATCAATATGAACAACCCCGCTCACGATGCTATCGAAACTGTTGAATAAATCCGACTGATTTCGATTTGCATCATCATCAACCGGTTCTACCTCCAGCTGCCAATTGTCAGTGAGTTCCTTCAGGGCCGCCAATTGCTGTTGAAAGTCCGCCTGCAACGCCACGAAATTCTCATCTATGGGAGACATTACCTGCTTCTTGGCTTCCGAATCCAACCCCTCCTGAACCTGTTCGAAACCCCCAGTTAAACCACCGACCGCCCCCGCTACATCTGACAGACAAACAAAAACATTAACAAAATAGCGATACAGCTCTCGACTATAGACAAAACAACAACGAAGCGTTTGAATAGAAATTTTTTTTCTAATTTTTATTTCATTACCTTCACGCGGTGCAGCCTCCTCGTTTTCCACCCCAACCGGCGGACCCCAAATTCTCATTAAAAAAGGTTTCAATTGATTCTTTTGCAATTCCAATAAAGCCGCATCCTCGCTACCCGCATTATTATCAAGAGCTTTTATCACATCAGCCATTGGATAATTACCCTTCGCCATTATTTCTGCACACTGTAAGAAGATCATGCCCAATGTATTAATTTCAACATTCTAGTAAACTTTATTCAACACTTATCCGGCAATTGCAATTGGGGCTATAAATACCTTGCGCTGTCGACGTTGCACTGCGTTGGCCACAGCTGTCCACACTTCGCCTTTCGACGATCTAAGCGCGTCCTTTGACTCTGCTTGAGAAAGAATTCCAATATTATTATTTTCATTCTTCTCCTTCCCTTGAGTCGACACCAAAACCTGAACGGTTTCTATTAAATGTGGCCATTGGGTTTTCAACCATTCGATTGGACTTGCCGCACCCTGGGCTAAGGCAACCTGAACGTCGTCGGCTGAGAAACCCTGTCTTTCGCCTTCCCGCAAAAGTTCAACCAATTCCAATCCTTGCCTTGTCAAAGTTGACATACCCTGCGAAGTTGAATTAGGAATTGCTTCGACGTATCTTGACTGGCTGGGCTCCTGCGAACAAAAAATTTTCAAAATTTTTTATCCGATCGTACGTTTCACAGTACACGTGGAACAAAATTCACTGCAAATGAAAAAAAAGAAGCATTGTTGTCACGTTGAAATATGTCCTGGTTCGTTTACCAAACTTTACACATTGGTTGTATGTTGAAAGTTGATACAACGAATGAATTTATTTCTTTTCCATATGAACACACGTGACATGTGTATTTTTCAACATAAAAAATACATTAGGAAAATCGAAGCTGCGACACGTTGATACGTATACAATAATTTTTACATTAATGTAAATGTTGATGTGTAGAATGACAGCCATTGGAATATTAATAACGCACGCGTGATAAAATATTTTGTTATTCGCTATACGCTTAAAAAAAAGTCTGGCTAAGTTCACACCGAGGCCAAAAAGAAAATTCAACGATAAGTATGCACCTTAAGGTTGACGCAATGGTAGCGGGTTGAAAAAACTCAACAGTATAAGCAAATAACACCCAAGACATGGGGGTCAAACAATTTTTACCCTAGAATGATAATATTGATGGGAGTCAATGGAGTTTCTTCGGGTCCAATCACGACTTGATAATGATTTCGATTGGTGTTGATAATGTTGATGATGAACCGGTCGTGGATATAAATCAGGACTGTTGATGAAACTGGTTCCGTCCTAAAACACACGCTCGATTCGTTCCTTACTAATAAATACTGGATATTGTAAATGTTGAAAATTTTTTTTATCTCAACCATAATATTTAATTAACATTTAATTATACCGACAAACTAATAATGTACCTCCGAATCGCTATCCTGATAGTACATTAAACCTTTGGGTGCAGCCAACGATGTAGATCTTCTCAACGTTCCACTTCCTCTGGAGGGAAGTATGTCGTAGGTCTGGAATATATAGATATTTTTTGACATTACGGTATTTTGTGTATTTTTAATTTACGTAACAAAAATTTACTCGACTAATGCTAATTTTTTGCATTAATTTTTCGTTTTTAAAAATGTCAACCCATCAACTTTAACTTTTCAACCATATTCACCTGCGTTGAAATACTTTGAGGCGGAGGTGAAGTTCCGGTTGAAACCGAAGTACCTTTGCTGGTTAGACTTTTCATTGAAATGGATCTCTCTAGTTTCGTTGTCATCTCGTTTTCCGGTGGGGATGTTCCCGTACCGGTTGAAATGGATTTATTTGACGAGGGAACGGTAATGGGTTCGGATGTCTTCTTATCATTTCTTTTGGACGCGTTTGACTGAGGAGGTGGTGACGTGGACTCAGACGTGTGTTTCCTTGGCATTTCCGGTGACGCAGTTGGGGATCCAATTGGGGAAGTGGAGGTTGATATATGTCTGATCATAGAAACTTCAGACGATGGAGGAGGAGAAGTTGAAATTCCGTGAGAAATCAAAATTTTTGAATTCAAACTTGTTGATGGAATTTCAGTGTCTTCGGCTGAACACTCTGCAAAAAGCAGATGAAGATAACAAATCAGTTCGAGAGCGAGACAATTTTTTTGATAATTTGTATATTTTGATTAAGGGATAAAAATGTCCAATTTATGATTGGTCAAGAATACTGACCAAATGCACAATCGTGCTCGAGATTCACGGTTGCCATTGCTTGAATGAATAATAAAGGATTTTGTAAAAAATTTGGTTGTTTCTCCATTTTCAAAAATCGACATCCGTATTTTCAAATACGATTATGCATTTGGTATACACGTGGCGTTACGCACGATATATTTTCCAGGCTCTTTATTATTCATTCAAGTGATACATCGACAGAAACAATTATAAGTGTCATTCGGGACTGAAAAGTGGGAGATTGATTGTCAAAAGATACAAAACGGGGGATCTGACTGTTCAATCAGGTGGGAGATTAATCGTAACACGTGAGAAGAGCAGTAACAAGTAGGTATGAAAATGAGATACGTACAAAAAGAAGAGAAAAAGATGAAAAAAATAAATAAATAAATAAATCTCTCGATGAAACTGACGCATTGAGAATGACGTAGGTACGTGAGCGACCTATCGCGTCTTCTTCAGGATTCTAGGGAACACACTTTGAATAAAGTGACGTCACTTGGGTAACTTGGTGCCAAAGGAAAAGCTGATCTTTCGCCTGATTCTACCTTTATTCTTGGCTGAGCTGCTGTCGCCACTTTCCTCGCTGTTCGAGACCTTGAGGTTGCTCATCTTCTTATCGAGGTCAGGACTGGGTTCACTGATGTTGCTTGCATTGCTGCGATTGCTGGCGTTGCTGGGATTGGTTGAATTTGATCCTGATTGGTTGTCACTACTGGGTGGCAGAGCGCTGCTCCTTGTTTTACAGCAAACAACGCAAACACGGTCCTTGGCCTCATTGATGAACGTGCAGTGTTCACAGGCCCATTCCTCGCTCAGGACATTTGACAAGGATTTCAAGTCCGCCTGAACATCCGTTTTCATTGCTGGAACATCCTCGACCTTCTTTGGTTCAGGTTTCGCTGTTTGGACCGGTTCGAAAATTAGAGGTGGTTTCTGAACTTCTGAACCCTGAACACCCTGTGAGGTCTCAAGCCTGAATCCTTGATAGGTGTCTTGGGCAGGTGAAGAAATTTGAGGTTGTTTTTGTTCAGGGTTTTTTTCTAATGGCTTTAAATCTGAATGGGATTCTTCCCAAACTTGAGGTCGAATTTTTTCAGGAGTTTTGGGACTGAACTTGGAATCCAGACTGTCCGACTCGAAGGACGATCTCCTGGGGCTTCTTAAGGTTCTTTTGTCAGCGTGGTCCAGGTCGTCCGATTCGGAGTTCAGGGTGCTTCTTCTTGTCAACGTTTTTCTCTTGTCTATTTCGTTGTCCCGCCTGACGCTTCTGGGTAAAGATGATCTGTCATGATCTACGTAGTCGTCGGAAGAGCTGTTGAGCTTGGGACGTGTCCTGGCAAAGTTAGATCTTCGATCCGAACCATCTTCATCCGTACTCTGTCTTCGTCGACTTCGAGAATTTCCATTTTGAGCCTTGACCTCTCTTTGGGATTGATTTGACCTTTGATCCTCGTGGATCTTCCTGGCTCGTCTGTCATCGTCCGATTCCAATCTTTGCCTAGAGGTCAGTGAGTTCCTTTCAAGGTCATCCGAGTCAAAATTCCTAGAGGACATAGAATCCTGTCTACTAGGTCGAATCTCAGATCGTCGATCATCCAGATTGTGGATTCTGTCCTCGGACCTCCATTTACTGAAAATCATTAAAAATTCAATACCGGAAACGACGCTGAAGTCATTTCAACATTACTTTCACCATTTATCTTAGATATACCTTTGATGACTCCTGCTAGGAAGAGTCCTAGTCCCTTCATCATCCTGATACACTCTAGGTCTGCTCCTGGTCAGACTACCTCGTCTCATGCTCCTAGACCCACGAGACAGCCGATCATCAAAGTCTGATTCCTCCGAATTCTCAGAGCTCGCATCAGACGGTGACCCTGGTGACCTCCTGGACCTGGACCTGGACGCCACTGATTTTCTAGACTTCAGGCTCGGCGATGGCGAAGCAGCCCTGGATCTTCTACTAGATTTCAAACTCCTAGCAGGACTATGAGCCCGCGACAATGTTCCTGGGTAGTGAGGAGGCAGCATCTGGGACGGATGATACCCCATAGGATAACCCCAAACTGGTGGATGATGTAGACTCAACGTCGACCCACCCAAAGGAGCGTCCCAAGGACTTGCTGAAGGGTACCACATCATAGGCATCCCACCGGGACCAAGATGTGCCATGGACTGTGCCTGAGATCAAGATTCAGAATTGAGTACCTTACCCTAAAGGACAGTTCATCGACTGGTAATCTACCTGATGAATCCCAGGATAATTCCACATATGCGCTGCTGATAGATCACAAACACTTGCTGATTGTGTCATACTTCTGGGAGGTGGAGGTGGTGGCTTAGAAGGTGTACCTAGACCAGGTCCAGGACTATGAAGACTGGCCGGTCTAGGATTCTGCATGACGTCCCTGGGTACGTCCTTGGAGATATCAGCATGCGTATGCCTACGTCTATTCACATCCTGTGCTCTCATTGCTTCCTGATATTTTCGATATCTTTCCTAAAAATGTTCCACGCTTTGCTACATTACATCCGGTCAATCGATTTAATTATTTTTTTACCTGAAGTGTTGACATTTTATCAGCTCCTGATCCTGATCCTGACCCATCCATGGAAGCTGCGTTCAGTGATTGGGTCGATCGCGATGCGTGCATTGTTCCTTCCGGAGTAGACGGCAATGGCCTGGCCAAATTTGGGCTGGTTCTCACGTTACTTCCCAGTTTCTCGACCATCGGAAAATCCGCTGATCCTTGCTTTAACATCGCTTTTGCCTATGCGTAAAACCATCGCTGTATTTCGTGCTGCTAAAGCTCAATTAGAACTGATGATCATCATCAGTGCGTGCCAAGCACAACACTATTTTTTTCTGTTTTTGATTGCTGGTAAAGGCTGCGAAAGGTCTGAACTTCTTTTTTTTTAATCTCAAAGAATATTGTTGTTTTTGAAAATTTTTAGCGACAGTGTTAGGCGGGTTTTTTTCGAAATGATTTAAAAGGGTCACTGATGCGCGGTTGATGACCGTGCTATTTTTATGCGCTATTAAGACGTTAAATATAAACCAACTGCTTTCTTGCTGCTTTATTAGCGGAAGGTATGGAGAGTCGAATTTTTAATATTTTCAGTGAATATTGCTGAAAAGTAAAATGGATTTTTCAAAATTTCATTGTTTTATGGATTATCGTACAGCCGGAGAAATAGTCATTTGAAAAATATGCTGGGCTATTTCAGACGTTCGTTTACTGTAATAAAAATACTGTAAACGTGTTCGTAATGTGTGTAAAACTCAAATGATAATAATAATAAAAATAATAATAACAATAAAAATCATTCTACCGTATTCACCGATGTACAAATTGAAAAATAAATATTTTACAAAATCACAACTTCTGCAGCCTTTTAAGTTGTAACACTTCCAAAATGGTGATCGGGTACAGTGAATACGGCAGATTGTTTTGCAATAACGTAATATATTAAAAACAAAAACAGCAATTCGTATACAATAAAATTTCAATACAAAACAAATAAACGGCGTAATAACAATTGAAAGTGGAAACAAAAACAATAACGTAAACGATTAAGCGCTCAAATTCGTGGCCTCGGTGTGAGATACGTATCTACGATAAGTTTCCTCTTAACCTACAGCAAAGAGCAAGAAAATCGAGTTTGAGAATCTCAAGGTTTCTTATTTTCAAAAAAAAAAGCAAAAATTAATTTTAAAAAATTGTCCAAAAATCAAAATAACGTCCGTACTTCGTTCATAGGAGGACGTAGAAAAAAAATCACAAGAAACCTTGTTTCTGTCAAACCTCAAACTTATGTCGGAATTCATTAATGGATCGTGCCGAAGATCACGGCGACTGATCTATTACGTAAATCGAAGCGAATCAGTACGGATCGACGAGACGGAAGATCTGTAAGAAAACGAACGCAGCCAATTCAAATGATCTAGGCCAGGACGCAGCCTACCTGAGTAGTTCTGCGATTCCTTCGTGGTGGCGGCACCGGCGGCGTCACCAGATTTTCACCTTTGGGCGGTAACGGCGGCCTCGTCACGTTGGCCAAACTGCTGAAAACTCGTCTCCTGACGTGTCCGCGTCGCTTCGGATGCTTGTGATTCATATCGTCACAAGCCTCGCAATAGTTTTCCTTGCAGGTGTCGCATCTGGCGAATATATTATCCGAGCCGCACAGGCCGCACTTGCCTGATTGGTTTGAGATAGTGAGGGCTGGAGGTACTTTTTGAATTTGGGACTGTGGGACTGTCGTATTTCGAGAATTTTGTCCGCGGGGTGGAAACTCGATAACCTCGTAATCCGGATCACCGCAGTCGCCTGTCAGCGACGGCGGAGGACTCCTCGGGGGGGTCGGTGGACGTCGCGGCGTCTGGCTTCCTTCTCGTTGTTGTTGTTGGGTCTGTTGAAAAAAAAATGATTAACTTAATTATTAATTAGAAATTGTGTAATTATAATATATAAAAATCAAATAATAATTGATAAATAATAATAAATAAAACAAAAATAATTATTGATCTGATTTAAATTATTTTAGTGGATTTTTAATTTTCGTTTTTTTATATATAATATTTATTTAAATTAATTGTATTGTTATGCTTTACGTAGACAGATTTTTTTATTATTAATATATACGCACCACCCAGTGGGGCATGGATCGCGCCATGCGCAGCCGGGTCGACGGATTTGAAATGGCCATTGGCCGCCATCTTTCTGCTCCGGGATTCTAAAAAATTGACATTCAAAAATTATGCAACGAGCCTCAAGGTCTGAACTGTCATTGCATTACATATGCAATATACTATAGACTGTGCCACTGTCAAGAAGGTAGACTGATTCGAAGCTTAATTACGAAATGGAAACAGAATCAAATTTTAACTGAAAATAATATTTGTGTCACCAAAATTTTTATTTTACCGAATTCTTGACTCTAACACTTATATTATTTTTTGGTATTACACGTTTTGCGAAACGTTTGCATAAATGCGAGTGGGTTGTGACGAAAAGTCAAAAATTTACGTCACACGTCAACGTGGAGCTTCCTGATCGTTTCCGGAAATAGATTCCAATCGTCTGCTTCCTTTTCGCGTCACAGACACACACGCTCACGCATTATTCATACGCATGCTCAACAAGGATTTAAGTTTGTTCTAGAGCCAAAAAAATCTCACGAAATTGTGTCACTGTATTTGGGACGCTTAAGACGTTTGGTTGTTCAGAAAAAAAAATTACACAAATGGGAAGACGTTTAATGAAGTGACGTATGATTGGAGACAACAGGAAGCGTCGATTCCGGGTTGGAATGAATACGTAGATTGGAACTAATTCTAAGATTAACGAAAAATAATGGCTACGCGCCAGAAATAATTTCCCCTTCCTTGTTCGCACTCGAAAATTCGTCACAGTCTCTCAATTTTGTATTCACGTGCACTCCAAGTGGCCGTCGAAATGTATTAAAATAAAAATTTTTTTTTTCATCGATCATCATAAATTAACAAAATTTTTTTTTCACGGTTATCTAGTAAATTTAGGCCGAGTTCATACGTCGCGCGACGAGAAGGAAATTCGATGGGGTTGACAAATTTTTTCTTTGGCTTCGACAGTACAGAGGGGGGTTCAAAAATTGAAAACTAAAAATTTTGATAATAATTTAGAATACTTTTAGAGGTTTTTAGAGGTAATAAAATTTTTCTTTATATTTTCATGGGCTTTCTGTATCGATACTTTAAACTGTAATCTTGGAAAATGGATCTGTCACTTATGCTGGATTTCGCAATGATCTAGAACGCTGGCGAACTTCCGTATTCATTAACGACACCCGAATCGAATCGACCTGGTAATAGATCCGTATCAGATCGCGTAAAATTTATTTATAGTATAAAAGCCACCTAGATTCACTATAGACATCTATCTCGTACGAAGCGTGAAAGCTGGGACTTCGAAAATATAAAAACCCATCACAGAGAAAACCGTTGTAATAATTCACAAAGTAGAAAGAATTTTCGGCAATGATTCCAGAAGGTGTTCATAAAGTCACGCGATACTTGCTCAACTCATCGCTGTACATTTTTTCATTAAAAAATGAAAAAAAAAGTAAATTTTTCTATTTTACGTTTCAGCATTAAAAATCCACGATTTATCTTGTTCCCTATCGAAGCTTCCATACTGGATAGTCTATGACTAGATACAAATAATAAATCCATATATAAATGACGGGACAGATGAAAATTGCCAAAATAATTTTTTCCAAAATTTGCAAATCGAGTTATTCCTTCGAAGAAAAAAAATCAGGAAATTATTCTGATCGAGTGATCCCGTGACGAGGATGTGGGATATCGTCGATGCTGATGACGTCACTAACGCGAATTAACACTATCGTTATCACAAGCCCTCATATGGAGTGGCGTCACACACGCAGACACACGGATCAGGATTTGTTATCCTGACAAAGGATCCACTCACGCTCATCGGAGCCTCGCGGAGGATCTCGTGGTGGCTTTTTCTCGGGGCCCGGCCGGCGCAGCACTGGATTTACAATGGGCTTTTGCTGCAGACTTCGTGGTACACGGGCTAGAAGTACAGACACTATTTTGGTACCGAAGGCTGGACCGCTGCCACCATTTTCTAAGTCTCCTCGTCCGCGTAAATATATCGCGTGCCGTCGACTTAGCTTTCGCCTTGCATCTCGACTTTCGAAATTAAAGCCCCCTTCACAATGGGGCACTTGGGGGTATCTGGTGCTGACCAAGTACTTTATATATATGTATATGTGTGTTTATAGCACAATAGGAAGCTTGCGAAGCTTTTTGGCAGAATGTATTTTTTCGATAGGTGGTTTTCAGAATTTTTGAAAACGATGTAACGGCTTTTTTGAACATTAATATTTACTAGGAACCTTGTTTAAATTGCTTGACTTGCGTATCGTCAGATTTTGTTTTGGTAGTAATTTGAGCTCTAAGTGTAATTTTGAGTCTTAAAATTGATGGTTATTGTAGATGGCGCTGCTGGTGAGTTTATCCCAGGAGATTGTGGGTAGTAACGGTATTGGATGATCTTAAAAACTTGCGAATTGTAATGGTCTTTGGCCTCCTTTCTCAAAGAAAGTCTTAACAAAAGCGCATGAGTTATTTCGGAACGGACTGTGTTTAGAGCGTGATCAACTCGGGCGAATCTAAGCAATGCAATAAAACGAGATAAAGCAAATTCATGGTAGTTACAATGGAAATAGAAAAGTAGTAAAAATAGAATAGGTGATTAATTACAAGTTTTTTTCTCTTGACATTGCATTTTCATGTGACATTTTATCGGGTTTTATAGAAAATAATTTTTGAAACGTTAACTCTTTTTTAAATAATCTACGGTATCTTTTTAATACGCATTTTTATACGATTCGATATACTTCATTGAATATGATAATTGTTATTATACCTTTGATTCAATTGAGATGCAAAAATCAAAAAGTTGAATGAAAACTTGATACTCGATCATTTTATCAATAATTATATGAATATTATACGTTTCTTCTTCCTAATCTTTGATTGGCTTTAAGCAAAAGAATCATATGCACAGACATACCTTGCGTAGAATATTTTTCATTTAATATTATACAATAAATTTCTACACAATAATGAGCGGTTAAATTTAATTCGGATATATTCAAATATACCAAAAGAGTTACCAACATGGTTCGCGTTATCCGTCGCCAACGTGTTACCAACTTTATTCGCCAGAGGCGGCACATGCTAAGCAAGAGACATTACTCATAATTACGAAATAATAAAAACAATCGGCTGATTCTAATTTTTTGACAAACGTGTCAACATTAACAAGAGAGTATGGTTAATACTTGAAAAAATCCAGAATAGGCTACAATCGTGGCAAAGAAACGTGCGTTACGTAGTTCACGAAAGCGACTACCGCAGCGCCACCAGTCCATGTTCCATCGCATCGACCGAGAGGAAAACAAGAACATAATGCCAATCGTAGATTCTACTAGTGCTCGTTATTCTAAGGTTCAGGCAGGTAGCCAAAACGGCTGCACAACGCCCCTAGTTCTCTCGTGTAGTTCATCGACGAAGTTGAAAGCGAATTAAGTGGTGCCGTAGTGTTTAGAAGAGACAAGTAGTGACCGTGTTTTCGTTACACCAAGTAAATCAGGTGAGTAACGGTGACAAATATCACGCACACGTGTCAAAACTAACGGCACATAGTCGAAAGGCGTCGAAATTCCTGAACCGTCAAAATCGATCGGAGCAGCAGGTTGTTAATTTTCAATGACCCGCTTCTTAGAGAATTTTCCACTATTAATATACACGTGAAGGCAACGGCGCCTAGCTAAGCTACAGCATCGCGCAAACCACTTGCAGTATAAATCGAGTCAGCGTTCGTATCGGCATTCCTACAATTTTAAGGAAAAATTCACATTTCACTGGAAGCCCAAGGTGCTTTGCCAATGTTTGGAAAGAGAGCGTATACCAACAGCCAAGTGTCAGAGCTCGTATTCTCCCGGCTAAAAAGAAAGATTTTCGAAAGTTTTTAAGAAGATGCGTGACACCCATTCAATAATCTGTATACAAGTCTCTTCAGTGGGCGTGGAACTGAGTTAACTCGACAAGAAAAAAAAAGCGTCAAATCTCGTGAAATACGTTGGCGGGATTTTCGTGCTGGATACGACACTTTTCAATATAAATTCTTTTACATCTGACATCTTTATATTCGTACTTCTAATTGAAATGTTCGTTAGTCTATAAGATATATTGTACAATTTTTCACTATCTTTAATGTTAATGGACATGCATTTGACTATCTACTATCGAATAATTAGTGCTTAGTATGACCTACATGTTTGATATACCAGGCGTGGGTTCCTGCACCGCCCCTGGTTCGACTCTGTCATTAGCTATTTTGAGACGAACGATGATTTCACTCAGCGATATTAAGTAATTCTTGTATTTCTGCTACTGACATAATTCCTTGCTACCTTACGATGTCGTCGTCCGGGTCCACTTCGATGTTATTCGTCGTCGTTCTTAACGTCGCTCCGCGATTTCGTCGCGACGTCTGCGCCTTCTGCGACGACGAGAATAATATCACATCGATCTGAGCGTTCATTAAGATTTACGGATATAAAGAACGAATCCAGCAATGGCGTAGGTGCCGTATTTTGTTTTCTTAGTGAATCAATTGTATTCTGCCGCTTTACGGTTACTTGTATGTTAATCTCTGTGCGATGACTTATGGAAAGCCAAGAGTCTAGTGGTCGGCCGGTACGTTTTAATGTCGTGAATTGCTGCAGCTCCAACGTGACGCTCATTTGATGATTAGTTCAAGTGACGGTAACCTTTAAGGTGATAGAGCTTCCCTCGTTGATGTTTGTGAAGTCTTATGGTACTGTCAGTATTATATTGAGAAGTGACGTGTATTGGAATTCCTCTTATGTTGATTATAACTCTTACAATTTTTCTCTCTCTATAGAACAGCCAAGAAAGATGGAGCAAGGTTTTCCAGGACAGCATACGACAACCACTACGGTCACGGCGAGCACTACTACAGTGCAGCCGAATATTAGGTTCGATCCTTCCTACGTGAGGACGATTCCAGGGATGCTGAAAGTGGCTCAAGTGGTAAGAGATTATATTATAGATGAATTTGAAAATTGTAAATGAGAATCACTGGTTTGTTGCAGATAGGATAACGTAATGCTGGATATTTTCTATCCCCTTTGATACGTCGATTGGTTTTTGGCATTGTGACAGGCTGGCCACGTGCTACGAAATTTTTGATAGGCCCAATAACACGGCAATTTCATTTCTTGTTACTGGGTAGAGAATTTGATAGGGTTATTCGTTTTTTTTTTAACACGGGATATATCCTATCGTCACGGCCTATGCCTTATCATTGAACCGTTGCCAGATCGTCGGTCCCCAAGTTCCTCGTCTGCTTTCCGCGACTGACTGATCATTTTATTTGTTTGGTCTGCTCGTAGTGCTATTTTTAGTTTTTGTAAAAAATTTTACAACCTGGTCCTATTATTACTTGTAAATACAGTTTTTGATATGGGATAGTAAGGAAACACGTGGCGAACTTCTATATCCATTTTTACGTGTGCTTTGTTATCTTTTTAATTATTTTTATCTCTTAACTTTTACAGGTTCTCAATCTTCTTGGCTTCATCTGCATAACAGTCTCGCAATTCAGCCGTGAGAGTCGCAGTGGCTGGTTTAATACTGTCGCCATGGGCGGATTTTGGTTCACGGGCATTTTGTTGGCCCTATATCTTTTCCACGTCGTTGAGAAATTCTTCAAGATTCCATGGTTGAAAATTGTAAGCAACGTTTCACATTCCCGCTGCTATCTGTCGTTTTTCGGGAAACTGTGCCGAGAAACAATGCTGCTGAAATTTTGGAAAATTATCTTGGATTAGTTATTGTATCTTTTAATTTACATACTTAAGCCATTGTCAAGCATATTGTATACAGTACGCATCGATGAATAATTTGTAACGAGCACCCGGTGCTGCTGACTAAAATATTTTCTAAACGAACATCAAAGTGTCAAACACGTTTGTATCAACAAGCGTAAAAATAAGCATTAACACGTCCTACTGTTTATAATCAGTAAAATATTATACGATAGCAATTAGCATTGCACTGCGACTCGTTATCAACATATAAAATTATTTTGGCATTCAATGACACTGACGAATAGCCGCACATTAGATTTTAATTTATTTTATCCGTTCACTTGTAATCTACCTTGTCGATTTTCTATCAAAAGATAATTTTCAGCGATTCGTTTACTCGATTATCTCAAATTTTCATAAGGGTAGCATATACGTTAATAGCTATATCAGCACTAGCCTCGTGTGTCCGTCTATACAAATATAATTATACTAAAGATTGTAAATATTTTTCAGGAATTCATATTCTGCACAATATGGACAATTTTCTACCTTATCGCAGCAGCCCTTGTAGCAGATTACGCTAAACATTCCGAAGCCTTCGGCGTGGCCGCCGTAAGTTAAAAGTTATAGTCATTAAGAAATGTCATAGTCAATTAGAAATTCGTATAATACTAAGTAAAACTCAACAATTATTCTCGTTTTCAGTTTTTCGGATTTTGCGCTATGGTGGCGTACGGTTATGACGCATGGCTCAAGTTTAATGCAGCGAAGAGTGGCGCCCTCGCTCAGGGCGAGCGGCAAGTATCGAAGCAGGTGTCTACAGTGACCAGCCCTGCGTATTAAATGACTAATCGGCAATGATAAAATGTTCGTTAAGAACGTCAAGCTTAAAGCCGAATATATCCCTGAAATTTGTATATCGTTATATACTATTTACACGCCAAAAGCCAGATTCACACGATACATTATACAAACGCGCGCACACACGTACACCAAACACTCACCTCCTTGTCTAATTCTCAAAGCCAGAAAACGCGACACAATCAAACGACATGCGGAGAAGTCTATGGGACTCCTTCAAAGTGGACCACATCTCTGTATACATTTATCTTACGACTCTGGAAACGCTCGCTCTTCGCCCGAAGATCGACGCCAATTTCCGATTTCATAATAAAGCATCCTCGCGATTTATTCTTATACCGACGAGATGGGAATAAAGTTATTTTTTTTTTTTTTTTTTTTTTTTTTTTTTTTTTTTTGAGCACGATATATGTATATACTATATAGGTACATGCATGAAAATTATAATTTTAGTTTCGTTCTTTTACCCATTTCTTTAACTCTAATATCTATCTCCTCTTTATCATTTGTTCGTTCAACTCTTCATTTCACATCACCACAACTCTTCCTGCGCCATCTTTACTTTTATATCACAGAGGTATTAATATATACACATATTATACACGTAAAGGAATTCGAGATACGCGTTTCCTTTTCTTTTTCCTCGTCTCTCGCGCGAAACACATTCGCACTGAACGATAGTTTATATTGTATTTATAATATGCGCTTTAATAATCTTAATGCTATAGAACATTAATTTCTTTTTTTTTTTCTATTTAATTTTTTCTCCGTTGCACTATATTTGGGGCACCTTCCCCTATCTTTTTGTAATAATAGTCCTCTGTACTCTTAAATCCTAAAATCAATCCAAAAAAAACTATCATCATTAGGTACATACTATATGTATATGTGTCAGCTTGGACTGTCGTACGCCAAATTTGATATTTTCATAGACTAGAAGATATACTGGAATTTATATTATTCTTATACAGAAATTATATAATAATATCTACATACACGTCGCATATATTGTTATCAATTGCCGTGAGCACAGCATTTAACCTTTAGCATACGTCATATCTCGAAAGTGAAGTCTAACATGAATTTAAAAAATGAGCCTCTAGTGCCAAACTTCACAACAGTAGTAAGCAAATGCGTAGCTTACGCAACCATAAAGATTTTATACTATATTTTTTACACGGTTTGTACTTAAATATTGAGGACTATTTTTTTTCATTTATACAAAATCCCTGTTCTACTTGTCATATACATATATGTATCAAGCCATATCATGGAATCATTAAATTCCTTTGATGGGTCCAGAAGCGACAATTTTTATATTAAAAAAATCATAATTTGGCATACGAGAGTGCTCAAGCTATACAGGGTGTTTAAGAAAAAAAAAGTTATTTAATTTTTTACACATTTCTTATCACCCTATCCCCTCCACCTCTGTTTCTCCCTCTCTCACAGACCCTTCCACCATAAACACACATACAAAATCACACGGACCAATATATGTATATTCGTAATAACAATAATCGAAGAAAGAAAAAAAAAATTTAAAAGCAATATATCGCGTGTACTGTGCGTACTGTAATCTCTAAATGTGTTATAGGAGAACGATCGATCTTTGTTGCTGAAATATTAATTAATTAATTAATTAATCACGTGTTGTAGTTCGATCGATACGAAAATCTCTATACTATACACAGAAATCGTATGTGTTACACTGTTGAGCGTTTACAGGTGCGTTGAACATTGTTGAATAAATTATTTTTCGCTACAATTCGATTATCGATTGTTATTGGTTAGGCGAGTTTTCTTCTTTCTTTTTTCTTTCATTTCTACTTTACTCGCAATAGATAAAGTACGTCATGGGGTACGTTTCGAAATTTGATAGCAGTACCAATCGGTACGTCCTTGTTTATCCGAATGTAATTGCATGAGACACGAGGATGTTCGCCAGTACTGACAGTGAAATTCGAAACGTTGACCACGTGACTGTTCGTTAAGTTTTGAGAGCTAACCAATTTTCGGAATGATAATAATAATGATAATGATAATAATTAAAGGAAGAGTCCTTTCTCGCGTAATCACATTATACTTGTACCTTTGGAATGGAGCTCTGGGAAACGGAATTTTTTTGTATTTGTGCGCGCGAGAATTGATGACAATAGAGAAGAAAATTAAATTACGAGGGGGTTACTAAAGTTTAATGAACACTTTGTGAAACCTTCGTCGGGGACTCTCCCTTTAGCGCATCCTTTTATTGTTAAGATGACGTCGTCTTGATCGCTTAGTGAAAAATACATTTTGAAAATGTCTTTGAGATTTTTTATAAAAATAAAAGTCTTATCGATAACTGTTGATACGATTCGCTCGCAATTAGTGCCTTTGCGTATCGTTATACGACGTGTCAGCGGTTAACGCGACGTTCACGACGTTATTACATATAATTATTATTTATTAATTATTCTGGTACGTCGCCACATACGGCGCTATGTGTCTAATAATATTTTTGTTACGTCTTATTTAATTACTACAATGTCGTTTTACTATATTTTTCATGACTTCATGATCAACGGCGATGACAAAATAAAGTACAACCCACGTATCATAAATGGTGTCTTTCGTGTTCGTCATTGATATAAGACATAAAGACCAGAAGAAGAAGAGGAAAAAATAATTCCAAAAAAATCATCGATTAAAATCGGTGAAGCGAAAAAATCAAAATTTAAAAAAAAAATTTGGTATTCGATATAACTTTTTTCTGTTTATTTTTTTGGCACTTTTCTTTTTTTGGTAATAGACTTTTTTTACTGTTACCTAAAACGATTACGTTCAAAGTTCAATGTCGGTTTATTAGTCACTGATACTTTACTGTTACTTTGCAATCGGCACTTCGACAAGGAACTTCCGACTATTTTATATAAATCATATAAATTTCCTTAAGATCATGGAATTCGCATTGCGCAAACATAGTGCGTGACACAGTGCACGATTCGATTTGCAATAAATGACTTTAAGAAAATGGGTGAACAGCTGTTTGCAATATATATATGTATATAAACAATATGGTACGTTTTGAAAATTTAAACACGTCAATGTCATTTTTTAATATAATAATAAATTATATAACGAAGAATGATGAACGCATGACCAATTTTTGTTATTCAATTATTATTTTTCTCCTCGTTAAGCTAGACTGGGTAAGAATCTCGGGATTTTTTCATTATTTTGTCATATGTCAGTCAATACCGGTTATTCCCAGTGATTTGTCATCCTGACTTTGTTACCGGTAATTACAACCAGGAAAAAGTTTGCAGATTCGGTTTTAACACAATTCAACAAAGCCAAGTATCACCAGGTACACTCATACTTGCGTCACATATGCATCATGTTAGTTGAATGATTTTTTTACAATTTTTCCCTCGGATACTTATGAAAACTGCATTTTCCTAATTAATTTTCAGGTTATGTACAGCCATTCACGTTTGTACGTCGAGCAATCCTAAAGACTGGTTAACGAAAGTCAGTACAATTTTTTTCCTCATAATATCTACTTTTAACAGTAGTTTAGAATTATGAGATTGAATTGACATTCATTTGGCGCTCGTTCACGCCTAAAGGCACAAAGTGTCAAGGTGGTCCTGTACTACTAATAAGAATTAATGATAAAGATTTTAGTCAGCATAAATATCCGGTAGGTCATTAATAACAGTAATACAGTTGCTTCTTTGCAATATATAATTTATCTCGAACGTAACATAATTTACATAAAGTCCATAATAAAAGTATCACAAAAATAGCCTTGATACGCTGTCGTCTGCCATACTGTGAGATTTTAATAGTTTCTAAGAACGTTTAAATCACTCTTTACTAAATCTCACGATCAACGGTACAATTAAAGAAATAACAAAAAATCGCCTTACAAAAAATTATATTCAAAATTTTGAAAAAAAAAAAAAAATTCGTTAATTTCAATATTTTATGGTACCTTGCAATATATATATATATATTTCTCCTTCAACTTTGCACATTTGTTATTTACGAGCATATATATACGTATACATATAAGGTTTAGACAGAAATCAATTTCAGGGTTATACGTTCGTCTTCAGCGTGTATACACATGTATAGTGAAAAAACGAAAAACAGCAAAGTAAAGTCGGTAGACGAATTATGAGTAGCAGTCAAGTATTGGTAGTAGTAAAGCTTGAGTTTTCTTCGTTTCCAAGAATTAATGCAAATTTTTCATTTTTTTTTGTTCTTTTTTTCATTTCCACATCTTTCTCGTTTTCTGCTATTAATGGCTCTTGACAATGAAGTGTCAAATGGATAAATGCGTGCTCGGTATGGCAATGAATTTTTAAATGACGTATCCTCGTCACTTTTCGCAAATTCGCACGATCTCGGTGAATTCCTCGCGCAGTGGCAAATGAGCGGTGGGAGAAGTGAAGGAATATAACGAGCCGATCGTTCTTCCCGAGCTTCATTCCATAATCAAAAGCCGTGCCTTACACGTCAAATTGAAAAAGGAGTCCGTCATTTTGAATTTTCATTAATCAATAAAACACACGCATCGACGATCACGTGAGTATAAGTTGGCAATACGAATAACCGTTATCGTGTATTAATATTTAATTGTTTTCAAAATTATTTTTTGTACCACAAATTTTTTTAGACGAGGGATGATACTATTGTATTTCTTGCGTTTGATCCAATGCAATGGTCACTGAAGGAAATATTTTTTTATATTACTTTCTGACCAGTTACATTTATCATACGTGCAGCAATCCGGAAGAGTTGTCAAAAATCATTTAATGACAGTTCGACATGAGAGCTTTTTACTTTGTTCTAGATCACAGGATAATTTTTAATTTTTGACTAAACTCAAAATTTGACATTTCAAGATATATCGACTAACAACAAACTCATTGCTTGACAATTACATTGTTATAATCTGTTGGCAAATTTATGGATCAGAAAATCAATGAACTAGAAATGATAATCAGCACAACAATGAGATTGATTGTTCCAAGTTGGATGAGTAACAATAAGATCGGTTGAATGTTTAACGATAGGACATACGTAATAATAAATAAATATCGCCCACTAGTATAAACAATAAAATCCCTTATTGAATGTGAGCCCTTTATTTGCATCTGAACGATAACCAGATACTTTCCTAACTCAAAATATTTCATATTTGCCTCTTCTTGGAGCTACTTGAACAATACTTTTCCATTCTTCCTATGCTTATCTTCTTTTGCCAACTGAAGTTGGCTTTCATTCTTAGCGATCACTGTAGAAGTAAACAGCACGAGTCACAGAGTTTGCCCAATAGTGAAAGGACAGTTCGAGTTAACGAGAGCTGCTCCATCTGGACGCTTGGAGCAGTAGCCAATATAAATTAACCAGAAAGAAGTTATTAAAAAAAAAAAAAGACTGACAAATCCCCATAAAGAGAATTCAAAAATATTCAATTCACTCGTGACTGCACGATATTCAAGAACCCTCTAAAAAATAATATTACAAATAACTGAAACAGTTTCTCTGTGACAATAGGCGCTATTTTGATTTTTAATAAAATTATTTCTACTAACATATAATGGTTTCTACTAATATAATATAACAATGGATTTCACTGACTCTACAGGGAAAATCTCTGAACAATTTACAATGTTTCGGACAAGCTATAATATAATCTGATTCGCCAGTGTACCTCCTCTTGGTATAATCGCCGCAGAGTTTGGTTATGATTGACGCATGATGAACGTGACATTGAAAATATTTATAAGCTTCTATTCACCATTAATAATTATCGTAACTATTCCATAGACAATTGCGAAACACGTTAACGTATGTATAATGAACGCATACAATAGTCGTTATATATTTTCGCTGGATCCGAGGAGAGACTAAGCACCTTTCAAAATGGCCGACCAGCTTCGTGAACGTTCATCAAGGTCCTCCTTTGTTGTAGTAACATTAATGATGAATATCAGTTGCACGATGATTGTTCCCTGCAAGAAATTTCATATGAATTAGACATACGTGTGTAATTTTATAAAAATAAGAAAAGTTTGAATTATCATAACAGCCATTATAAAAGCTGGACATAGTTTAGCATCAATTTGCAATGTAATTAATAATGACAGTGCAAATGTCGATGACCGTCGACGTGCTTATATTTTTTAATTTTTTTTTATATTTCTTTTTATTTACTATTGCTTGAGAAATCTAATTACAAAGTACTCGCGGAGCACCCTAGAAACAGGGAGAAAAACTGTGGCTGCTGTGTACATTCTATTTAGACGTTTTCAAGTACGACTACAATCTCTTGAAGTTGGGCGAGGAACCTTGAACGGTGAATAGCCTCAGAAATCGATGGACTCGAATGGAAAGGAAGATGATTGTAATAAAACAGTGTCAATGACATTAACAGCAGATAATAGTCGCGCGAATGATTATCGCGATGCAATTTCCAATCGATTTAGCTATTGTTAGTATGTGCAATAAGAAAAAAAAATTCAAAACACTTTTCCACTATTGTCTTATAATTGTAATGGTCGTTAACTTCAGAGAGAGAAAATTATTGAGTTACAATAAAGTATGGGAATAAAATAGCTCTGACAATAGAGATATAACGGTACGATGATTGTTAGAATAAAAACAGAAAATCGTAGTAAATGAACAGACGGCGTGAAATTGATGGTTGCAATACGACAATGGAATTGTTATTCAAAGTTCAAAGCTTCGCGAAAGGCAATTCTCCAAGGCATATGGATTGTCTACGTTAATTTGAATTCACTAGAAATATTAGGCTTTGGAAAATAGGATTGGTGCAAGATTTGAAAAAGTTCACCTTTTTTTTAGAATGCTTCACTTTTTTACCATCCTGGCTGCAGCCGTTGTAGCAGTTCATGGATTTTCCGGTGGCGCGCCCGCTTCAGTTTGTAAATCGCTCCTGCCGGGACATCCGGCGGAGCCTCAAGCAACTCCGTCTCCGTTCAGGATCGTCGTAAACAAGAGCACGGTCAAGCCTGGCCAAGAAGTTATGGTTAGAAAGACAAAAAAGTGGATTGAAATGAAATCGAAAATCAAATCTTAAATAGGGTATAGCTTATCCGTTAAATTGTGTATAGGTCATTATGGAAAGCACCAATGATAAGAGATTCAAAGGATTCTTGTTGCAAGCACGAATCAACGACGAGATTGTTGGACATTTTGACGTGAGCGACGTTGACAAGAATATACAAACACTGGATTGTTTGGGAGGATCTAAGGTAATGAATAATTTAATTAATATATCACAATTAATCGTTGATAATGAAAAAGACAAAATATAAAACCATTCACGATAACTTTAATGTCATAAACTTGTACCTTCAAATTGGCAATAATAGTTGGTGTCATAAAAATTAATTGTTACACTTAATTCATAAACGTCAACGTACGTACCAATTTTTGAGTTAAGGTTGATAATTAAGATAAATAATCTTTTCCAGAATGCCATCACACATCGTAACAGCGACGACAAGAAAGCCATTGTCGCGAAGTGGATCGCTCCCGAGAATGTAAAAGGTACCGTTAAATTTGTCGGAACCTTCGTGGAGACTGGCCTTGTCTTCTGGGTCGGTGAAACATCCGAGGAAGTGTCGCTGGAACATTGAAAAAAAATATTTTGAAAAAAAAAATAATGTAGCATTTTCGTCACGAGGTATAAGTAATGACGTCGATCTTATGGCTATAAGGCTAGGAAAGATCGAAAAGATATTTTTTTTTCATACAGATTCACTAAAAAATACGGATAAAGAATTAACTTATGTAGTTGTATAGTGATTTTCACGAGTATTCCAGGTAACGTTGTGCATTGCATTTTTTTATTTTGAAATTAATCACGAATTGTTAAACTATATGGAGAAGCGATGCGATTAAGATTTAATTATCTCGTGAGACAAAAGGAAGGAGCGAGAAATAAACAACAACAGCAAAACGTAACGATCCACACGAAGCTAGTCACGAAGAGGAGCTGACGCGTGTGGCGTATATTTTGATTTTTAAGATGAAATAAAATATGTGGGCACATGGTAAATCGACCAAATAAAACACTTGTTTTTTCGAATTGACATAGTCGGCCATTTACTATTAACTGGAGTATCATATCCACTAAGCTTACCTTTTTTTTTGGAACTGCACCTTCACGCTCGTCTACACTCACAGCCAATCATAGTGCGAGTAAAATGCGAAGCCATCCTTCCAGAAGACGTTCAGTGAGAACAGCCATAATGATTCCTGTTGTCGTCGGGTATCGCGACGAAGTGACGTTATAGTTGTCGGAAGAACTCCATATTGGATGGGCATACTTTAATCTTCTGGTAGAACAAGTCGTTGCATTACCCTATCACTTTCTAGAATGTTCTACGAGAGAGCACTTTCATAATCGTACAAACGTTTTTCGTTATCAAGCATGCGAAGAGAAAAAATTAGTGAACACCTTTAAACGTAAGTATAGCCCATTTTTGTTTCGTAGAAAATTCGACCGCGTTTTTTTTTTACGGCTCACGGAATATTTCCAAAGCTTAAATTACGAGTTACTCGAATGAACTGTGTTTACTCAAAAACGCAATTTTTCAAATAATTCTATTTACTCCGTCGGTAATCTGGTATGGTACGCAGAGTAAGGTTACCGACTTGATTGTCTATAATCAGTAACAGCGTTGACTGTAATAGCATCCGGCGTATCGTTATCGGTAAGCGGGATATAGTAATTAGTGCTTTTTACAAGAGAGGGCGGATGGGAAGTGAAACCGGTTGTATCGGTTGTAACGAATTTCGCAATAGGTAGTTGCGCGGTGGTAAATAGGAGGGAAGAGAGAGAGAGAAGGTAACGCACCATATCCCTCGGAACACTTTTATTCTCAATGCTCGACCAATCATCCAAACGCAATATTATACGTTACCAGTGGCAATAAATCATTAAGAGATAAAAATAGTACTGTAGAATTTTGTACATCACCAGAATTTACAGTGTTCCTGACGCTGTCTTGACATTTTTCAAATACGCAAGACATTCGCTCGCTGTAAAATCCATAAAATCTCCTCTTCATAATCGTGACTAATTCGTAACCATCACGTGGACTTCGTTAAATAGTGCATTTCATCGAATTTCAGTATTCAAAGTTCAAGAACGCAAGTAAATCAGCAGCATAACATAACCCAGCGCTGACTCAAGTGCAAATGCAGTTATTCAGCGAACGGTTTACAGCAGACTGGAGACAACGTGGTGGGGGTTATGAGCGTTAAAAATGTCTGGATGCGCGCGCAGTCGCTTTGTCTATGTCCCGCCAGGAGTGGGGATGGTTCTATTAGCAGCGCAGGGCCAGAGGGGAGGTATAACGAAGGAGCACGAGGAATCACGAAGATTCACGAAGGACCATGGCGGGCCGACGGCAACTGCATCCTTTCAGTCGGCCGCTGAACCCGCGTGCCGTTTGGTTGGTTGCGCGTTTTTAGTTCCGTTTTGCGTTGCGTTTTTTGACAGAACCGTATTCCGCGTGCGCGTGTGAGAGGCCGAGAATCTCTTTACGGGGAAAGGCATGAGAGAGACTAGATAACATAACAAAGAAGGACCTGGCTCTCTTAGAGATACTCTGTGGATTTGAATCTTGTGTGCATAGTGCTTTCAACGAGCGACGTGTGTTTACGAAGATCTCCTGCATGGTGAGTAACACGATTCTTTTGTAAATGCATCTATCTCTCGGGTTCAGACGTTTATTTATTGCTAGTAGAAGAACTAGCCGAGTGCTTATTTTTGCTACGGTACGAACATCCGTGGTCCAGGATTCATTGTAACAGAGGCTTAGCTAATCTCAGGAATAAATTTGTCTACTTTAAATTAACGTACCTTGCAATCTCTTACATTTATTAGAAAACGATGGAAGATATCAAGTTTTCATGCGTTTAACGTTATGCAAGTAATCATAAATACTATACGTATTTGACATAAAGTGTGATCTTGAATAAATTGTACTAGAATTAAAATTTTAAACGATTTCTTTGAACAATGAAGGTCAACGTCGTACCTATGAGGTACTGAATGAGTTAAAGAACCGGAAGTCCAATTTTCTGAATTTTTTGTCCTATTGAGAATACACCTTTTACGAGATTGCATTGTATTATGTACAGGGTGTTGCACTTTTGAAGGACCTATGAGAACATTTTTTATTAACGTTCTATCGGGTTTTTTTTTGTGAAAGTTTTTGTTTTTTTAAATTGACCATGCAACATCCTTTGGTTTATTGTTAGAATCTGTCTCATAGGTCAAAGGCAGTTTTGTTTCACGTTACTTCTTCAACACCCTTTGTGTAGTAGCTTACGGCGAGCAAGCTTACCGCAACCAAAGCCGCAGCAGCAAACTGGAAGATCGGCCCGCGGCCTAGGCGTATAGATCGATGCAAATAATTCTTTTTTCGAATCCTGGGAACACGAGACTGTATATAATTGTATATAATGATTATCCGTTGCGTCGAGGCGAGGCATTTTGATATTGTTACTCAATAATTACCTGTATATATAACACTGTATATTATTTGCACGATCTGCAACGTTCGTATCGTGCCGATACGTGCGTCAATTTCTGTTTTTTAAATTTTTCTCATACAATCTGGCGCCATTACCATCTGCGCTTCCTCGTCTCGGGAATTTTCGGCAAACTTCGAGAATACTCGTTGTAAGCGTACCGAATAAAAATGGCGAGAGACTGCAGAAGAAAATAGAGGGTTGCCAACAAATTACGGGGTCTCGAGGGAACGACGGGGCTCAGCAGTGTAATTCTCTAGTGTAACGGAAATGACGTATGAAAAGTAATGAGGGGGAGAGGGGGGGGGCGTTGGACAAATAATTAAAAAAAAATCCCTGTCTGTGCTCTGGTTATGCGACAGATTTCCGGTCACGATTCAGGGACGTATTATCCTGAGAATACGAGAACTTAACTACCCTTGTACGAAAATAAGACATTTTTTGAAATACGATGACGGTCGTTCGGCATCCCTTTCTGAAATTGAGGCTCCTTCCGGAAATGAGTTCGTTTAACTACGTGAGCGTCAAGACTGTCTTTTTTTTTGAATTTATTATCCAGTTAAAATTTGCCACTAGGATTATATTTTCGGTGAACGAATTTTCGTGATTTTTTTGGAATTTTTCAAAACCTCAGCTGACGTCTCGTAAGCCTTTTAAAGGGGGATTCGATTTGGAGCGTGATTTATACTCCATTGGCATTGAACAGTGATTCGAGGATTTATTCCAGTGGTGCAAAGGTTGATATCTCAGGGCCGTATGACCGCTGCCAACCACCAGTGGTGTGCCCGACCCCTTCGCTCCTGTCGCAGTACGACAATCGATATTTGACGATATACCCGAATGCGCTCAACCCCAACGTATTTCTTAGATTTGACCCTACCCTCAATCGTCCATTACACAAAGACGCCCCTGAACTCTGCTAGAGTAACTAACCTAACCTAACGTCAAGGTAGACTTGGCAAGTTGAAACCCGCATCAGAGTCCATCGACACGACTGGAATGCCGTAAAAATATCCTTGAGTCGTGACTTTTTTTGAAATAAAAAATTCCATTTTTTTGTTTAACGATATAAATACGTATTTATTACTTTGTCGTTTTTTTTTTTAGTGCCACATTAACGTCTACGGATAACTTTGATTTTCGAAACTGATTTGATTAGCCTGTTCACTTACGGAGCAATATCCGCTTTAAGCGCGTCATCGTGATTCTCTGCGAGTCTGCACAATCCATTAGCAATGCCGATAAGAGTTTTTTGCCATCGGACGTTTAACTTTAATACAGATCAGAGTTGCTCAGCCGAAGCTGATCCGAATGGGAATAAATATTTTTATTTGAAAAATCGAAAAAAAATCATTTTTCAATATTCACTACCTAGGCGAAAAAGTCTATTATTCTCGAATCATGGCTGTCTCGGTCCACTCGCTTACCTATTGAAAGGTAAACAGGGGCCGTTTAATTCTCCCTGACAATTCTGTTCATTTTTCCGCCATTATTGTCACACTCTGATCCCCTGGCTGAAGGATAGAAAGAAGGTCAAAGGGTAGGAAAATGTATAGATGAATACGGGTATGGGTCAACCTGGTCAGTATATATACACGTAGGTATCGATTGCCATGACAGTCTCAATAAAATCCTATAGGGGAATGACAATCTCCGTGAACGGAGCCATTCGGAAAGGTGTACGCCAGGGCATCGGGCCGCGTGATTTGTCATTTCTGTTAAGGGGTGAATTTCTAGTTGGGCGTTTAAAGGGGCGTTCATAACAGGCCAGTCAATATTTATATCGTTTATCGATTGACCCTTAAACCCACATTGCCGGAAGGGCTATTATTGGCACGGTTAAGTCAGCTTGGCGCACGGTTTACACTAGCACGTGGTCCTGCGGCTCGCAAAGGCTTAGATTAAATCTCAAACGACCTACATATGTGCGCACGCGGTACAGCGTTAGGAAACGTAACGTGGGTTACCTATGGTAGGGAAATCGGTGCGTAAGCGCCCGCTTTGTAAAACTTCAGATACGGCACTGAGTCATCCGAGGTGCCCGGTGTGCCTCGATGAAAAAAGCCGGCGTCCTGCCGAACGGAATCGCCGATGACGGATAAACCGGCCATCGGGAACGGCGAGCCGCGGGATACCATCTCGAAGCGGACGATAAATTCTGTCGGCAGATTCTTATCATTTTCATTTGTCGGCTAAGATTTTGGTAATTGAAAAAAAAAAGTAAAAAAAATTTTTTCCTTCGAAATTCGAAAATTTTTTAATTACACCCGATCCACGACCACGTGTATCCTGGGTTTGAGCTTACTTTCGCGAAAACAAATGGCGGCCTCGTAAATTCTTTGCCGGGTACTCCGTAGTAGCCTGTTTGCCTCGAGTGAATTTCGAAAGACAGGGAAAGTGGCGAAATGCATCTCTTTTACAGCTTCGTCTTCGGCGCTGTTACTCCCGGGTGGAGGTGGCCTGCCGAAGTCGTCGGTTTGTAGCGGATGAGGTGGTTCCTCGTGGTGGATGGTGGTGGAGGAGAATCTCGGGACTCTCTCGTCCCGTATAGGTGTACTCGCTTTAATTGCCCATTTTTTACGCGGCGTCTGACTCACGGCTATAAATCTTTCGGCTCCCGACTTGAGTCCGCCCTTACGTACCTGCACCCGAGTCTCATACCGGCGCGAGTGCAATGTGACCCCGCCGTGAGGAGGAGGAGGAGGAGGAGGAGGAGGTGGCTCGGAGGAGGAAGAGCGAAGACGCTACTCTTTAGCGAGGAAGGCGAAGGAAGGAGGCCCCTGAAGTATAGGGCCGCGCGTGGCGAATGGGGGACTCCTCGAGGTGGGCGAGCCGGACTGAAATACGCGACATCTAAGGCAATATCCTCGCGTGGGCGTTCGCTGCTTGCTCTTTATGGAATGTCTATAGGGTGTCGCGAAATAAATATTTCGCAAGTGTCTCAAGGACGGTTCTTTGAACTTTACCGATTGATTGAACGGGGTTAGTGGGATATTGGCTTTTTTTTTTTTTAAGTTTTTTTATTTTAGTCATGGGTATGTTATAGACGTGCCTTATATTTTTACACGTTGACGTTGGTACAGGACGGTGTGCAATTTTGTGCGAAACCCGATTGGTTTTATTGACCGTATAAGGGGTGACCGAAAATAACAGATCTTGAACGCTCGATAACGTGGGCGGAAACGTTTAAATTGGCTAACGGCCTTGGAACGCGTACCGAAAAGTTTTACTTGGGTATTAGACAGTCCTGTCAGCCTGACTTTCTGTGTATAAAGGGTGTCCGAAAAAAATCGTCCAAGCTAATTAATCATTGCGTGAAGTGCTGTAATTAAGTCAAACGGGGACGGACGTTAAACATTTTTCGGAACTATCCTTAAAGTTTTCTTGGTTTACTTCGTGCTTTTAACTGGTCAGGCTCTAATTGATTTTGCAGCCACGTACCGGGTGTCCGATGAGTAACGAAGAGACTCCGTACGTATTTTTGGTACTGATCGTACATATATATAATAATCAGTAGTTTGGAGCTAAACAAAAAATTTTTTCCCTAGACTTTTTTTTCTATGTGTACGTATTAGACACGTAATAAATAGCAGAAACTGCCGTCGGATGTGATATGACGGCTTCAAGGTATTAAGAGAAACGTAACGATGGTTCAGTAAATGATTGGTTCAGTCTTACCTCTAAGCGTTAAGCAATCCCTTGATATGAAGAAGGTTGACTCGATAGCCATTGGCCCATGTGATCTTATCAAAATCATCAGCATGCTCTTATCAGTACAAAGGACAGCGCTTGAGGACGAATCGTATAGGTACTTATCCATAGGTCATTCCAGGTGACGCTATTACATGGCCAAGTCACTGCGCGGAACCTCGTGATTATCGGTCGCAGTCTGATTTATCTCCTAACCCACTCGTAATACCGTCTTAAAGGTTGTAATTAAGTAAAAAAAAAAAAATTAATTACAACGATGCCAACTGCAGCGAGCCTGTAATTTCGTTCGGTCATCGTGGGCTTTTAATAAAGTCCGAGACACCCGGTACTCGTGCTGAGGTAACCCGGCTGAAGGTAGCCGCTATTACTCAAATCCGTATGCACCAGCAAGCAGCAGCAGCAGCCCAGGAACACATAGCGGTAGCAGAACGTCGTAAGACGAAGGACGAAGAAAAAAAAAGGATCAGGAGAGAAGGAGAGGAACGAACGGTTACCGTGGTGGCGGACGGTCGACGGAGAAGGAGGCGGAATAGAAGGTTGAGAAGTTGGATGCGAGAGCCATTGTCGAGGCGTGTAACAGACATCAGAGTGAAAGTAGAGACATAACTTCGAGTTCGAGTCCCAGGAGGCGTCGGGAGGAACGCTGAATCGAAGAGACTTTCTGTTATTGTCCCTCCATTTTGATTTCGAATTATCACGAACGATTCACGTTATTTGGATTACACGTTTGACGGTTACGGGAAAATGGGACCGAGGCGCCTACAGCGCATGCGCGGACCCTCGACTTACTGGCTAGGTGGCGCTTCGCGCGTTGACACTCTTCAGTGTGCCGCGGCGACGCTCGGAAAAAGCATTGACAGGGGTCGAAGGGTTATTGGCGGTAGATCTCTCAGAGTTACGTCACTTCCGGCTGACGTGATTGATGGTAACGCGTTCGGGGGTTGAAAAACAATGAGGAATATTCAAACTGAGTGAGGTGGCGCCACGATCGCTAATCCAGCTGACGTGCTGAGGCTTTTTTTCGGCGAATTAAAACGGACGCCGACGCTGCGAACGCTCCTGGTAATTATCTTAAATGACTGTCGAAATATTTTATTACTAGACTCTAACGTTTGTATCTGGTGTATGTCAGTCTGATTTGGCAAGACTCTCGTAGTTTCTCGTTTACGTCGAGTATAGGCGGAGGTCGCTCTTCCTATTGTGCGATAGTCAGTCAAGTCAAGCAGTTAGTCTGTCAAGTCAGTGAGTTAGTCACGCACGTACGTAAAGTGAGCGTCGGTCGCGGGAACAATGACTGGTATTCGGAGCGAGCATTTATTTAAATCGCAGAGCGCGCAAGTCTGTTTCTCCTTGTGCGCCGAACGTGCTAAGGAGGAGGGTTAAATATATCTGGCCTGGCCTAACCTCTTCGTACTCTGTTTCTTCCCTCTCGCGTGTGTATATATATATATGTATATACGCGTGCATGCACATGCGGATGCACTCGTACGGATACCGCTCTCTTTCTTTTTCACTCAACGCTTTATCATTGACTTACGCGGCCTTTGGGATATTATTTGTATTTAACGACGAGACCGACGCCTATCGGAATATTTGTGAACTTATCTCTCGGTAATTTTGACAGGACTCGATTCAGTTTTCAACCAAATTTTTTGTCAGAAAAATAGACATTCTTCCGGATTAAAATATCTTTTGTCTCACTGACCCGGTGTATCGCTGTTTTTTATTTGCTTGCCGAGGTAGATTTTAATGACTGGATGATTTTTTTTTTTTTTGAAAACGTGTAATTAAAGTCATTTCGGTAGGATGGATGTTACTTGACTTTTTGGAGTTGATTTTTTGGCGAGACTGGAATTGTCTTTTCGCGTGGTCCGATAAAAACAAGTGACTGGTCGGTTTCGTTCGGATGGGTCTTTGTTGGATGTGGAAAAACAAAGAGACTCGTGAAAAAAGATGAATTGGAAATCGTAGTGGGAAGCTCATACTGCAATCTGTGGGTGTTTCGCGGCACGTGGGAAGAAAGAAACTGATACGAGAGTGCAAGTCGTTTGCGTAACTCAGAGAACACCGTAAGGCTGCGTTCATACCAAGTTGTCTCCGTTACCCTCATACCAGGATCAACAATTCCTGGGAAGTGTATTTTATCGATATATGCACTCGTGAATTTTTCATTCGTTCGATTTATCACGCTATACATAAATATATTAGTTTTCCGTACTGCATCCCACCATCCTCATATATCGCACATTTGTACGTGGTTTTTTTCTGGCTGTTTAGGTTATAAAAATATTTCATATTGACTTTGACTAAATTATAACTTACCTGTCACAATGTTATATTAATTACATTGTACTCCAATGATTTATCACCACTGCATAAATTGTACCGTGTGAATGGGACTTTAGGTTGAATCGCAGTTCGCATCACCCACGTTCGCTAGACCTTTAGAATCGTTTCACTTGCATCCGACAGCGTTACGTGATAACCCGTTTCGTTAAAGAAAAAAATCGAACAGAACGATACGTTGCGCATGCGCATACGGGGTTAAAAAATTGTCGCTAAAATACGTTGAATTTGAAAAAAAAAAAAGAATTTGAAGTTTGCGTCGCGCTACGAAAATAACGGATGTAGCCGTCGCGACTACTCGTTGCGGTCACACGTGCTCGAGAGACGGAGAGAGAGAGAGACGTCACCTCTTGGGACTTCAAAGCTGCGAGGAAGAGAGGAGGAGCAAACTAGAGGCCAAATAAGTGGAGCTCCGCGCGTCTCTGCTAAGGGAAGCAACGTCAAGTGTGGAACTTAATTCTCGCGTTGTACAATTTCGCGCGACGTCTGCCATCCAGACGCGCGGCGTCGACCGTTTCGTTAAAGGAATTTCTAACCTATAAATTTCAATAGTACACCGAACAATGCTCGTTAGGGACTTTTATTTCTTGTTTTTTTCTTTTCCACTCACTGTTTCACATCGTTGCGCATTTGACTGCCGTCGCTATTTTCTATGTTAAATTTATTCTTGCTTTTTCTTATCTCGAATATTTTTTGCTTCTATTCCAAGTCGTGCCTCAACTTACTTCACGACTGGGTTCAGCTTGTTTATTCTACAAGTTGCCGTAGACTAGTCGTGTCACTACGCTGCGCGTTGGAGACTTTCCACGAGTGCCTGGGGGGGAAGAAAAAGGTCGAAGTCGGTTTAATCCGAACAGCCGTCGCCGTCCAGACTGCGTCAAAAGGGCTCAGACAGGAGTGATCGTCGAAAGAAATAATTTTTTCATGAGTTTTCCAAAATATCGTCGATTCTAATTCGAGTAAATTTATGAAAAAAAAAAAATTTCCGTTTTGTAAAATACAAAAATTTTTTTATTCAACATATTTACTGTTTTACGTTGAAATAAAAAATTTCTTCCCGTAAGCCGGTAAAAATTTCGATTATCCAATCCAAAAGTTTAACTTGACGTAAAATCGCGTTTTTCAAAAGACAAAATTTCTTTTACACAAAACCAGTAAACCAGTACCTATTCATTTGGCTTTCGAGCCCTCAATTACTCTATATCCCACTAGTCATTTTGACCCACTTGTAAGGTCCAGCATGATCAGCACGCGGTCAGGGCCGGTGAGCCTGGCGCATAGCCACAAGTCACAGCCACCATTAACCGTTGATTAAGATATCGTCGTAACGGTTCGCAAGGGTTATCGACGAGTTGTTAACCTCGAAGCTCGAAGTTCCAACCGTCGACAGTAGCCGCTCGAAAAATCCGCTAGGTTGCGCTGGCGCTCCTTGAAAATTTCGAAAGGAAATATAATTTTCTTTATCTCTTTCTCAATCCCGTCGTTCAATCTATAATCGGTGATCCTCGTGCTTAAGTCCTGAGTCAGTGACTTTTACTTGGAAGCATTTAAACAGTACGCTACGATCCTACAACTATAAGGCTCGCGTGACGTCACGTAAGGTCGACCTCATCTCCGGTACTAAAGTGTCCATAAGTATTATACCCTGTGTAACGTTTTATTCACACGTACGGCCTATGGGGCCCAACACAACTCACCAGCCTCGTAATGGTCATTGCTGCGCGCCTGGCAATCTTCGGGAAGTACATTAATTTTTCATGAAAGCAGAGAGGGCAGCACCGTCGACCTTCTAGAATAAGACCAAACGGACGAATTCTCATGGTAAGATGCGCCCGTGCACGTGGATATATTAGAGCGTGACGTTCTAAGGCCGAATAAACTTCATACAAAGAATCGACCGACACGTGGGTCTCCAGCGACCATACTTAAGGTGCGTACACACACGAATGTCTGTATCAATACGCATTGATACCCCATTGCGAGCAGCCGGCTGTGTTCAGGGTAGGAAATCGCGTAGGCGTTTCGTGTGCCTGTGCTTAGTAATTAAGAAGGAAGGGTATAACGAGCGACTTGACGAGCCATTATAAGCATCCTTCACAATTGGACTCTGGCGATGGTGAAAGCTGTGAAAACACGGCTTTACGGATTGTTAGGGAAGGTGATGCCGCGGCGACGCGTGGTCAACAAGATAACGCTATGAATGCGTATAAAGGATCTTTGAGAAAGGAATCCAGATAGTGAATAAAGGTTAGGGGGGTAGATGAAAATAATTATTTTAAAGATAATACTGGAATATGCGTATATCTTGAGATGAATATATATAAAGAAAAATGTTCGCCCATGTCAAAAAGACTAAATACAAAATCAATGGTGGTTTTCGGTATTATACCTATATTTCATACGTCGACTACGTATGGATGATTTTGACGATTGTCATCATTATACCTATAGTCATTTGACAATCATCGTCAGATACTTATATGTGTATTAGCTTGTCATTTTTTTTTTTTTTTTTTTTTAA